CTGCCAACGAAAATTTAAGGTGTGGATCGGTCAAGCGTCGGTAGCTCGCGTCGATGCATCGATGCGTCGAAACGCACAAAAGCCAAAAAGGAAATTCGGGATGCGACCATGTCGAGCGAGCCTGCCGATCGGATAGTGCGGAAAGACAATAGAGTTGGATGGCATTGTTCTCGGGTTGCTCGCTGTCCAGCCCGCGCTGGATGCGGCCAAAGAGCTCATCTCGACGGCTCGTCTGCCGGTCATCGCCGCCTCGACTTTTTGCAGATGGTTCGCGACAAAGATCTTGCCCCGTCGTGGGTTCCGACGTCGCTTTCCGCCACCAGCTACACTTTGCAACTGGCTCGAGATGAGTAGTGGCGCACAGAGAGGGCGGGGGCCACGTCAAATGGACTCGATTTGTTCGCCTGGTCGTCCGGCTAGAGAATGCTACAGTACGAAGCGGTGGGGTGGTTGTGCTCATGCCAATCCCTTCATTACCGACAGGAACGGGTGTTGAAAGGGTTGCGTGAGAAGGTGAGCAAACTTTTGAGCATGCTCCTCATCTCGAAATGATCTCGTGTTTCGCTTTGAAACCTTATTTCTGTTGTTCCCTTGCAGCATTCGGCTCGACCGAGGACGACGTTCGGGCCATTCATGCCCGTTGGTGTGTACGCGGAACAAGACTGACATACTGTACACCCGCACCCGAGGCACGAGCTCGAACGTCGAATCATTGCCGAGAAGGCACTAGTGTCCACCGCGGTATCATCATACCGTCCACTGTGCCCATCATTTTGCCGCACGCTCCTCCATCTCGCTCGATGCATCCTTCCTTGACTTTTCACGAGGAAACTGTGTGACGAACACGCACTACGCCGAATTGCTGCAAGACTGCTGCGGCAGCCGATACAGCACACATGCTCGGTCATTTCTGCAATCCCCCAACGCACCGGTCAACGCAGACTTTTCGCGATCGACTCGTCAAAGCATCACGTCGGAGCTGCAACAACCTGTTTCATTTGTCTCGAACGCTACTTTTAACTTTTAGTGATCCGTTCGGACAAGGAGAGACAGAGCAGCGGAGCCGTGCGGCTGCGGCATGAGGTCTGACCATGCAAGTGCTCGGCGAATTCGTGTCCGGTCTCACCTTCGCTTAGAAGCAATAGAGTGTAGCACCGCACATTGGTACCGGTATCAGCGCTCGCTGCCCACCTATGCTTTATTTCGCGGAGTCTGAAACCGACTTTGCCAAACAATAGCGACTCAGAAGCTGGACCGGTGCATGCAAACCAATCACGGTTGCCGCGAATCGCCTCGGGTGCAAGTCCCTCAACTTCAACCAATCGGGTTGTACACACTGCTTTACCCTCTCTGTCCTGTGGTACAGGGTGTACATAAACGTTTCAAAAACGAAGTCTGAGAACCGCGGTCAAGGATGTTAGCGTCCCTCTTCACGCCCGCTCATGGCTCGTACAGAGCAGACCACCCAGAAACAGAATCTCGAAAATTATGCGGTACGCACGAAAGTGCTTTCGTCCCTCATCCGAACAGGATCCACAATGTTGACGGTGGATTTACTGTTGCTCTTATCGGATCAAAGTGCCGGTGAACCCACCGGGCTCGGGAATGCGACCCAACAGAGACACTTGGCTGCTTCGGTCTTCGATGCATTGAGACGATGCTCATCTCACCTTATCTTCCTCGCTTACATCGAGACGACACGGCGGCAACACAAATCCGCCTTGCTGTCGTCCTGTAAACCATCCACTCAATCCATGAATTGCGATGCGAATCATGGCACGAGGCGAAGCCAAAGGCGCCAGGTCCCCGAGCATTTCGCCGTTCTCGCACGAAAGAAAGGGTTGTCAGAACCCTCATCGCGTCGCGTCTGCGATTCTCTCCACATGGAGCCTCGCTTCCCTTTGCGGCCAAAAAAAAAAAGGGATTGTGTACAGCAGTACACTGCATCCACTGACCATCGTTTGGGAGGAGTTCAAAGCATGTTCGTCGCCGGCCGAGCAACGTCGGCCGATTCTTCATATCTCTCATCAGCAATATCCGCTATTTCGCAGCACGCACAACCACGCTCTGCCGCCGGACACGCCGAACGAGCCACCGCAGGCAAAGTGGGAGCATCCGGACCGGAGCGCGATCCATCCATCCACCCGGTTTCCTCCATCGAACCTCCACCATCGCGTCCTCGCCGTCAACGCGCGGGCGTAACACCGCAGCGCGGCGGCTGGGTCGCGACCACGGCCTGGCTTGCACCAGCAATATCAAAGGCGATCCTACGGTCGAACAGCAGCAGACAGGCTTGAGAGGTGTGGACGACGCAACCGTGACGTGATCGCGAACAGAGACGGGTTGATAGTTTGACTACCAAGGCGCGATAGCTGGCATCGCACGCTGCGAGACCGAGACACAATGTCGTCCCTCCACCATCCACGACCGATTGACGACGATCAACAGGCCAACAAGCGACGCAAGGTCAACACCTGCCTCCAATGCAAAGCTCGCAAAGTCAAGTGCGACAAGAGTCGACCTCAATGCGGGCCATGCCAACGTCGCCGCCTCCCCACCGATCATTGCGTATACGAAGACGAAGCCGACGCCGAGACCCTGCAGCACTATTTGGGATCCGACTACCTCGCCAAGGAGGGGTACGAGCTTGCATCTCAACCAGCGACATCGGCCGCAGGCATTCTGCAGAGCTCGCATGCTCGTGCTGTACTCGACCGGCTTGCGCAGCAGATGCAGCTTCGCGGTCAAGCTGGTGCGAATGGTGAGCTCGCTGCAGCCTACGATGCAGCTGGACTGTTGGGTGCGGATCAATTAAATGGAAATGGCGCCGCTGCTGCTGCCGCTGCCGCTGCCGTCGCGGCGGGAGATCCGAGTCTGGCGGGGAGCTTGTTGGCGAGCAATGCGGCAGCGAGTGCCAATGGTGACGCTGGCGCCAAAGGTTCAGCCGATGCAGTCGGGTCTCTGTTGGCCGGCAATTTGTTTCCGTTTGCATGCGAACCAACCCATGAGCGTACGAAACTGATCCTTGGTCTGCTGCCAAACGACCACGTAGTCAACGTTCTGCTCGACAGTCTTCGCACCTTCGAGACGAAATCACCGCTCGGCATCAGTTGGCGTCTCATCCGTGTACAGCTCATCAACCTCCGTGGGGATATCTCGGATTGGAGAACCGGTCAAGTAGAAGAGCCCGAGGTCGATCTCACCTTCCTCGCGCTCCTCTTCGAACTCATGGTGTCCGCCATCGACTGCATCTCGGTCGACGAGATCATCAGCGAAGGCATCGCCATGACCGCAGAACAAGTTCCCGAGATGACCGATCGATGGCACGCCACCTGCCAGGCATTGCTCGCCATGAGCAACTTTCGGCACGAACCCAACCTCAACACTGTCTGCACCGAATTCCTGTTCTACCTCTACGAGATCAGACGGGGAAGATCAAAAATCGCACTGCTTCACCTTCAAGCCGCCTACCAGTCGGCGACGGCGATCAGCATGCATCAACTCTCCACCTCGCAAGCGGACGCTTCACGGTGGACGTCCGGTTCGGAATCGGACGAGTTGACCATTCGGACCGGTGCAGTGACCGCCATGCGGAAAGCCCAGTTCGAAGGTGGTGAAGCTTTCGCCATCGCCGAAGAACGACTTTTGCTTTCCTCCCTCTCCCAACCCGACATCACCAGAAGGGAGTTTTTGCAGAGCAACATCCCGGATCGAACGCACCTGGTCAGAGAAGCAGCGAGAACACTTTGGATCTCGATCACGTGGCATCTTTCGCTGCTCACGCCACCGTATCCTCTGGCGGAGAGGTTGGACGATGGTGGTTGGACAACCGAATTGGGATTGGTGGATGAGGCACATTTGCCGGATGGCGAAGTTGTGGCTCTACCGGTTGGGGCGGGGTTGAGCAGCGTTTCCGTTCATTTCTTCCGCTTCTTGGGGGAGAGCACACGCTTCTTGCTGAGACATCCGCCATCGACACACTGGCAAGATGCGTCGTTGGCTGGGGTGGTAGAGGAATGGAATGGAATTGCAGAAGAGCACCTTGGAAAGATGCGAGAACCGGTGGGTGAAGGTCGATCGATGTTGCATCACTTTGCGCTGGTGATACATCACTGGGTACGCATCCGACTGCTCCGACCATACTTTTCCCAGCTGCAATACTCTCCATCGTCCAAGTTGGCGTTGGATACGCTGATCACTTCGGCTCGAGAAGCACTCCTACAAGTACAGCGAATCCTCGCTACGTCCGACATAGATCTATCCATCTTCTCGCCCCTCATCACGCTGGTCAAGATCGACGCTTCACTTATCCTCTCGCTCCACCTACACCAACTCGCGGTCTCGAACGATACGAATTCTTCGCTGGAATGGTCGACGACGAGGAGATCGGCAAAGACGTCGCTGCTGCTGATGTGGACGCATGCGGCGGAGGCCGCGCCTACGAGGTTGGGCAAGATCCCGCCGTGGCGGAAGGTGATGCGACAGGTGGTGGAGGAGGTTTTGGTAGATGCGTTTGAGAAGAAAAGGGTTGCACTGCAGGAGGGAGTGAGGGTCAAGAGCGAAGATGGCTTGGGGAGTGGAGAGTTGGATAGGGAGGATAGGTTGGATGCTACGTTGGGAAGAGTGGGGGATGAGGTGGGGCTGACGGTGTATAGGGATGAGTTGGTGGGAGGAGGATGGAAGCAGAAGCCGTTGGTATTCGATGCGCTCGATGGGTATTTGAGGTCACTCTGAAGGGGCACTGCTCAGAGATGGAAAAGTTGGCTCTGCTGACCTGATTCAAGGCGCACTGGGGTTGTCTGCAAGAGTGAGGCAGCACAAATGGTCGTAACTTATGTGAAATTTATGGTATCATATTGCATGCATGTATTAACAAACGAATCTCCAAACGGTCACGACAAACCCTGGTCACCATGTAGCTTGCCTCAAACGTGGCATCTACCACCCTATGGGACGGAAGAGCTGAGCTTGGCTGGACGAAGCATCCGGGTTCGGAAGATCCGACCTGCTCGGCGATCTGTACTCCTCCATCGGGGATTCGTCTGCGAATCGGATCGAGGGACGCTGCGCACGGTTCGAGCCGAACTTGACCGCTGCATCATCGACGTTCTGTTCCGAGCCCAAGCCGGACAGAGCCTGGATGTGGATGTCGTCGACGATGATGCCACTCGACCTCCTGGTGTTGAGCGCGTTCGAGGGGAATCTTCCGCGCAGATGAATGACATCGTGACCTGGTTTGGTGCGTCTTCCGCCTCCACCCAGCGGTCCGGGTCCCCTCAAGGTCGGGATGCAGGCATCATCAGGTACACCCACAGCCTTCGCACTCCCCCACTGACCGCTACTCTGCACCTTGGCAGCCACGTACTCGCGCAGCAACATCAACCCCTGCGTAAGGCAAAACGATGCCACGGCAAAACATGCGAGCAGCAGCGTAAAGCATACCACGAGGGGCAATCCGAACTGTTGGACGTTGAAGAAACCATACACCCACACATGGTATCGGTTGTAGGTGATACTGACGATGCCGATGTAGAGAGCGAGGAAGGCCATGACGGGAACGAGGTGCCACCATGGACGCAGAGGTGTTCGCGAGAGGATGACGAGATCGATCATGGTGAGTACGTAGTTGAGCGTGTGCTTGCCGATGTTGGCGAAAGCAGAGTATGGATCTCCGAGCGGCGCCGGGCCTGCGAGGAGCGACCAGAAGATGACCAGGACCACCAGCGGGAACGACGACACGGTCGACACCAGCAGAGTGTGGCACACCTGCAACGGACGCGAAAACTTGCGGCTCAGCAGAGACCGGGGGTAGCGAGAACCAATCTCGAACTCGGAATCTTTGCCATACGCCAGCTCGCTCTCGATGTCTTCGTGAAGCTGCGTACCAAAGGCGTCGATTCCAGCCTTGTGGCGAGCGATCTCGATCCGACCCACACCGTTATGGGGAAAAGCCTTCTCGACCATCTCGATGCGACTGCTACCCTGCTCGCGGCTCGCCTTCTTCCACCGACTGAGCGCAAACCAAAACGTGCACGTGTGTATCGCCGACATGAGGAAATACGTCGTATCACCCCAAAAGCTAAGACTGGTGAAGTAGGTGATGGTGCCGATACCTTCGACGACTGCGGTGGAGAAGGCTGTGACGAGCATGTAGATGGCTACAACGACGCGGAACAGCGCCAGCGCCGGGACGGGGAGGATGTAGGATGTGACGAGGCGGTGCTGTGGATCGAAGGGTGTGTCGACGCCGAGGTAGTGGTAGATCTTGGTCGAGACGCCGGATACTTCCTCGATTGCGGGCTCCTCGTGCTCCTCCGCCTGTCCGGTGCGGTAGGTGAAGGCGGGCGCGTCGTCCATCCGCGGAGTCATGTGGGAAGCCAGGTTCGCCATGTTGTCGTGAACGCTGGTAGCAAAGTGAGGATGATTTTTGTCTGCGCGAAAGTGAGAAATTCTTGATTGCAACGGTGATCCCAACGCTTTGCCGGTTACGAGCCTACAATTTCCAGATGGAGGATACCAGCCTCCCAGAACGGACGCCGTCCTTACAATCTAAGGGAGAAGGGGGGATGGAGGACGAAGGGGTGATGGTGTGGTGGACGAGTGGAGACGATGTTCGACGTGAGCGAGAAACACACTTGCCCACCCTACTTCTTGTAGTCTGGCAGGATCGCATGGAGGGGCAAGCACAGCGCCTATTGTTGTAAGCTGTGATACCGTGTCACTGCACTCTCAGCGGCGCAAGGCTTGTACAGCAGTGCAATGCAAGAGTGTTTCAGCGGGAGCGGTGCACTGACATCGAAGGCGGACGAGGCTACAGTACTCGTGGAAGGGCTGAAACATTGTCTGGCGCGCCGGAACGCTTAGGCACAAAGATACGGAACGCCAGTCAGCAATCGGCAATGAGGGGAGGTGAGATGGAGTACGGTGGAACAGCAAGTGGAGAGAGAGGTTTGGTCAAGAACACGGCGTCGGAGGATGTCTCGCCTAGCGGCTAGCAATGTTGAAGGCCTCGACTGGGCACTGTACAGACAGACGTAAGCAACAGGCACCGTCCTCATTGTCGGACCAAGGCGACGTCTCTTTTCCCCCACTCGCTCTCAACTTGGCTTCGGTGATCTCTGTGGTCGATCGAAATGCATCTGTTCCTCGCGCTGTATACTTCAGCGCTCAGCTGAAGCTCTCCGTGAGGATAGATCCGATCGTACAATCTCGAAGGACATCAAGTCGAGAGCAGGCAAGGAACCGCAAGGAGCGAAGTAGTAGAGTGTCCAAGTTAGCCGCCGCTGATTTTCCTTCCGCATCTGCCGAATGCAGTATGGGCACCAATCCAGCCAACGTCGCAGCACGTTGTTGTGGGCGCAAGCGGCGTTTGACGTGAGACAAAAGTCCAGCCTCCGACCATTTTCGGTCTTTTTTGGTCCTCGAGTGTTCTGCCACACGCCAGTATTCGACGACATCCCGCTCGGCGGTGGTTGAACCTCTGAAACCTAGAAAGCCACTTGCGCTGTTAGCTGCCTCGCCGCTCGATGCTCGAGTCGTGGGTGTACTGTATGGCTGTCATGGATGCGAAACCACAACAAGCGCTTCGATGGCAGCGTGTCTGATACTATCTTGTGGTACGACAGCCATTGCAGCTGGTCTACAAGCGGCGACAGAATCGAATATCGAAGAGCTTATCCAACACTTTACCGCCAAGTCAGCCCGACTTCTGCCTTGCGACCGCGGTCTGATTGCCTCGAGGGGTTACCTGAACTCGCTTATCGGATACCGCTGAGACTCGTTGTCGCAAAATGAAAGCCTGACAGAAAAGGAACGTCTCTGAACAGCTGAGGAGGGGTCGTGCCGTTTGCCAGTCGGCGTAGTTTCTTCGTTTTGTTACATCTCTCCATTTCGACAGCCTGTTTCCGAAAAAAGGAGGCAAGTGAAAGTGGAGTTGTCTTTGAAATGTCTTCCGACTTCCGTTGCTGAGCATTCTGCGAAACACCAACACTCTTGGCTCCGAGCAACTACCGACCAAAACCATCACTGCAAGACATCTGCGGCGCAGTCACATAAGGGCTGCCCGGGGAATCTATCGATATGGCGCCGCCGCCCCCTCCCAAGGTAGCGTCCAGAGTGGCCAGGCCAGCAGCGAGGTATCGACCGGGCAAAGCACCATCTGGTGCTGGAGCAGCACTCGATGAGTACTCGGACTCGGATGCGTCAGATCGCGAGGACGAGCAGCCTGATACCCGCAACGCAAGCGCAATCAACATCGCGGATCTTTCTTTAGGCTCAGCGCAGCAGAGGCGGACAGCAGGAATTGTCATCAACGACAGTAAGAAGCTCGACCTGCGGTTGAATCCCGCTTCGATAACAGCAGCAGACGACGGGGAGCAGGACTCGTCCGAGTACGAGACGGACACAGATCAGGACGAAGAATCAGATAGACCCGTATTTCGCAAACCCGGCGCTCCTGCATCCGCACCACAGCAACAGCCGGAAGCGACCGACTCGTCCGAGTACGAGACCGACTCTGAAGAAGAGACCGACGAAGATGAATCCACACCGGCACCATTGCTCAAGCCGATCTTCGTGCCCAAAAGCGCTCGCACCACCATCTCAACCACAACGTCAGCAGATCAGCAGCAGCCCGCTGACGACCTAGAAGCCAAGGCCGAAGCGCTGGCCGCCCAACGCCGTAAAGAAGCGCACGACCTCGCCGAAGCAACCATCAAACGTCAACTCGCCGAAAAGGAATACCAAGAATCGCACATCATCGACTTCGACGACACAGACGGACTCGACCCAGAAGCCGAATTCCAAGCATGGCGCCAACGCGAGCTCGCCCGTCTACGTCGCGATCACGAAGCCGTCCTTGCAAAGCAACGCGAGCAGCAAGAGACCGACGCCTTCAAATCTCTCCCCGAAGCAGAGAAGGAACGACTGGGTCGGGAGAGGGCAGCTCAATCGCGGGCCGAGAAGAAGGAGCAGAGGGGCAACCCTGCGTTTTTGCAAAAGTACTACCACAAGGGGTCCTTCTTCCAGGATATGGATATCTTGAAGAGGGACTATAGCGAAAAGACGACCAAGGATGTAGATGTCAGCAAATTGCCAAAGATGATGCAGGTGAGGGGATACGGGGTGAAGGGAAGGAGCAAGTGGACTCATCTGGCGAATGAGGATACGAGCAAAGGCAGGATGCAGGTGGAGCGGCTGGGGAGTGAGAGCGGGTGTTTCAGGTGTGGTGGTCCTCATTTGAAGAAGGACTGTCCAGAGGTTGATGGGAAGGGGGAGGGTGGAAGTGGTGCGAACAGTAGCGCTTTAGCGAGTGAGGGATCTCGAAGATGGGGAAGCGAGCGCGCTGACGATACAGTCGAACGACGCGAAGCCGAAGACTCACAGCGACAAAGAAGTAGAAGCCCACCACGGCGAGGATCGAGCAGATACGACGCAGGCGCTTCCTCTTCACGGGAACCGCGGCATCGATCCCCTAACGACGACCGCTCGCATCGAGATCACAAACATCGCAGCTCAACCCACACTCCTTCATCCTCGCACCGTAGAGACGACGACACCAGTCGAAGCCACCGTCACTCCCGCGACGATCGGAAAGAACGCACCCATCGCCGCGACTCCGACAGACAAGACGATCATCACCATCACCGCTCAAGCCATAGAGACCGCGATCATCGCTCCAACTCCTCACGCCACCGCTCCTCCGACAGCCACGACAAGCACAAACGTCGAGACCTCGACGATCACACTAGCACCAGCAGACATGACGATCGCGAGTCGCACCGCAAACGCTCGCGGCTCAAGACATGATCTCCACCGCCAAGCCATCTGTAACACTAGCACACGCAATCCAGCTTTGACGAAGCATCCACATCTGTCACAAGTTCGCCTTTTATAGGTGACGCAGTCCAAGATTATCATGATCAGAATAGGCACATGAGTTGAAGAGCAGGTATCAATAAGAACAAGTTGACGAGGGGGTGTCGCGACCTGGGAGACCACGTGATGGCGGTATCAGCAGTTGCAACCGCTCTGCTGGTTATCCTGATCGATTCTGATCGGATCGGGATAATCAGCGTACAACTCAGCCTCTGCCTCCTGCTGCAGCGCAGCGCGCGCAATGGTCTGGAAAGCCTGCTCTACGTTGATGGCCTCCTTCGCACTAGTCTCAAAGTAAGGAATGTTGCCCTTGCTCTGGCACCAGGTCATGGCGCGTTTCTGCGAGACCATGCGTTTGCTCTCCTCGACGTCGATCTTGTTTCCGAGCACGACGAAGGGGAAGTTTTCGGGATCGTGTGGTGCAGCTTGGATGAGGAACTCGTCACGCCACGAATCGAGGGTTTCGAACGACTTTGCGTTGTTGACGTCGTAGCAGAGACAGCAGCAGTCAGCACCGCGGTAGAAGGCAACACCGAGCGATTGGAATCGTTCCTGACCAGCGGTATCCCACAGCTGCATGGTGACGAGACGATCGTCTACCATGACTTCGCGTGTGAGGAAGTCGGCACCGATGGTGGCTTTGTACGCGGATGAGAAGCGCTTGTTGACATCTGTTGCAGAATTGAACTCTTCAAAGGTCAGCTTACTGAATAGAGTCTGTGGCGAGACGAATGCCGGAGAAATATATGCTTACATTGGTTCATCAACGATGTCTTGCCGACACCTGAGTCTCCGAGGATGATGACTTTGAGGAGCACTTTCTTGCGAGAAGCCATGGTTGCTGGGGGTCGGTGCGTCTTGCGACCAAACGAGTCGTGTGCTACGTCAGGCAAAGTTTTTGTTGGACTCCAACGTCGGATCGTAGAGTTACGCAGCGGACGAATCGAGAAGTGTTCCTGGCCGTTGCGATCAAATAGAAGGATGAGGATGGTGACGGTAATGACGATAACCGTAATGCGATCCAGTCGATCGGTCGAGATCAACACACAAGATAGCTGGTCAGCTGGCCCGGACCTCGCACGACCGAACTGACCTGCACGGTTAAAATCACAAACTATCTTGCAACAGCACAGCCAGTATCTCGCACAATCGCATTTACCAGAAATGTGGAGTGCTGAGCGCGCCTGGAACGGGATCCTTGGTCTTAGCAGGCGCCAGACCGCTCTCGCTACCCAAAGAATGTCGGTGCGTGCAAAGCGTATGTATTTTGAAATTTCGTCAAAGGAACGCCGCACAGGGGCGCGGTTGCACTTGGGAGATGCATCGCTTTGTTCCTTTTGTCGATCCTTCAATTTTAGGCTGCAGCACAGCTCGAAGGGAGAGACATCCTCACATCCTTTCGCCTTGCGTCATGACAGGCGCAATTATTTTTCGTATTGGGTAGCAAAGGAAGTCTGACAATCACCAGCTTTTCCCATAACTAATGGACCCTGAACTGTTCTAGCAGCAATCACGATTGTGATCATCGACCACCTCGACTCCGCTTACAAAACCCTTCCTTTCTCACCTGTTGCTATCTTCCTTCTGCTACCAAGCTGAGCGACTGCAACCTTCACGGTGATCATGCAGACAACAACAGCTGCGAATTGGAATCAAGCCATCTTCCTGCGGCTGCAAGAACGCGATGCTCTCGAAAAGCAGTACGATGCCGTCTGCCTACACTGTGAGTATGCCGAATTGGCAACTGAACACGGATAGCAAGTATGCTGATGAAAGCAACCGTTGCCCTTGATCATATCTCGCAGATCGAAAGCTTGCGGATCAAACACGTCTGCTCAAGCAGCGCAATCGTGCTCTTTTGAACGCCGCTGCTGCTGCGCCATCGGCATCGACTGTTGGCGCCTCAACGTCTGCGGCCGATTCGCCTGCCTCGAGCGCCGCAGTAAATCCCGTACAGCTCGCATACATCACCTCGCTCGAACAGCAGCTCTCCACGCTCCGCGACGAAGTTGCACTCCTGTACAAGAATCAAGGGCAGAACGCACAACGTCTGCTGCTCATGAGCGAGTCGCACCGCGACAAGGAGGAAGAAGCAAGACGACAGACAGAAACGCTGGCCAAACTTCAGCTCGACCACGAAAAGCTCAGACGACAAGCAGATGATCTCAGCCACGCCGTGGGAGAGAAGGATAGAGGGATCCAGATCCTGCAGGATGAGCTGGCGACGCTGAGTCTCGAGCTGAGTCAGATCGAAGCGAGGAATGAGGATCTGAAGAAAGACAATGCCAGCCTGCTGCAACGCTGGCTGGATCGCATGAACGAAGAGGCAGACAAGATGAACGAGGGGACTATCTGGCTGGAGGAGGTGCGAAAGAGGAAAGAGGGATCGGCGCCGCCAGAGTTGAGAGCGGCAGCTGCTGGCGCTGCCAGCGTGCCGTCGCCTACTTCTGCTAGCAAGCCTTGAGCGCGCTACCCATGTGCAACTTGCAATGATACCCAATACAGACCCTCAGTAAGTGCCACCAGTGTGCAAGACGCCTGTGAATCAACCATCCTGCTGAGCCCCGTAACGTTTGCGCTACGACGCGGCTCTATTTCCAGTATGCAGGGTTGAGTCGTAACCACCCGATACGGGTTTCGGAATTTCCGACCTTCGCTTGGTGTTGAGCTTCTCGTTTTTCGCTCGTGGTCTGAGCGGCTCGTATTGGTCATCGTCCACTTCCTTGCCACGATCATCGCCTCCGACCCATCGCACGCATCCGACGGCAACAATCGCGCCCGCTAGTCCAACCGTGGTCGCCACGCTGATTGCCTCGTGCACAGCTCCCAAACAGACACCTCGTCAACCTGGCTTGAAAGCGAAGGCACGCCTTGTGCTTCGCCATCATGGCGCCCGTCGCTGTCAACGACAGCCGCATGCCGCAGTCCTCGAACGGCACCGCGGCATCCTCGTCTTCGAAGCCATACCAGCCTCTGGACCACGTACCCATCCACATAGCTGCTGACTTTCCCAAACCCAAACCAGTCCCAAAGCTCGCCTACCGTTCTTCCACCTACTGGAACTCTGACTGCCCCATCGTCATCGACAATGGCTCAAGCGAGCTTCGCGCAGGCTTCGCCCTCTCCGACGCTGCAAATCCCTCCTCCTACTCACAGCAACCGTTCGTCGCGTACGACAACCTCATCTCCAAGGTCCGCGATCGCAAAAAGAGCTACACCATGCTCTTGGTCGGAAACGATGTCTACGCCGACGGCCTCTCCCGTAGCTCCATCCGCAGTCCCTTTGACACTGACGTCGTCACCGGCTGGGATGCCATGGAGATCGTACTCGACTACACTTTCTCCAACCTAGGCATCGACACGGACAGAGTCCAGCACCCGGTTTGCATGACAGAAACGCTCTGCAACCCAGCGTACAGCAGAGGCATCATGAACGAGCTCATGTTCGAAGCGTATCAAGTGCCTTCGGTCAACTATGGTGTCGACTGCCTCTTTTCGGCTTATCAGAATGATGTCGGTCAAGATGCGCTTGTCGTGTCGTCAGGCCGTTCAAGCACTGTTGTCATCCCTACAGTCGCCGGCAAGGGAATCCTCACCAACTCGAAGCGTCTCGCATGGGGCGGTGCACAAGCTTCGGATCTCCTACTGCGATTGATACAGCTCAAGTATCCCGGCTTCCCAACACGCGTCACACCATGGCAAGCGCAAAACATGCTCGAGGAGCTCTGCTACGTCTCGGAAGACTACGCCTCCGACATCAAGGGCATGGCAATGATGCCAGCATCCCACAAGTCGTACGCACCATCCGCATGGACGCCCATGGAGCGCTCCGACGTCATCGTCCAGTTCCCTTACCAAGACGCGCTACCGGAGCAGAAGTCCGAAGACGAACTTCGCGCACAGGCCGAACGTCGCAAAGCAGCTGGCGATCGACTTCGTGAGCAGACACGTAAGATGCGTCTCGAAAAGATGATGCAAAAGGAGAACGACCTGAAATACTACCAGCAGCTCAAGGAGTTCAAGGGCAAGGAACGCAAAGCCGAATACCTCAAACGACTCGAAAACGACGGATTTGACAACGAGCAGGCGCTCGACAAGATGATCAACAAGATCGAGGGTGCACTCAAGAGGTTCCGCGCCAAAGAGCTGGGTGAAGAGTACATCGAGGATGAGAAGCAGGAAGAGCCAACTTTCCCACTCGTCGATGTGCCCGACGCAGATCTGGACGAGGAAGGCATCAAGGAGAAACGGAAGCAGCGACTCATGAAGGCAGGTTACGATGCGAGGTTGCGGGCGAAAGCGGAGAAGGCAGAGGAGAAGAGGTTGGAAGAGGAAGCGCTCAAGCGCGACGAAGATGAGCGTGTCAACAACCCAAGAGCTTGGTCGTCCAAGATGAGGAAGGACTACGACGATGCGATCAACCGCATCAAGGAGAGGAAGAGGATGAAGGAAATGCTGTCGGACAGGAAGTCGCTGGCTGCGCAGCAGAGGATGAAGAACATCACCGCTCTGGCGTCAGATGCACCCACCAGCGGAAGTGCCACGCCGACCGGTGGACGCAAGCGCAAGAAGGGGGGAGACGAGGATACCTTCGGAGCCAACGACGACGACTGGGCGATCTATCGCGAGATCCAAAACGCCGACGACTCGGAGGAAGAAGAGGATGCCTACAACAACCTCTCGGCCATCGAAACGCGTCTTCTGACGCTCGATCCCACCTTCGGTCCCGACGACACGTATGCAGCCCGTCTCGCACGCAAGAATCGTCTCACACTGACATTCTTCAACGGACCCGGTGGAGGCGAAGAATCCTCCATCGCACCCACCGACCCCGCGCTCTCGCTCAAAGACGAGTCTGACGCGAACAAGCCAGACACCGATCCGGAATCCATCAAACGCCAACACCAGCTGCACCTCAACGTCGAACGAGTCCGTGTCCCGGAGGTGCTGTGGCAACCGTCGATCGCAGGGCTGGATCAAGCCGGACTGGACGAGATCTGCTCCCACGTCGTGCACTCGTTTGACGCCGAGGTGAGGGCGAGGATGTTGCAGAACATCTTCTGCACGGGGCGACATACGGGGTACAAGGGTTTCGAGCAGAGACTGTACTCGAGCATCCGAGCGATTCAACCGAGCAACGTGTTGGTCAAGGTGACGGGCGCAAAGGACAGGAGGTTCGATGCGTGGAAGGGCGCGGCAAAGTGGAGTGTCAGGGAAGAGGAGTTCAGGAAGAGCGCGATCACCAAGCAAGATTATGAGGAGAAGGGAAAGGAGTGGTTCGTGGAACACGCTCTCAGTGCCAATTGGAAGTGAGCGTTGGCGGGCTGCAGGTTGTCAGTGAGTTTGGTCGTCTTTGGGAAATTCAGCCTGGTGTGACCTAGAGCCATATGTTTGTGCAGTTTCGAAAGGATGATCGTGTGCATTGCAGGGTTGAACAGATGTGCGTCGAGTTTTGGTGTGCGAAGCTGTGAGTCTTTCTATTCTTCCTCGTCCTCCTCCTCGTCCTCGTCATCTTCGTCATTTTCATCTTCATCATCTTCGTTGTCATCCTCGTCTTCAACATCATTGATCCGATCCTGTTCATCACGCCACAGCTGGTACAACAACCTCCTCCTCGCCTCTGTAGCATCCTTCCTCGAGGCTGCCGTGAACAGTGCTTGAAAGATGGCCTTCCTCAACACCAGAGCCACGTCGATATCTGCCTCGTCCAGATCTTCCTCCTCGACATCCTCTTTGGTTTTGGGGATGGGTACGGCGGAGAGGGCGAGGAGGAGGGGGAATCGCACGTCGTCTTCCGGTTCATCGTCGGAAGAGTCCGGGATGGAAGGTTCGGATTCGTCATCGTTGGCAGTGGTGAGGGTGGATTCGTCGGCGAACGAGTGGAATTCGGTTCCGTTCGCGGTCTCGTCTGCTGCTTGCTCGTCTTCCGATTCTGCATCTTCTGGAGTTTGCTCGTCTTGCTCTTCGTCGTCGGAGTCGATCGCATCCAGAGAAATATCTTCGTCCTTAGCAGAGGCCCTCAGAGTGTCTTCCAAGAGAGGCTCGAATACGTTGCTCCAGATCCTCTCGTACATAGCCTTGCTCTTTGCCGTTGCCAACGCATCGACGAACGGCGTCAGCAGCTCCAACGTCGGCACCAGCGGCAGATCTTGCTCCTCCTCCCCACCATCCTCGCCGTCTTCTCCTTCGGCTTCCTCCGCATGTTGCTCCAACACCTTCTCCAGTTCGTCCAGGTAGATATCCGACAAATGATACGTCAGACTATCCGGCACTTTGGGATCGTTGGTACTCAGCACTCCTCCTTCGAACTTCCCCAGAATCCTGCTCAACTCCTTCACCCCTTCCGCCTTCCACCCTTCTTCCGCCAACAACCTGAACCCGGCTGCAACGAACCTCCTCACCAGCAGATAGAACTTATCGATCCTGTGTTTATCCAATCCACTCCACTCCCCCACCATGACGTCCCAGAACCCTTCCAAGAACTTCATCCCCGCGACTAGCCTGTCCGCCTCTTCATCAGCAGGGTGAACGAGCACTAGTTGCGACAGATCGTTGGCGAGTCGTTGTTGGATCAGCGGTTTATCGCTCATCCAGAAACAGTAGAATAGACCTTTCCAAAGCTTCTGCAGTTCGAGCGGTGGGATGGTGTGAGCACCGTTGGTGGAGAGGTAGGTGTGGAGCGAACGGATGGCCGAGTCGCGGGTGCGTTTTTCGGTCGAGGCTAGTGCTCGTCCGAGGGGTATCGATGCATCTTCGGCGGCGTTGGTCGAGACGGTGGACGATTTGGTTTTCTTTGTCTTCGTGGCGGTCGATGCTGAAGGAGTGGCTTTGCGCTTGGACCCAGAAGCGGCTTTGGAGGTCGATGCCGCTGCCATCTTGATCGAGTTATGGCTGCGTAGAGAGATGGGGATGATGTTCGAGCAGAGAGAGAGCTTCAAAAGGATCCTTTCAAGAAGAAACCTTACTCTGGATTTTTTGGAGTTGCTGCTCCACGAAATTTCCCAGTTTTGACAAAATTTAGAGAGACCCTGGACTACGCACAGCGATTTGACCTGCTTATGTAATTCACCTCTCACTTGTCCGACATCAGGAGATGCTCAGTAGAAGGCCATTCACACTCACGACTAGGATGAGGGATATTGAAATGCTCGAATTTGTGCTCGGCTCGAAGCTTCTGCCAGGACGCGAAAGGTCAGCATAGAGTGCTATTTGGCAATTGGCGCCTACTTGACGCCGAGCGCAGGAGCAGGATAGGCGCTTCCCGCATGCGCAGCCGCAGGAACGTTCTGTCCAGCGGAACCTGTCATAGCTGGAGCAGCACCGACAGCAGCTCCATCCAACGGGCCCGTCTGACCCACCGCCCTAACCACACCGATCAGCTTCGTCTTGCCCTCCCTCGTGATCAACTTCATGCCGGGCTTGACGTACTCCGGATACCTGATGAACTGCAGCCTCAGCTTGGCACGATCACCCGTCCTTACCACCGGCTTCCCCCCATGTCCTTCTCCACCGACCCCCATCCCGATCGTCGGCTTGCCATCCAGCTTCGCAATCCCGACGATCCGCACCGTCTGACGGATCGATGCGGCGTGCAGAACCATGCAGCTTCCCACGGACAATGTCGTCGAGTGGTACAAGCACAGGATCTCGGCGTCGAATTCCATGTGACTCTTGGGCGCGGTCTCGGTGCGTGCGACCATGACCATGCCCTTACGCACCTGATTGCGGCGGATCTTCTTGAGCGCGAACGACACGCTCTGTCCTGCCGTTCCGCCGTCGACATTAACGCGTTTGCGCTGAATACTGCGGATTGAGGTGGTGACGAACTGACCCAAGCTGTCCGGACCGAGCAACGCCGAATCGCCCACCTTGCAGCTTCCGGCGAGCACGACGCCCGAAACGACGGTGCCCACAAAGGGGACCGAGAAGATGTCGCTGATCTGAAACTCGAACGGCTGATCCACTTGGAACTTGGCGGCGCTCGCTTGCGGTAGGATGTTGAGGAAGCTGCGCAGGAGGTCGAGATTGAGACCGGTGACGTTGGAGATTTGGAAGATGGGACAAATGCGTTCGGTTTCCAGCCGGAGGGCCGATTCGACCACTTGGCCCATGTCGTTGATGAAGACGGGCGTCTTGCGACATCCGGGAGACTTGAGAATCTTGGTGAGCTGTTTCAGCGTCGTTTCGAGCACGTGTGCTGGTGTCATGTCGATTTTGGTGATGCACACCACCACAGGTACCGACAACGCCAACGCAATGCCCAGATGCTCCTTGGACATACCGATCAGACCAGCATTAGCACCCACCATGAGCATGACGAAATCGGGCAGACATCCAGTCATACCAAACACCGTAGTCTTAAGGTAGCGTTCGTGTCCTGCCAAATCGATGAACGAAATGACCTTGCTCGACTTGGCGCACACCTCCTCCCACGACATCTTGCGCCCAGGCTCCTGGCCAGGTCCAGCCACATTGTGCACCGGTCGACCCTTGGAGTCGAATCCCATGATCTCCATTCCCACCGACGACGTTCGACCGGACTCGACCTCGTGCTTGTGGCGAAACAGGTTGACGCGCGCTTTGCCTCTTCCATCGTCGAGGCCGCCCTTGGTGAGCACGCCGAGCATGGTGGACTTGCCCGCATCGACGTTGCCGATGACGGCGATGCGCAGCTCGACCAGCTCCTCGGCACCTGCGGGTATTCTGCGGATGAGAACGTGTGCGGATTTGCTGTGACCGTCGGCTGCAGGCTGCTGGTGCAGCACAGTGGCGTCGGCGTCGGATAAGCTGGAAGCCTTGACGACGTTGGAGACGGCTATTGACAGCTCGTCGTCGGTAAACGAGACGGTGTCAGTTTCGCTCTCGCCCGGACCGGGTGCGCCGATGCGCAGTACGAACTCGCCCCCCTCGTAAGCAACTCGATCGGCAATGTACTTGACTAGACCTTGGGCCTGAGGCGCAGAAGCGAGATTTGTAGCACCGGCATCCTTGGCAGTCGCATCAGCAGTCGCCAATGCGTCCAGTGTTGGTGGCGGCTGTGAGGGCAAGGACGCCGGTAATGAGGAGCTGCTTTCGTCGATCGGCTCTAAAAGAAGCTTCTTGAGCTCGGCCGGCGATATTGAGCGAGGATCAAATGCATGAGAGTGAGAGGGGCTGATGCTGGTGGAGTGGAGTTCGGCGGTGAGGGCGTCTATTGTGGGGCCCTTCTTCTGTGAGGTAGCGGTAGAGGCGGACATGATGGCGGCCCACTATCTTCCAGCGGCGAGTGGTGAGCTTGAAACTTCTTGACGGCCAATATGTGGGGACGCGGAGAAGTCCAGGATGGGCAAGGCGACGCTATACGGCCTTGCCTCGTCGAGCACGTAGCTTGCGATGTGTATGCGGTCAACGGAGAGGCGGGACAGATGCAACTGCGTGCGATGACTCGACAATAGGAGCTGGTCCGACAGAGAACTGAGGTAGGGGCCAACTTGATCTTTCCCCGACGAAGCGTCGGTTTGGAATTATGCGCGTGTGTGTGACGATGGTTGGTTGGAAGCCTGAGTTCGTGATGCCTCTGTCCAAGGTGGTTCAGTGGTAAGGTGGACGGAAGAGCCGACTTCGGTGAAAGTAAGCATTCTCCGCCGGCGAAATCTCATGCGCACTATCGCCAACGCTCGCGGCCCCCGCCACCTTGGACCCCGTTTCTCGCGTCCACAGGGCCGCAGGACAGCGCAGCTTGGCTGTCTGTATGCTGTGGTAAGAACGCGCGATTTTTTGGCATCAAGTGTGGAGCTGCGCAGCGAAATTACACCCTGCATCCTTGTCAAAGCTTGTTCGGATGCAGACTGACCTCAAATGTACTGCAGCTCAGCTGTGCGTACCCAAGTCACAGTCGCACACAGCAGACAGCGGGAGCTCCGGAGTCACACGGACCCGTCCAACGTCTCTGTCTCTGTTGTTGACGGCCGTGGGAAATCTGCTTGCTCGTGTGACTCGTCTTCATTCAATCGATCCACAGCGGGCCCCGAGCTCCTCACAGCTGTTGTTGCGGTCGATGGGAACACAGATTGCGGTTGCAGTCAGACAGATCAGATGAAAGAGGGTCAGCCGACGAGTCATCTTGTCGTGCTTTCCGCGGTCTGTCAAGAGTTGCTAACTCGAGGATCTTGCTACTCCTTGAATCAGGCTTTCAGCATCGGCGATCCTATGCTCATCAGAGGGAACGACATCTCTTGGCAAGAGAAGCGGTGCAAAGAGCAAGCCGATAGATGACCGATCTTCTGGAAGGTTTTCCCGACTTGCCTCGATTTCCTGTCCAAAAGAGCGATGCGAATTTGGGAAATGACGCTTACGATGATTCAGCATCTGCAGCTCTCAAGGAAAAAGAATCGTGATGATGCTCTCACCGCTGCTCTGCGTCGATTGTTCAGGGTCTGAACGACATGCATCGATTTGGACAGGTACAACACCTGTCAGGAACCATGTGGACTCCGCACCTGGTCCATCTGCACCTGTTTGGTCATCGCAAGCCTCCTCCTCGTCCGCTGCTCGCTTTGATGCCAGATTCGGGTCACGATGCTTGCGCCTGTCTTCTGATTCCGCTCTCAGCAGAGCCAAAGCCAGAGCCAGTTTGTTCCCGAACCTGGCTTGAGGCAGCCACAAGAAGGTATGACCGTTCTCGGCATTGGCCCGTATGGCAGTTGGTTGATGACAAGCAGGCTTCCTCTAGCCTTGGCGGCAGATGTATATAAGAGGACATCTCTGAGCAACGCTCTCTAGTTCAAATCATCCTTATCCTTTCCCCCTCTCTATGAACGCAGCGGGATCATCCTTGAGACCTCTATCCGCTCGTGTTAGCAAACCTTACTTTCCTTCACCGCTCCGTCTGAACGCCATCCGCGCAACTACCCGATCCACCTTCCCCTCGATCCTCTCCTCTAGCTTCAACATGTCTTCCAAGCAGAACGACGACCAGGTGGTCACCGCCTACCCCAACTACTTCCCTGACCGCCAAAAGCAAGAATTGCCCGGCGAGGACCAGTCGATGGAGCCGCTCGCCGAGCACATCAAGGTCGAAAAGTGGGACAACGAGGGTAAGCCGTACCTCGAGGAGTACAAGGGCAGCGGCAAGCTCCAGGGCAAGTCGGCCATCATCACCGGCGGCGACAGCGGTATCGGCCGCAGTGCTGCGCTCTTTTTCGCGCGCGAGGGCGCCAACGTCACCATCGCCTACCTTCCCGAGGAGGAGAAGGATGCCGACATGGTCGAGAAGCTCGTCCGAGAAGCGCCCATGGGAACCAAGGAGATCCTGCGTGTGCCCGGAAACCTCGAGAAGGAGAGCGATTGCAAAGAGGTTGTCGACAAGCACCTCGCAAAGTGGGGAACCATCGACATTGTGGTCAACAACGCTTCCAAACAGGTGCCGTGCAAGAAGTTCGAGGACATCGACCTCGGTGTCACGGAAAGCACGTTCCGAAGCAACGTCCTCGGCGCCTTTGCGCTCACCAAGTTTGCACTTCCTCACATGAAGCGCGGTTCGACCATCATCCAATCTTCGTCCGTCACCGCTTACAAGGGAAGCGCGCAGATGATCGACTACTCGTCCACCAAGGGCGCTCTCGTCTCGTTCACGAGGAGCATGGCGTTGCACCTCGCTCCCCGGGGCATCCGCGTCAACGCGGTTGCACCCGGTCCCGTCTACACGCCGCTGCAGCCAGCCAGCCGCAGCGAGGACAACATGGAAGGTTGGGGCATCGGCGGCGTACCACTGCACGGACGACCGGGCCAGCCCGCAGAGATGGGCGCCACGTACGTCTTCCTCGCCGACGCTGGTTCCTCCAACATCATGACGGGTCAGGTTCTTCACCTCTCCCACGGAAGCTGGTTCGGCTCCTAGTTGTATCGCGACTGCACACTGTACCGTGTGGCATCACCATTAGCCTCTTTGCAATCCAATGATGAGTCCTTCCGAACGTCAAAAAGCCGTTGAACGTGTCGTCCTAGGATTATGTCAGTATATCTCCCTGAGCTCAGAGTGTGTCGAGGGCACAAAGCATGTTGATCAGAATCAACATTCAGGGTCCGCCGCTGCACGAGAAGAACAGAGCCAAAGCCTGTCATCAAGCAACGAGAAGGCTGATTTTAGGTGCAGATTCGCACGAGGCGAGGCGGGCCGTGTTGGATTGTGCACCCTTTTCTTTTTCCTCCGAGGCGCGTCGGTGCTGTTGGAGAGCGTGTGACACAGTCTGGAGAGAGAAGCCATCACTTCCGAGACCGCTGCATCTTCTCGTGCAACGATAATTGAGCACCCGTGCACGTTTCTCGCCCTCGCCTCTCACCACCAAAGCATTTCGTCACACACGTCTTTCACCTCGATCGCATCGACCCACGACCGAGCAGAAGCATTCGGAAGCGTACCACCATGCTCGGCTAGAGTCCTCGTCGTCGCTTTCGCTAGCATAAAGCTCATAACACAGTCGGGTGACAGTGGGCATATCCAGCAGCATCGCAACACAAGGTAGGATCGGCTGCCACCATGAGTCGTCCACCTGCAGACGCTCGCTCTGTTAGCTCCAGTCTCTCGAGGGACTCGGACGAGTCTGACATCCTCTTCTTTCCCACCAGCTCGTCAGCTCGCAACTCTGCCGACGCAGCCCCGGCGAAGCACTCTTCCGACACAATACGTGCATCAGGAGCACCATTGCCACCATCGCAACTGCACAACCAAGTCAAGCACCATGATCAGGAAGACGCACTTGATGCGGAATCGCAGCCACTCACGAGCAACCAGCAAAGCGGGCGGTCGAGTCCATATCACGATGATGTTACACCTTCCACGGGCCATCGTACGCCATCGAGCACCTTTGGGCATACACTCAACCCGGGCGCATATTGGAGACTAGCAGAACAGGCGTCGACCATCCCCTCCACACGATCTCTAGAAAGGCAACAAGGTGGCACGCTCAAAGAGCGACGAGATGCGTACTGGAAAGCATCCGTCGTCAACGTCCTCCTCATCCTCAGCTGGTACACCTTTTCCACCCTCATCTCGGTCTACAACAAATGGATGTTTTCTACCGACAAGAAAAACTTTTCCTTCCCGCTATTCGTCACCAGCTTCCATATGCTCATGCAGTTCGTCCTCAGCAGCTCCGCCATGAAGCTCTTCCCGCAGCTCGTCCCCCGCAAACCCAACGGCACAGCCTCCAGACCCTCGGGAACCGACTGGGCGTCCAAAGTCGTACCCTGCGCCCTCGCAACCGCGCTCGACATCGGCCTCTCCAACACGAGTCTCAAAACCATCACACTCACCTTCTACACCATGTGCAAGAGCTCCAACCTCGCATTTGTCCTCTTCTTCGCCTTCATCTTCCGACTCGAAGTGATCCGATGGAGTCTCATCGGTATCATCTCGCTGATCACCGTAGGTGTGGTGATGATGGTCGCGGCGGAGACCAAGTTCGTCCTGGTTGGAGCAATACAGGTCCTCTCAGCTTCGGCGTTGGGTGGGTTGAGGTGGGCCTTGACGCAGATGTTGCTGGACAGAGACGAGATGGGGATGAACAATCCCATCGCCACCATCTTTTGGCTTGCACCTGTCATGGGGGTCTCGCTCATCTCGCTCTCGGCGATCTTTGAATCGTGGCATGCGATCTTTGCTGCCAAGTTCGGGCACTTCGATACCTTGCCACACGCTCTCAAGACGATTGGACTGATCGCTGCGCCAGGCTTCTTGGCGTTCGGAATGAACCTTGCCGAGTTTGCGCTGATCAAGCGGACGAGTGTAGTGACGCTCAGCGTAGCAGGCATCTTCAAGGAGGTTTTGACGATCGCCCTTGCAAGTAGCGTTTTCGGCGACGAACTGACTCCGATCAACGTCACCGGTCTCTGCATCACCATCCTAGGCATCGCTCTGTACAACTACCTCAAGTACAGGTTGATCACGAGGGGAGCCGATTCGATAGGACAGGAGATTTCCGGGCTCAACGAGTTGGGCGAAAGCATTCGTAGTCGAGCCAGCTCGATCTTCCGTGGCGGTGCGGCATCCGGTAACGCTCGCGGCGGCAGCGGTGGTGGTGCGGGTAGAGCCAACGGATACGAACATATTGGTGGAAACCACGTGGATGACGAAGACGGTCTGCTCTTCGATGCGGAACAGGAGCGTGGTGGGAAAGGCGTGAGACGCAAGAACACTGGAGAATCGGACGCTTTGGAGCTGGACACGCAACGTGTCAGTCAGGAGATCATCTCGAAACCTTATACTCCACCTATGACGGAAGAGGAGAGGCAAAGAGAGAGCGAGAGGTTGAGGAAGATCGAGGAGGAAGCGGATCTGGATGGATGGGGCACTTCGGGTGAAAGGATAACGGGACAAGGGTTGGTGGAGGAGCATCATCATTCAAGGTTTCGGTAGGGATCCACTCAATGAGTAACTTATTCGCAACTGGCCAGAAGTCATGCTTATAGTGTGTGTGTGTGTATTATGTGTGATTGCGTTTGCGAGATGAAAGGCTGTCTGAGTCGTGCGTACGATTGCATGCAGTGTTGGGGGGAGAAGGGGTATATGCGCACACAAACGTGCTGCGACTTCTCTACCTTCACCATCCGATCTAAGGATTGTCGTCCTCCTTCTCATCCCCTGCCTCATCCCCCGCTCCATTTTCCGGATCCCTCCATGTAGCCCAATGACCGATCTGCTTGGCCATCACCTCCCCTACAAAAGCCGGATCTCTGCAAGCCAACCTGAACTCCTCCTCGTTCTGCAACAGATCCAAAAAGTGCAACGCCTGCGGATACTGCAGGTACTTGACGTACTTGGGATGTCGAAAGTAGTCCAAATGCTTGAGGTAGCGTTTGAAGGCGGGCGATGAGAGGACGTCGGATTGCGCGAGATGATTGAGGTAGTAAGGGTTGGCGAGCGACGAGAGGAATTCGAGGTCGCGCGAGAAGGCGGCTTGGTTGGCTTGACGACGCGAGGCGTCTGGCGGTGCGGTGGGTTGCGCCGAGCTCGTTTGGTTTGTTGACGAGAAAGATGCCATGTTCGAGATGCAAGGGGCCAGCCAATGGGCAGATTGAAGCGCGAAGGCACGACGCTAAGATGGTGGAGACGAGAGAGTTGGCTGGAGATGGATATCTTCGGGTGATCCGTGTGTCGAGGGCCAAATTCAGGGTCCTTCGGAATTAAGCCGTCGACGTCTGAGAAGATTTCCACGCTGCTTGTCGGATGACGCGATTCAGACATTGCTCGTTCGTCTCTTGTTCATCCGGCACACTTCCTCTTCATTCCACCACTACCATCGCCGCACATCATGTCGACTCCAACGCTACCAGCCTGGCCACCAGCCCTGTCCGAAGAGGCTCGCGAACATCTCTCACACCAAGCGACCGATTACGCTCTCTCTCACGGTATCGTCTACCGCCCTGTCCCCACCCCACCCTCCACCACCCCTTCGACGGACAGCACCATCCACGCACCCTTCTCGCTCTTCCCCTCGCCCTTCCCCCGAACTCTCTTCAACAAAGCACAATCCATCCAGCCAGCCTACGACCTTCTCTACGCGCAGGTCTCTTCCGACCACGCCTTCCTCGAACGTGTGATCGGCCAATCGGTCGTCCAAGTCGATTCGTTCCAGAAGCAGCTCTGGGACATCTACACTGCTGTCAAAGATGACCTTGTTCAGCCGCTGAGCCTGGGCTTGTTCAGAAGCGACTATCTGCTGCACGATGCGCAGAGCGAGGGAGAGGCGGGCAATGAGATGGGTAGCAGGTCCGGACAGCTGGAGTTGAAGCAGGTCGAGTTTAACACGATCAGCGCTTCGTTCGGAGCTCTCTGTACTAGGGTCAGTGGGCTGCACAGGCACCTTTCGAACACGACAGACTACCTGGGTCTTGAGGAGAGCTTGAAGGCGGACAATCTTCCAGAGAACCAGGCGCAAGATGTGCTGGTAGGAGGGTTGACTGCTGCCCATGCAGCTTACATCTCTCAGCAGGGGAAATCGGAGTCCGAGGCATCAACCCAGAACGTTTACGTGCTCTTTGTGGTCCAAGAGGGGGAGAGAAATGCATTTGATCAACGACCTCTGGAGCACGCCGTGCAGGCCAGAGGCATTCGAGTCGTTCGACAGAGCTTTGCCGAGATCGCCGAACGCATGACCATCAAGCCGGACGATGCTAAGCGTACGCTCTTCCTCAACCACCCGGTACTCGGACTGATTGAGATTAGTACAGTCTACTTCCGTGCCGGCTACGGACCTTCCGACTACACCGGTGATACCGATTGGAATACTCGCAAGCAACTCGAACAGAGTCTGGCCATCAAATGTCCCTCCATCGCTGTCCAACTCGCTGGAGCCAAGAAGGTGCAGCAAGTGCTCGCAGAGCCTCAGCAACTCGAACCGCTCCTCACCACCCTCCACGCCGACGCCTCTACAGCGCAATCGCTCAGAGACACCTTCACCGACCTCTACCCACTGGACGATTCCCCGCTCGGTCGCCAAGGCTACCAACTCGCCACCACTTCCCCGGAACACTACGTGCTCAAACCACAACGCGAAGGCGGCGGAAACAACGTCTACCGCACCGACATACCCCGCTTCCTCGCCGAACTAGAATCATCCTCCTCATCCTCATCAACTGCCGTCGCAAGAAGACAAGCGTACATCCTCATGAGTCTCATCAAACCGCCCTCCGGTCTCGGAAACTTTCTGGTGAAAGCCTCCACCCCCACCTCCAAAGGCGGCGCCGTACTCGCCAAGGACACTGTCTCCGAACTCGGCGTCTACGGCGCAATCCTCTTCTCCAACGCCAACTCCCACTCTCACGGCGTCCAAGTCAAACACCACCAATCAGGCGGCTATCTGCTCAGAACCAAAGGAAGAGACAGCGACGAAGGCGGCGTCGCCGTCGGCTTCTCCGTCATCGATTCACCCCTCCTCATCTAGAAAAACCAATTCTTGATTGCAATCGAACCAATCCAAAAACATGAAATCTTCACCTCCAACTAGCAGAAATCAACTTGGCCACAGTATGCAGCGCATGATACTTGACCTCTGCATCTTGATGCGTCATCAACTCCATGATCCTCGCCTTGGCACCTAGATCACTTACCCTCTTCTTACCCTGCTCGAAGAAGTGCACAAACTTGCCCACATCCGAACACGCCACCGCCAACGTTGTACTGTCCTCCGACTCCTTGAGAATCTTGACCAGCTGCTTCAGCACTTTCCCATCCTCCTCTACGAACTTGGGCGCGTTCTCCTTCCAGAAGTCATCCAGCTCGTGAACGGGACTCTCGAACGTCAGCGAACCGGATTGCAGCTCGGACAGATACTCGTCCCACGTGGTCATGAACTTGAGGCGCTCCGAGAGCTCCGACTTGATGTACTCGAGGTCCTCCTCGATCTCCTCGTCGGACCACTTGCGGGAGAGCAGGTTCTCGGTCAGCGTGAGCGCCTTGCTGCCGAGCATGACGGGTGCATTGACGTCCGGTGCCTTGGCGAGCAGGTTGCGGAACGTGGCGACGGTGACACGCGTCACCTTCTCCTTGACGGCGTTGCGTGCAACATCGACGAGCAGAGGGACGAGTCCGATCTTGACGTTGAGCTCGGCTGCGATGTCCTTGTTGAAGCTGAGCAGCCAGAAGCAGAGCACGACTTGGTAGATGAGCTGTGTTCCGGCACGCGTGGAGTTGGCGCCCGTGTTGGCGCCGACGACGAGCGTGCTCGCTCCGCTGCTGGTGGTCTGGCGGGAAGGGGTTGCTGATCCGGAGCCGCTCGGCGAGGTGGCGCTCGAGTTGAAGCTCGACCCGCCGGCAGGAGCGTTGCCGAGACGCAGGATGTGTGCCAGCTCGGCAAGGAAGCCGTGGTCGACAGCCTCGTCCGGTTGCTGCTGTTTCGCATTGTCGTCATCCTCATCGTCGTTCGAAGCCTTGGCTTTGCCAGACGACGACGGCGGAACCTGACCCATCTTGGCAACGGCGTGCTCCCAAGCTTCTTGGCGGTATTTCTGGGTGCGCAGGAGAGCCTCGAGCAGCACGAGTGCGATCTCGGGTCCATTGCCCTCGGCAAAGTCCGGCGACGTTCGTCGTGACGCAGGAGATGCGTTAGCGCCGGTCTGGGGTCTCCCAGATCCGTTTGTACTGGGTTTCGTGCTGGCACCGCGCAACAGGGAGGACAGGAAGGTAAGCAGGCGCGGCAGGACAGACGCAGGCGGGCTCGGCTGATCCGAGTGTGTGGCCGAAAAGACGAGAAGCAAAGTGAGGAATTGGGCCGACTTCATCTGCACAAAGTCGTCGGGAACATCGAGAAGCTTGACGAACGGCTTCCATGGGAAACCGATGCCGTCCTGCTCCTCTTGTCCGTCGAGCGAAAGGAAGAGCTCGAGTCGGTCGTCGCGATCGGAAAGCATGTCGTCGATAAGGACGAGGATCTGCTGAAGGGTATCGGTGCGGCTGAGTTTGGAAAGCAGGCGGAGGTAGAGAGACACATAGTCGGAGCCATGCTCATCCAAGAGAGGATTGAGCTTGGAGCGGTCCTGACCGATGACGATGGCATCGACGCTCTTGATCATTTTGAGCTCTTCGCCGCTCAACAGATCAGCGCGGTGATAGCCCTCCCATGGGATGGGTCGGGCGCGAATGCGTTGTGTGAGCTCCTGGATCCATTTGTTGGTGAGGTAGACGAGCGGAGGCCTCTCGATTGCGTCCTTGTTGGCCTTGTCCTTGGACTGGCCATCCGACGGCTGCTTGGAGCTGGAAGACGACGACATGGTTTGGGAGCGCGTTCCAGGCCTAGCTGCAACGACCGAACCAGCTGTTCTTCAATCCTCACACTTGACGAGAAATGCTCCTTCCAGAAGACGGCGCGGATGTATGTTTGAATGGTGGTGGCGACGGGTGGAGCTGCGGCAGATGGTGACCAGGGCCAAGATTCGATCGGAAGCAGCGGCGTGGAGATTAGGACCTTGGTGCAGGCCTGCCCCTGTTCGAGCCGCTTGCAGCACGCTTCCGCTCGCTCTCGCTGCTGCTTGCTCTCTTTCTCTCTCGAAAATGTGACGTTCGACTGGAAATCACGTTTTGGCGCTGCAGCTCTCTCTAGAAAAGGTGGCCCGTACGCTGCTTCTCCGTTCTGCTGAAGCTTGTCCTCCACCCCCCTTCAAATTCACGAGGCAGCAGAGCACGTTACAATCGTGATCGATCTCAGGCAAGCTCGAGAATTTTGCTGTACTCTTGATTGTTAGACCAAAGTCAGCCTTTCCGCACGATATTTTTCTCACTGAATCCAGTCAGGGTCATCCGAGCAGGGAGGAAGGAAAGAAAGCTTAGGAAAATGCGAGCGAGACCCAATTTTTTCCGATTCCAGAAGATCTGGCCATCGCTGCTGCTGCTGCTGTTGACCATCATCCTCGACCTCCATCTCGTACTCTCCTAGCTCGCTCACCTAATTGCTCTCGCCTCTTTTCGCCACATACTCAGATCTATATGTCGGCAACAAGGTCCGCCGCGCCACGCTTGCGGCTGCTGCAGTCTCAGCCGCTTGCAAAGCGTCTCTTGCACTCCACTTCCAGTAGCTGTGCCGCACCAGCTGCGGCCTCCAGCTCCGCAGCGGTAACGTCTGCTCCAATCGCCGACACAGGTAGCGCATCGTCTTCATCGAACAAGATCATCAGCTCGCTCATCCTCTCCAGACCGCCGGTCATCCTGCGCGAGCCGAGCAGCTTCGAAAAGGCCTACCACGAATACAATCGCCAGCTCTCTGAAGCGCTGCAGCAACCCTTCCCGAAGGACTTTTACTTCAAGAAGGGATCCGCAGCCGAGAAGCGCTTCGAGGAGGATCAGGCCAGCTCGCCACAAGGTTTCTCAGCCATCGCCGCTGCTGCCTCAGGGTCGGCGTCGAAGAGCAAGGCCGGCAAAGGCAAGGAGGCTGCTGCTACGTCTTCCTCTCCTTCGTCCTCGGCTGCTGAGGGTGACGCAGAGAGCCGACCATTGTCAAGAATCACCAAAGCGGATGAGAACAACGACGTCCGCAGTCTAGAAAGGAGGCTCGATCGAACACTCTACCTCGTAGTCAAGCAAAAGTCAGTCAAGGGCGCTGCCGCCTGGCGTTTCCCAGCCAAGGCACTCACCGACACCAAGCATCAGAATCTCCACGACGTTGCGCCTACATCCGTTTCCGAAAGTTTGGGCTCGAAGATGGACATCTGGATGGTGTCAAATCTTCCGGTAGGATTGTATAAGCCGGCAGACGCCGCGGCTGAAAAGACGTACTTCCTGCGAGGGCATGTACTCGCTGGAAACGCCGAGCTGTCCGATTCCAAAAGCGGGCAAGTCGAGGAGTTCCAATGGCTCACAAAGGAGGAGATCGAGAAGCTGATGGAGTCCAACTACTGGTCGAACGTTGAGGACCTCCTCGATCCGTGACGGCAATTGCTCGCTCGGCGGCTCATTGGCTCGAACGCAGACGCCACTGCCATCCATGTACTTTTAGAGATTTGAAAAGCGACACAGTATCACTTTCCAGCAAGGACCGTGAGCTCCCCAAGGAATTGCTGACGATCTTGAGTGTTGTCAATCCCAGATTGATCACGTCCAGGCGAAATCTTTTGGACTTCGACGTCGGTCACGTGTACACAGCAGCGAGCTGTTCGCTACTCAACACGACTGTCTCGCCCCGCGTCCGGGCCGCATGAGGCATAAGCTGATAGCATCGAGCATTTCTCTGCCTGCCTTACAGTCGGATTGTTGGAAGCCTTGGACAACATGGAATCGGGCCTCATAACACAATTGAGCTGTGGATTGCCCCATATACGCCAGGATCTGAAAATGAACGGATCCGTGGACGAAAGGCAAGCCGAATGCACGCGAGCGTCGACTGACCGTGTGACTGACTGGCCGAATTGGCGCCAACTGTCGCTGCCAGACTAGAGAGCTCGCTTCGAAGATGGCGTGTCGGCGTGTCCCGTGGTGTACAGTGGTAACTTGTGGAAACTAATTCTCCGCTCAAGGCGTTCCGTTATGCGAGGGCACACAGATCTTCGGCCCCGCCAGCCTGGTCGCTCTCACTCTTTTCTTCAACCGTTTTTATATTTATTTATAATATTATTGAACTGTAAATATTTGCTCTGTTGTTCGAGAACCCAATCTGGCGACGGTCAATTTTCCACCTGATCGGAGCGTGAACCGACCGTTGGCTAGCGTCGCTTGGGCTGCATGGCCTAGAAGTCGACGTCGTTTGACACTCGTTAATTGGCCTTGTTCTTCACAACCCGAGGCGAGACTCTCGTGTCAAAGCTGCCTTGGTTTGCCTGGCCTTGCAGCTCGGCTGAGTTCCTCTGCCCGTGCCCCTCGCCTTCTATTTCTGTTGCACGGCACGAGGCACTGTCCCGACCCTTTTCCCGCCGTCTCCGTTTTTCTTTCTTCCTAAATAATTGGAACAAGTACGTTACAGGTCGCAGCTCGCTCGACCTCTGCGGAAACGCGACATGACATGAAAGGCCAACGAAAGTCTAGCGCTGCAGCGTGGTCCGCTCGAGTCTGCCGCGTCTCGATTTTCTTCCGTCTGCAGCAGCGCCGCGCCCAGGCCAAGGCGAAAATCGTATCGCATCGCTTCCATTCGGTCCCGTCGCCTGCTTCATCACCTTCACCTCTTCGTCACGACACTTCCACACAGCATCATCCTCGGCGCCTCGTCCTCACCGCAGTAGCTTGATCGCTGGCTGTGAGCAGACATCCGTCGACACGCTCACTCACCCTTGCCCTGCGCACTGCAGTGTAGACGGAATTGAGCGCACCCCGAGTCAGGCTTCTTTCCTGACTTCGAGTCGATTGTACTGGTCAACCGCAGGGCACATCCGTTGCTCGTATCGCAGCAACGCATCCACGGCATTACCGATTGGCTCTTCCGACCTGTAGACATATCTACCAAATCGGTCAGGCTGACGCTCGGCCAATCTAGCTCGGATCGCAGGTCATCTGTCTTCTTCCGACTTTTGGGCATCTTTGTCGCTTCGGTAGCATCCGATCCGCGCAAGCGTGCTCAATAAAGGCTTCTTCCAAATTGTTCCCCCGCCGATATCCTCAGTTTTGCAAAGCTCAGCCCGCTGAGCACCACTGCAATCCGCCATGCCGCCTTCAGCGCGACACAATGTGCACCCTTCGCATCATCCTCATGCTGGCGGTCGGGATCTTCACCATGTAGCCGGCGGCCCTCCTCCTCAAGGCGGTCCAGGTATGCCTCCTGCGTCAGCCAACGGCCCCATGCATCACCCGCATTCCTCCTACGCTCAGTCCATGCCGCCCCCGCCCGGCTTGCCTCCGCACGCTATGAATGGCGTCAACGGTCCGCCGTCGACTCATGGAGGACCGCCCCCTCGTATGCTCATGGCTGACGGACCCGGCGGCGCTGGCGGCCCTCCACCTCCACCACCGCACATTCCTCGCTCCTCGTCTGCACAGAGTCGCATCATGGATTCTGCGGGTGGTCCGGCTGGTCCTCCTGCCTCAACATCTCCTGCGGTGCAGAAGCTCTCGCTCGCCAACGAAGCCGCCTGGGTCTCGATTGGTTCGGCCGCAGAAGCCATGGAGGACTACGATCGTGCGCTCTCGGCGTACGAGGCTGCTCTTCGACACGACCTTTATTCGGTCCCTGCTCTCAGCGCCATCGCCGGCGTCCATCGCACCTTGGACAACTTCGAAAAAGCCGTCGATTACTTTCAGCGCGTGCTCAACATTGTCCCCGAGAATGGTGACACGTGGGGCTCGATGGGCCACTGCTACTTGATGATGGACGACTTGCAGCGTGCCTACACCGCCTACCAACAAGCGCTCTATCATCTGCCCAACCCCAAGGAGCCCAAGCTCTGGTACGGCATCGGCATCCTCTACGATCGATACGGCAGCCTCGAGCACGCAGAAGAGGCTTTCGCCAGCGTCGTCCGAATGGATCCCAACTACGAAAAGGCAAACGAGATCTACTTCCGTCTCGGCATCATCTACAAGCAGCAGAACAAGTTCCCCGCCAGTCTCGAGTGCTTCCGCTACATCCTCGACAACCCGCCCCGTCCGCTCACCGAGATCGACATCTGGTTCCAGATCGGCCACGTCTACGAGCAGCAGAAGGAGTTCAACGCCGCAAAGGAGGCCTACGAGCGCGTCCTTGCCGAGAATCCCAACCACGCCAAGGTGCTGCAGCAGCTCGGATGGCTCTACCACCTCTCCAACGCCGGCTTCAACAACCAGGAGCGTGCCATCCAGTTCCTCACAAAGAGTCTCGAATCGGATCCCAACGATGCGCAGAGCTGGTACCTGCTCGGACGTGCCTACATGGCCGGTCAGAATTACAACAAGGCTTACGAGGCGTATCAGCAAGCCGTCTACCGCGATGGCAAGAATCCGACGTTTTGGTGCTCGATCGGTGTTCTCTACTACCAAATCAACCAGTACCGCGATGCACTCGACGCCTACTCGCGTGCCATCCGCCTCAACCCTTACATTTCCGAGGTGTGGTTCGACCTCGGCAGTCTGTACGAGGCTTGCAACAACCAGATCAGCGACGCCATCCACGCCTACGAGCGTGCCGCCGACCTCGACCCGGACAACCCGCAGATCCAGCAGCGCCTCCAACTCCTGCGCAACGCCGAGGCGAAAGGTGGCGAGCTGCCAGAAGCGCCGGTGCCCCAGGATGTCCACCCGACCGCCTACGCAAACAACAACGGCATGGCTCCTGGGCCCCCTACCCACATCGGTGGCGGACCGGGTCCTTCGTATCCTCCACCCCTCGGTGGCCCTCAGCTTGCCGGCAATGGAGGAGGACGTGGGGACATGTCCGATCGCGACTTGCCCGGTCCCGGTCACCTTGGATCGTCCCGCTCACCTCCGCCGTTCCGTGGCGGTGGCCCTCCTGGTGTAGACGAACGTGGACCTCGTGGTCCTCCTCCCGGCGCATTGGCTCCCATGGTCGGAGGTCCAGGTGGTCCCGAGCCTCAGGGACGTGGTGGGTTCCCGCACTCGCGAGGCCCCTCGCCCGGTCCACCTCGCATGGATCCTTACGGCAGGAGGCTGGGATCGCCGCCGCGCCGCACGCCGCCTCCACCTCTGCGTGCAGACATGCACGATGCTCATGGCTCAGCCCCACACGGCCACGGCCACGCTCACGGTGGCGACTTCCGTGGTCCACCGGCCCTTGCAGCTGGTGGGCCCAGCGGACCGCCCCCGCCCTTGGATCAGTACGGTCGACCGATGGGTGGTCCTATGAGCGAACGCGAGCGCGAAATGGAGTGGGAGCGCGAGAGAGAAAGAGAGCAGGCTGCTCGAGGTTACCCTGCCAGCGGACGCATCACACCCAAGAACGAGCAAGGCTACGCACGCTCGCAGCACGGCGGCAGCAACGCGCCCTCGCCGGCATTCGGAAGACCTCCTGTCTACGGACGCGACGATGGTCGTGACCACTATAACAACGGCCATCCTAGCTCTGGACCTGGCGGTCCGCGAGGAGGCTACGAGCGAGGACCCGGTGGTCTTCATGCTCCTCCACCTGGCTTGCGACACGAGGAGCGAGGCCCTCCGCCGCCTCAGTTCGAGCACGAGCGTGGTCCGCCTCCGCCTCGTCAGGCCGGTGACGGCCGTCACGATGGCTACGGCGACGTTCATGACGGATCCATGGGCAGCGCCCCTGGGCGAGGACCACCACCTGGACTCCGTGGACCCACCCCCGATTGGGAGCGTGCTCGAGCTGGCGAGCATGGCCCCCCTTCGCTCAACGATGGTGCAGAGGGTCGCAACGCGGGCGGATCTGCAAGCAAATCGCGCCGGGGGCCCAAGTCGAAGGATGAGCTCGAGGCAGCACCCGCGCCGCCCTCGCCTGCTCCGTCGGCGGCCGCCAAGAAAGGCAAGACAGCAAGCTCGCGGGCCAGCTCGCCTTGGTCTGCAAAGGGAGGTGCTGCTGCTGCTGCAAAGAACGGCAAGTCGGCTACGCCCTTCGGTGCATCTACTGCTGCCAGTGTAGGCGGTGGAAACAAGAAGGGAAGCTCGGCTGCGCTGCTTGCGCGCGAAGATCAGCCGGACTCGAGGGCTGGCTCGCCCGCCGGAGATGCTCGAGCGCAACGCGAAATTTCGCCGGCGAGCTCGGATGGCAGCAACGAGCCACTCGCCGCGCGTGCTCCGTCGTCCCGCATGGTGGACGAGGACTACGACGAAGGTGCTGCTGATGCGCTGATGGGTCTCGCTGGTGCGGCTTCAGCGTCCGCGCCGTCAATGGCAACGCCTATCGCGGCACCGGCAGCGCCTGTTGCGACGTCCGATCGAGCACCCAGTCCAGAGAGGCGTGCGGCAAGCTCATTGGGCAAGCGACCCTACGCGGACGAAGAGAAGGCAGCTGACGAGCGGGAAGATTCGTACAAGCGAGCCAAGAGCGGAAGCGCAGCTGCTGTTGAAGCTGAAGTGACAAGTAGTAGCGCGAGACTCGACGAGGCTCCCGAACCTGCCCAGTCTGAGGCCATTGCGCAAGCAGAGTCGGCGGAGCAGCCGAAGGAGACCACAGCTGCGACACCGCCGCCGCCTCCTGCTGCGGCTGTCGCTCCCGAGTCCCGAAGCAACGCTGCATCGGAGAGCAATGCCCAGCCGATGGATGTAGATGGTCGAGAGCCGTCGCCGGGACCATCGGAACCAGCAGCCGCGACAAAGGACTCGCCAACTACCGGTGATCTAGCCGCAAGCGCAGCCGCCGCCGCCACCAAAGCTGGGGAAACCTCTTCGTCGCCTGCCGTCTCGACGACAGAAACGAAACAAGCGCCACCGGTTGCAGTTGAGGGTGGCGAGAAGGAGACCGCCGACGATGACGAGAGGGAAGAGGAGGAAGGTCAGATTCACGAGGATCCGAGCGATGCTGTTGCCAAGCCTGCAAGTGAGGATGCCAGCAAGTAAAGAAGTTGTATCGCACAAAAATGAAAGGAAGCTCAGAATTGGTGTGAGCTCCAGTCTTTCCAATGCAAAACTCATCGAACAAGCTCTGCTGACACGTGTGTGTGTGCAGTATGATGGCACTGACAACGACGAGCACAATCAGCAACGATAGTCATGCGATGGATGCCAAAAAGAAGCGTCAATGATGAAAAGAAATGAGTGGGAAATTGTGGACGTGAAATGATCAAGCAACAAAATCGCATGCAAGAGCAGTGGGAGTGCGGTGTGCCATGACCAGGGTGCATGTACGCCTACCGCCAGCACGCATGCATCCGTACAGAGATGCCTGACATGCCTGCAGTGACAACGGCAAGCGACCTCCGATGCAGTCGTAGGAACACAGCCGTTTGCGTCACACCTCGCGTCTTCCACGTTTTGGCCGTCTTCTCCCACAGGAGTCTCTGCTTCTTCGACGACCGCATAGAAGGAATGCGCCAAATTGTCATGGAAGACCGAGTACAAGGTGACGACTGGCAGGTTCTCGTTGCTTTTCCGAGCCCGGGGGTTCCACTTGCCATTCCCAAAGAGAAGGGCAAAACCGACTCTGACTGGCTAGCGTCGGAGATCGAATTTACCTGTTGCTGAGTCCCGCGGACAAGGTTGGTGTTGTTCTCTCGGAAAGAAGCTAACGCAGAACGCAGCCCGTCGGCGCAACGCTGGCAGCTGTAAACTTGATCCGAGATCGAGCTTGGATCGCAAAGCCTTTGATTGGCATAGTCATGCGCGTCGGCTGAAGGTCAATAGCAAAGAAGTCTTAATTGAGCAGAGCGTTTGACATCGTGCCGCCTGCGCAATGGCGTGCGGCATCGATTCCACCCTTTGCAACCTTCTCGAGTGTTGCGCTTTCATGTTCAACCAAACATTCGAACGTGTGGGAAAAGCTTCCAGGCGAGTTTGCAACGTCCTCCCTCGATGTCAACCGCGCCACGAAACTGCGTGGCTCTCCTATTTCGAAACATCCGGGATAGCGTATTAGCAAATGGACAGGACGCCGATGCCGAACACTGTCTACGTGTGCCGCAGCCTCCTATTGCTGCTTGTAAACACTGTATAAGGCACCTCGACTAGAACGTCGCTCTGCCAAGACCAGAGCATCTTGATCGCCAACCACGCGAGACGTCATCGAGATCCGTGCATGATCCACAGGCGGGGGTCAAATCCATACATAGCGAGAGACCGCGACTAAGGACCAAGAAATGTCGATTCCCGACTCCGAAGGTCACAAGGCGGCAGGCGAAAAAGACTTGGCTCTGTGAGTTGGTGCTTGTGGCTCGATTTGGCAGGCCAGAGTTGATGCTTTCCTCGCTTGGCGAATCCCAAACGCTTTGAGCCCTCGGCACAGACTGCGGTTGGCGAATTCGAACTCGCCTCCGTCGTCGCTGGCTCCTTACCGCTCCTGCTGCGCTTACACCACACGACCGCGGTACCAAACAAAGAGAGCAGTGACGCCTTTTCGGACAAGGCAGAAGGAAGAGATGTCCGTGATCACTCGTCCGTGCCATGCTGCTGCTGCTCCGCCTGCTTCACCTCGGCTTCTCCGACAGAGACCGATCCCAAGCGCAAACTTGAGACGCTCGCGTTCTCGATCCCCTGCCTTTCCAGAGAAATCCCTTCTCACCCTATACTTAGCAAATACAGTAAAGAACAAATAAATTAATTTCTTTCAAAAGGCTCCGTCGGCTTTCTCTGGTACAGAGGAATCGTGTGCCCCTGTGTGGATGTCGATCGTGTCTGTTCGGAAACAGTCAGCCAGATCCTTTTCCTGTTTAAAGCTTGGCTCTTGCCGTTCGCTGCTTTGCCTTTGCTCTCTTTATGCTCAATTCCTTGACAGAGAGAATACCAACCCACTGACCAATGAGCCTAATCGGTCTCGTTGCTGCGCCTTTCAACTTGACATCTCGTAAGTCAACACAAACGTTTTATGAAACGATGACTCTGGCTTTCGGCTTGCGACGAGGACGTGGCAAAGAGGCATGCACGACCGAATCAAGGGTGCATTTGCGTGCGGATATACGTGTGTGTGTGTTTCAAAGTCACCGCGTTGTGCAATTGGTTCGGCACACACTGCTGGGCTGTGCCCGCGGTGCTACTGCTGCACCCTTACACAAACTCGCCTGCCGTTTCTCAACCTTCTTGCTCCACGCTCACGCTCGATCTGCCGTCGATCTGCCTCATGGTCGCTGATCGCTTGCCCAAAAAATTTCAGCCACGCAGTGTCCGGCCGACGCGCCCCTGTCCCTCTTCTTTTCCACTCTGTGTGCCACTTCCATGCGCATCGTTTCTCACTCTCCTCAGACGCTCCAAACTTTGAATTTGGTCGCCTCAAGCGATAAATGAGATATTGGGACGCACACTCACAAAAGAAGCACACGCTGCCACACGCTGCCACATCTGCACACACAATCCCGCACGCTGTGTCTGTCATTTTCTCTCTTGACACTGGCTCACTCTCGCTTTTCGCCCTCAAGTGACAAGCAACACTTTTGGTCTGCTCCCCGCCGCCTCTCCGACGTCTCTCCTTCGCCCTTGCCCTTCCCAGCCAGCCTCGCTTAGCGTCTCCATTGAATTTGGGACCTGCTGTCTGTTCCTTCTCTGGCTGACCCTTCCAGCTCAGTTCGCGCCTTGCTGCTTGGAAGCCAGCTCCGTCCCCTTACCTGCCTCTGGCTGCTTCTCTCTCTCTCTGCCCCTCTCCCCTCTGTGCTGTTGTTCTAGCTCGGTCACGATCACGCTTGTTGCTCGACTCCATCTTTGTTGGCCTTCCTCGTCTCCACCGTTACACAAGGGTAGATTCCTCCTTCTTGCCATCCTTTCAGCTCCTCTCCTCTCTTCACTTCTCTTCTTTGCATTTGCCACTCTTCCATTCCTCCGCCACGAACGTACTCGGAACACGCGCCGATCCGGATCGATTAGACCATCACTGCGCGCACTTCTCACGCTCAGCGCATCCAAACCGGATCTTCCGATCCGATCCAATCCACTCCACTCCAAGCCTTTGCTCTGCACGCTTTGACCCAGCTGGTCTACCTGTCTGCTACGCGGCAGACACGTTCCGGTGCATCACACTTGTCGATTGGGCTCCGTTTGTTTGCATACAGCCGGCCGACAGCTGGCTGCGCACCGCTTGCTTCCGCTTCCGCAACGGCGCATCTGTCTCTCGTCTTACGGGTACTCTCGAGCGATTCCGTGGTCGATCACAACCGTCGTCCGTGATTTGCGATTCTCGACGACCTCGAGCGGCTCCGCAAGCCAAAGGCAGCACGACTTCCGGGAAGCGCACCCTCGTCACGTTGCTTTGAGCGCCACTCCAGCACTCGCTTTACATGAGCCCTCGATCGGCTTGAAAGGCGGTCCTAAACCATAACACAGGCGCAGCGTGCGGTGCGTACGACCTTGTCATAGAACCGAACCGGCCCTGTCGGTCGCTACTCAGTGACGAGTTACGTTCTGGGAAGCTCAATTTTCGTTCGCGCACGTCCCCCAAACCATCCCGTAACCCGACACCGCCAGCGGTTTACGACCCCTCGGACGGAGCTAATCTCACCAGCAACCTCAACCTCGTCCCCGAGCTCCCACGGCTTTACTCATGTTTGGCAGTCAATTTCAGACCCAGCCGTTCGGTCAGTCGACACCGGGCTATTATCCGCACATGACGCCCCAACAGCAGCAGCAGCATCAACAGCAACACCACCAGCAGAACCAGTTTGCTTGGCTGCAGTATCAGCAGCAAATGTTGCAAGCACAGCAATACTACGGGCAGCAGCAGCAGCAGCAGCAACAGGTTCAATCTTCGCCGGCAAGCGAGATGGGGCCGGGCCTCGACAGCCGTCGACGCACCTCATCCACTCCTCAACGTCCGGCCAACGTCACCTACAACGACACATTCCGTCGCGACCAGCAGCAAGCTGCCCCCGCCCTTGCCTTCCCCGGTGTCTCGTACGCGGCCGGCGTGCCTCAGCTCAACTCGATGCGCAGCTTCAACGGTCAGCCGATGGCCGCTGCTCAGTTTGGCCAAATTGCTCCCTCTGGCCATTCCGCCTCGTCGTCCGTATCATCGGCAGGCGGTTTCCATCCTTACCGCAGGACACAACGTGGAACCTCGGATGTTGGCACAAACAACACGCAACACTACACCAACACCGCTGCAGCCACGCAACCCGTGGTCGCACCTCGCATTCGCACTGCAAGCACAGCTTCGCAGACTTCCTCGCGCGAAACCTCGCCCATGCTCGCCGCCGAGCGTAAACGTGGCTTTGCCGCAATCCCTTCCTCCAACTCCACGCCGGGCTTGCCAAACGGCCATGGCGCCAAAAGCACACCCTCACCGACCAGCTCATCTCAGGCTGGTCTCTCTCATCTGCGTGGCGCACCGCCACGGACCAACAGCCAGTCTTCCATTGGTTCCGACGTCTCTTCGAGGACCGCTACCGCCTCTAGCGCTGCGGGTGCCGGTGCGGGTGCCGGGGCCAACGCATCCGCTCCCATTCACCAACGATCGAACTCGTCTGCATCGATTCAATCGACCAGCAGCTCCCAGCGTGTCCAGCCGCCCAGCATCATCAACTCCAAGAAGCCGTCGCCCTTGTCCAGACAAGCCGCAAAGGACGACGATGACGAGGCCGTCTACGGCGGCAGCGATGACGACCGCGTCAACGGCGGACGCTCCACCCCCATGCCCGGCTATGCTCCCAAAGCATCCAAAAAGACTGGCCTCTCGAGCAAGCTTCGCAAGGCCCTCTCCTTCTCCAACATGAACGACATCCAAGACAACGCGCCTCACGGCACGTCGTCCGCTGCCGCTGCTAGGCGTCCCCAGAACGGTGTTTTCGGTCGTGACCTCGGCGGTCTGCCCAACTCGTCGGGAGACACCAACGCATCCACAGGGTCGACTCGCTCCACGTCGCCTCCACGAACGCCCGACAACGGAGCCGCCCTTCCTGGCTCGTCGGCTGCTTCCATCACTTCGCGACGCGGCACACGTCCTCCGCTCTCGGGCAACAACGACGGCAAGCGCAGCATCTTCAACCGCAAGTTCAACTCTTCCACCGACAACATCTCGATCTCGTCGACCGTCTCTAGCGCGTCGGTCATGCTGCGCAAGGTGGGCAACCTCGGCAAGCTTGCACGACGCCACTCGCTCATGGGCCTCACCAACATGTTCAACAAGGACAAGGACGGCCGAGACGGCATGGACGCGGACTCGTTCGGCACCATGCCTACGGCCTCGGACGATTCGGCCATCAACACCAAATCCAAGAAGGTTCCCAAGAGCAAGAAGGGCACTCCTTCGAGTGCATCCATCACGCACGCCACCGTCGAGCTCGAGAGTGGTCGTGCCACGGATGCAGGCATGACTCCGGCTGCGTCGTACGTGCGCCAGCATCAGCTTCAGATGCAGGCGCAAGCCGAAGCGGAGGCGCGTGCTACCCGTGAACGCCAAGAGTCCGACGCCAGAGCACGCGAGGCGGGCGAGAACCGTCAAAAGATGATCGAAAAGGAAAAGGAGAGGCTCAAGTCGAAACGCGGCTGGCGCAAGAAGTTCGGCAGCAGCGGCGGCAGCATCAGTTCCATCACTTCGGATGCACCGACCGGGCTCGAGACCACGTACGCCGAGCCAGAGCAGTACGTCGATGCTGCCGACGGCCAGCACAACGGCGAGCCGCTCGTTTCCGCTGCGCCGCCTCAGCTGTCAATGCCGTACGGCGAAGACGGTGGATTCGAGAACTCGTTCGAGAGCGAGCTGTTCGAGCCACCCCACATGCCCGCCGCTGGTGGTATGGGCGGTGAAGACTCTGGCGACGAGCTCGAAACCGACAGCCTGCGTCACTGGGGCGAAGGCATCGAGAGATCGCGCGCCAGTGCAGCGCAGTTCAAGAACCCCAAGGGCATCCTCAAGAAGACGGCCTCGACGCCCGACCTTTCGCTCAGCGGCGGCTTCGAGAAGCCGTTTGCTGGCCGCATCCGCGCCAACTCGTACGATGCACCTCAGGCCACTCCGGCAGCATCCGGAATGCCCAGCTCGAACACAATGACCAACATTTCGAGCAACGCGGCTGGCGTCGAGCGCCTCGACGGCGTAGGCGCCAAGACGGATTCGCCTGTTTCCTCTCGACCCGGTTCGCGCACTGGCGACGCACTTCCGGCGCGATCAGCCTCGCCCGGATCGATCCAGCACGCAGGCGGCGTGCTGGGACACCACTCGAACTCGTCGATGCCGACGCTGTCGTTGATGATGGATCCATCCGCCGACTTTGTGCCGCAGCGTTCGGTGACGGCGCCAACGCAAGCCAGGAAGAAGCTTGTGTTTGCCGACGATCTGATCTTCCACTCGACGTGGCCGGCAACGGTCTACGACCGACGTGGCGAGCAGGCGACGTGCAACCGACTGACACCATTGCTGGCGCAGCGCATCAAGGAAGAGCTCAACACGTACAAGATGGAGGAGATGGCCGTGGCGCCTTCGAGTCGCATCTACACGCACTTTTTCGTCTAAAGTATCTGGCGCGTTGCTGGCTAGCTGGCTGTTGATCCACCTCGACATTGTTCTCACTTCATGCTCCTGTCTCGACTCGGTCAACTCTTCATTCTCCCGCATTTACATCGCTGCGTTTTCCGCACCCTCCAACAAAACCCCGACCGCTGCATACATTACCTCTTCTTCTTTCCGTGGCATCTGGCATCGGTCGACCAACACATACATCTGCACTTCCGGGCCCCGTCTTTTCCGTCTCCAACATCATGCTGTTTCGTGCTCCCTCTCATTCACATCATTGGTATCGGGTTTCCGGCTTGTTCACACATTGCTTTCAACACATCTCATTGCATTGACCCTCGTTCTCACACTTGCTTCACATTTGACCCGGCTCTCAACAATCAAGTTTTGCGTGAGGCTGCCTCGATGGCGGTCTTCCAGTTTCTCTGTTCACGACTCACGCTTGTGACGTGAGCTCATATGATAGCAGTCGAGATTTAATTGAGGATCTGTGAGTAGAACGGACAGCGAAGACTGAATCGAGTAATACAGACTGTTGGAGTGGATTTTGTAGGAAGAAAAAGCTCGAAGAGTCCGAAAGCCAGACGAGCGATGGACAGTGTGTAGCGATCTTACAAGGAAAAGGGCCAAAAAGCGACCAGATCGAGACGTTTTCCTGAAAACGTTTTGGCGTAGACGGTCGATCGGGAGAAGCCAGAGATGGGGAAATGACAGCAAGCAGCGGCGGACGTGAAAGTGGCAGAAGAGCGAGCAAGACGGGGCGGAAAGCGTCTTCCGTGTTCGAGTGCTGCTAGTGCTGGTGCTGCATCCGCCCTGTTTCGTCATCGCTGCTTCATTTTCTGTTTGCGCCTTGACCACCCTCTGCAAAAGGCGCGTGCCCTCTGAGCTCCACCTGGTCGACGTGGACTCAAGAAGGGGAAATTCAGGGTTGGGCGCCTCTGCGTCTCTCTCTCTCTCTCTCTCCTGCTCAGACTGTTGCATTTTGAAAAAGGTCGAAAAAACCGAGATCGTCATCCACTGCGTCTGCTGCTGCTGCTGCTGCTGCTGATGGAGCAAGTGGGGAAAAATCGCAGATCGGTCAAGAGGAGCATCCGTGATGAGCTCGCTCTATTTTTACACGCCTGAGTATGAAAGCAGCAGGCGCCCGACAAGTCTGCGGGATGCGTGCGTCTGACGTTTTCAGTCGCTCGTTTGCAGTTCGCATCGCATCTAGCCTCGTCCCGCCTCGTGCCCCTGTCACGCTCAGAGGCCACGACGGCCTGCGATCCTTTTTTGTTGGTTCGTGTCTGTACTGCGTCCCCCCGTCACTTGCCGCCGCTGTTGCTTTCGCCTCCACCATCGACATCACTATCCGACACCGTCAGAGCCAACAACGTTCAGACCACCCTCGCATCGTCCACGTGTGACTCTCTCGAAGAGGTCTTTCAATCGAGATTCATCCGGGAGTGCACGACAATTATCTGGCTCGTCTCAACCCTATCTCATCCGCATTGAATCCCACGTCGACCGAGACGCCTACGTTCAAGCAGACCCCGTCTTTCAGTGCTGGCTTCATCATCGCAAACGACACTGCCAACGCCGAGTCTCCACGTCTCGCGTTCATCAGCTTGCCCGCTCGACGAACGACAGCGGTCCCTCTTAGAGTGTCCTGCCGACTTCCCTTCTATAGCTCGAGAGCGAACGATCATCCAGTCACTGGCCTGATCTGTGCTCTTCAACCTTGACGAGGAGCTTAAACGCCTGCCTGTCTCATCAAGCCGGCAAGCACGGCGTATCCTGACTTTCCGTCGACACAGCATTCATCGCTTTTAGATAGAACGTCATTCCCACACGTCTCTCACAATGGGTCTGCTCGATCACGTCAGCGGTGCCGTCTCGGGCGCCAAGTCGCACATCAAACCTACCAAGGAAGACCGTCCTCCCGAGGGCGCCTCCGCCGACGACACCGAGGAGCTCGATGAAGAAGCTGGCAACATTCTCATGTCGCTCATCGGACAGCTCCGCATAGGTATGGATCTGTCCAAAGTGACGCTGCCCACGTTTGTGCTCGAACCGCGCTCCATGCTCGAGCGAATCACCGACTTCATGTCACATCCCGATCTCATCTTTGGCGCTGGCAAGATCGACTCGCCCGAAGAGCGTTTCCTCCACATCACACGCTACTACCTCTCTGGATGGCACATCAAGCCCAAGGGCGTCAAGAAGCCCTACAACCCCATCCTCGGCGAGTTCTTCCGCTGCACTTACAACTACACCGATGGAACAAAGGGCTACTACATTGCCGAGCAGGTATCGCACCATCCACCCGTCAGCGCTTACTACTACGTATCGCCCGAGAACAACCTGATCTTCTACGGCGAGCTCAAGCCCAAGTCCAAGTTCCTGGGCAACTCGGCAGCCACTCTGATGGGCGGTGAGAACCGCGTCGTGCTGCTCGACCGTCAAGAAGATGGCGAGTACCAGATTTCAATGCCCAACATGTACGCCAGAGGCATCCTGTTCGGCAAGATGGTGCTCGAGCTCGGCGACACGAGCAAGATCCGCAACGACGCCAACGATCTCAGCTGCGACGTCGAGTTCAAGACCAAAGGCTACTTCACGGGTACCTACAACGCCATCGGTGGCAAGGTCACCAAGGGCGGCAAGACGGTGGGTGAAATCAGCGGCAAGTGGAGCGAATCCATGGACTACAAAGACTCGAGCTCGGGCAAGCACGAGGAGCTCTTTGACGCACGCAAAGCCACCATCGTTCAGAAGGAGGTCATCCCCGAAGACCAGCAGGAGGAGAACGAATCGCGTCGTTTGTGGAGCAAGGTCACCGAGGGCATCAAGGAGAAGAACCTCGACAAGGCCACCGAGAGCAAGTCGGCGATCGAGGAGAAGCAGCGCGCGCTGGCAAAGGAGAGGGAGGAGAGCGGGTCCACCTGGGAGCCCAGGTTCTTTGTCCAGAAGGGCGACAAGTACTACCCCAAGATGGATGCTCTGCCTTCGGACGAGTACAGGACACAGGCGGTCGCCGAGTACTTTGCCAAGCTGTCTTAGAGGGCGAAGTGGGGGTCGCGGGGAGGCTGCGTGGCTATGAACGCTGTCTCGTCTCGATCTTCCATCTCACTTGCTGTTGCTTCTGTCGATCCCTATATGATCCCGATTGTGTTTGTTTCCCTTTTATTCTCGCGAGAAATGCGACTCTATACTGGAAAGCGGTTGTCGTGGTTTCGCACAAGCAGGCTTTGTGAGAAGGGACAGTGAGAAAGAATGCCCTTGCTTCCCAAAACGATGTATTGGCACAAAGCACAGTGTGTTTGAGCGGTCCGGGTTTGGGTAAAGTATGAATATGTTAATGCGGAACCTACCACAAGTGGGTGTGAAAAAAGGCAGTCGCGTAAATGAGCGGCTTGGCGGTGGAAAGAGGCGCGTCAAGGAACGCGTTAATGGACGCGACTTGGGCGAATGGTAGAGTTCAGTTCTTTTGTATAATCACATTGAGGCAGAGGCAGGCTGTACTAGCTGCATTTGTTGGTGGTTTCACTTTGTTCGACGTCGTCCCAACCCCATCTCTTCATCGTCGCACGATCACAACATATCACCTTTGTCGAAGCGGAAAGGCGGCAGAAACACCCGACCACGTATCGTCTCGCATCTGCTCGGCCCCCACGAACACCGCTCTTCAGGAGGTCACCTTTTCCACCCAACACAACACCTCTATCCTGCTGCTTAGCCTTGCAACTCTCTACACCACGTCGAATCATGACCCACTCAACCCCGATCACAGCCAGCGGTAGCGCATGCTCGTACACGCACCAATTCAAAAAACACTTTGGCGATCGACCTGTAGCCTTCGCCCTCTCCGAACGATCTCCTTCACCCTCCAGCCGTGCAACACGGGATCCTTTCGCCGCTTCATCTTCTTCCACAACCTCCTCCATCGCATCCAGCTCTACACTTGCCACTCCAGCACAAGCCGTCGTTGATGCGGAGACCCACAACACGTTGGCTAACCTAGGTTGGCGAATTCGATCACGCATCAACCAAGGATATACACGGACGAGTACTTCGCTGGATGATCCGACGAATGCAAAGTTTGGCTCAGGGAATGGTGGGGGTTTCGTCTCGGAACGCGATGTGCTCATCAGTGTAGGCAATACAAGACGCGGATGGAGTCGGGTCAGCACTGCACCGAACGTCGCTTCGAACTTTGATGGGTTGAGAGTCGACACTCAGCCTCAACAGACGATTGAACCGCGGATGGAGGCGACGAAGAGAAGTAGAAGGTTATCAGAAGGCGAAGAGGAAGATATTGTTGAAGAAACCATGGATGCATATACAGTAGAAGCGAGGAGAATCGCCGGTCTACCCAAACTCTCCTTTTCGTCATCGACTTCGAGCATCTCCTCGCAAAGTTCCTTCTTCCCACCTTCCCCCAACCATCTCGCTCCTTCAAGAAGCTTCGTGAGATCACACAGCTCGAAGATCTCCCCCTTCACTTCAGCTACAGCGGAAAGATTCGCCGATGGACGAGCTGAGATGGACATGGATATGGACAGCGATGCGTTGGTGACGGCAAAAAGGTTGGATGTCGGGTATGATTTCTCCAGTCACTTTGACAGCACTGACTTTTAAGATTTGAATGTACACTTTATACCCGTGCCTTGAAAGTGATTGATTGACTTTTAGCTTGCTTGCATGACGCTCTTGTAGTTGCTTAGCTCTGGGTATGCGTTTTGTTTTGCTCCGCCAACCTTGCTACCCGATAAACCTAAAACTGTCCGCCTGAACGAAATACCTCCCGCTTAAGGTCACACTCGCATCCTTGCCCGTGGCACTGCTACACGCCACACCCCCATCCCCTGCCGCGCCGCCCACTGTTCCACCGACAGCCGTGATGTCGACGAGCACAAAGTTCTGCGAGAACGCCCTCGGATGCGAAGTGATCGGTGCGTCCGGGTCGAAGTTGCCGCGATTGCGGTTTGCTCCGTGCGTGGATGAGGTTGCTGATTTCGGTGCGTTGGAGGAGGAGGTGGATGGGTTGAGTGCGGATGATGATTCGGGTGTGTGGTGGGAGACGGTGCCGGAAACTGTGAGGAGGATGGATGGTGGAGAGAAGGCGGCTGCAGGTGCGAGAGGGGGATGGTGTCAGTGTCAGCTTCAGATTTACGCAGATGAAGAGAAGGAGATGAGGAGTGGGTAAACAGGGAGGAAGGGAGAAAAGGAGAAGTCTTGAAGAGGAGGAGGAATGTATGCTTCATATACTACTCGATACATGAGTTGACCTTGAGATTGTTGAAAGGTATCGAACCCTTATGAAAAGCGTCTCTCCGACATTGTGACGACTGCTCTGATCCGATCATTACCACTCGAATGGCCGCAACGCAATGCAACAGCCATGAGAGGGGTGGCAGAGACCGAGAGACGGAAGTACGCCATGCCGAAGAGACTGTGTTTGTTCTCGCCTCTTTGATCGTGTCGACTGCGAGAAAGTGTGTGGTCCCGCCATCGTTACAACAGCAAGAAAGCTTCCTCGCTACATCGACGCCCAAGTCGAGGCTGATCTCTCGTGTCCTCCTGCCGAAGCCGAATGTGAAAGGCGACGCGCAACTTACCTCCATCAACAGCGCCTCCCATAGCATGACAGTCGAAAGCCTGCACCTCATGCTTGCTCCCCGGCATACTGTTCAACATCGCTGTCAGCTCCTGTTGTCCGCTGACAGGAGTTCCGTTCCAAACGATCGATGAGCTGGGCAGATACAGCGTCGGTACCAGGTTGGTGCGTTGTGGTGAATCGGAAGCAGCATAGTAGGCCGAGACGAAGGTTTCAGCGGCTTTGGCAGCAAAGTCGGCCAGACGACGCGAGTCGGGTCGCTTTTCAGATTGTATTGGTTGTGATGATGCTGCGGCCATGATTGTGTAGGGTGATGGGGAGATGGTGGGTGCTCAAGGAAGCCGAAGAAGAAGGATGCGGGAATGCTTTGAGAATGGAAGGCAGCTTTGGACAGATTCACTTTGCTTTCCGACTTCCGAAAATCATCAACGGTTTAACTGATTGTTTGATCGGCGATTAGGTTGATGCGGGAGAAAAAGAAAGCACGCCATGAGAAGCGTTCCCTGTTGGGTCAAGCCAGGATTTCGAAATTGAAGGCGTCCTTGGAGCTTGCGAAGAAACAGCTCGAAAAAGTGACTCGCCTGCTGCACCAAAATCCACTAATCCAACTTACAGTGGATCAGTCGAGTCGGCATCTCCGCACAGCACCTGCAACACACACAGATTGTCACGCAGCAACTCGGACTGAATCACAAATGCTTCGCAGCTCGACATCGTACCACCCGCCTTCCATCATATCTTGTCACTCACGCAGAACACCATCGCCTAGATCGGCCAGCTCATCGCTCAGAGCGTCTTCTCACATACCCACACTCCTGAAGAGCGGCGATATAAGCTTAGCGCCCTCTTTCGGCTCTTCCATCTCCACCACCCGGTGCCGCTCCTTGCCACTCGGAACGCATCGAATACCCAGAGACTACCAACATCAAACACATTGCAATCACCTAGATCGTCATCCTCGCCTTTCAACATGTCGGCGTCCCGTGACAGCTACAGCGTGGCCTCCTCTCAGGCGTCCACCATCACCCCTTTCAGCACCGACGTCGCCTCTTCCGTTGCTTCGCTTGACTCTTCCGTCCCTACTTCCCCCGAACCCTCCGACATTGGCGACGATGCCGATCACAAGCTCTCCTTCATCTCGCACAAGGACCGTCGTGGTCCCAACGGCTACCGCTTCGCCACCCAGTGCGCCACCGTAGATGACCCCAACCACAAGGATCAGTACGGCTCCTCTTCGACACCCATCTACATGTCGGCCACCTTCAAAGGTCTTCCCGGTGCCGAATTCGACTATTCTCGCTCGGGCAACCCCACCCGCTCCATGCTTCAGCACCATCTCTGCCAGCTTCAGAACTGCAAGTACAGCTTTGCCGTCTCCAGCGGCATGGCCTGCCTCGACGTCATCACTCGCATCGTCAAGGCCGGCGAGCGCATCATTGCCGGCGATGACCTCTACGGTGGAACCAACCGTCTTCTGGGCTACCTCGCCTCGCACCAGAACATCCACACCGACCACGTCGACACTACCGACGCATCCAAGGTCGAAGAGATGCTCCAGAAGCGAAGCCAAGACGCTGCTGCCGGTCTTTGCGGCAAGGTCAGCATGGTGCTCCTCGAGACTCCCACCAACCCATGCCTCAAGATTTGCGACCTTCAGCGATGCGCTGCTGCTGCCAAAAAGTGGGCTCCCGATGCTGTCGTCGTCGTCGACAACACCATGATGTCGCCCTACCTCATGCGTCCTCTTGAGCTCGGCGTCGACGTCGTCTACGACTCCGGCACCAAGTACCTCTCGGGTCATCATGACCTTATGGCCGGTGTCATTGCCTGCGATCGTGACGATCTTGGCAAGCAGATCGCCTTCACCATCAACTCGATCGGCAATGCGCTCACGCCCATGGATTCATTCCTCTTGCTTCGTGGCATCAAGACGCTGGCGGTGCGCATGGATCGACAGCAGGCTTCTGCCATCACCGTGGCCCACTATCTCGACTCGCTTGGATTCAAGGTCAACTATCCCGGTCTTGCCTCCCACCCTTCCAAGGCGGTGCACGATAAGCAGGCTGCCGGTCCAGGCTCGGTGCTCAGCTTTGTTACGGGCGATAAAGCGCTTTCGGAACGCATTGTGGGTGCCACGCGTCTGTGGGGCATTTCGGTTTCGTTTGGCTGTGTCAACAGTCTGATCTCGATGCCCTGTCTCATGTCGCACGCATCGATCGACCCGAAGGTCCGTGCGGCCCGTGGCATGCCGGAAGACCTCATCCGTCTCTGCGTCGGCATTGAAGACGAGCGCGACTTGCTTGACGACCTCCAAAACGCTCTGCTTCAAGCCGGCGCCATCCGCCGCAAACCCTCTTCTCGATCCACCGCACTCGCTTCAACCAGCGAAAGCTCTCGCGCAGCGTCCCCAGATCCCATTGCCTACGAACGTACGCCTTTGCATACCGAGGAGCAGACCCAGCAGAACAAGGTGGGCAGCTTGGTCGACGACATGAACCGTGCAAAGCTCGAGACTCGTGGCGGTGAGGGGGAACCTCGCCTTGCTCAGGATCACCCGCCGCCGTCATCGGTGGTGGTCAGTGCACCTGGCAAGGTGATCCTCTTCGGTGAGCACGCAGTAGTTCACGGTGTCACTGCTGTTGCTGGATCGGTGGCGCTGCGATGCTATGCCAACGTTTCGCCCCGCGAGGACGGCAAGATCTCGCTCGATCTGCCCGATCTGGGCGTCGTCCACACTTGGAGCATCGACGAGCTCCCTTGGTCTGCAGTGCCCAAGTCGCTCCAGAGCGGCGGCGCTGTGCCCGACTCGCTCGACCAGACGCTCGTCAGCGCCATTGAAAAGGTCGTGGGTGACACTGTCAACGAGAGCGAACGAAGCCATGCTGCTTCGATCGCTTTCCTTGTGCTTTACATGTGCATCGCTAGACAGGCGGATGCTCGCGCTCAGGCCTTCGTTCTGCGCTCGGCTCTGCCCATCGGTGCTGGCCTGGGATCAAGTGCTGCGCTCAGCTCGTGTCTCGCTGGTGCGCTCACCATCCTCTACGGCCGCATTCCTGCCCCTGCTGGCGAGGTGTCGGCGGAGCATTCTGCCTACGTCAACCAGTGGGCATTCCTGTCCGAGAAGGTGATCCACGGCACGCCTTCTGGCGTCGACAACTCGGTGGCCGTGCACGGTGGAGCTATCGCTTTCACGCGCGCTCACCCGAGCAACACACTCACCGCCAACAAGATGGACAAGCTCAAAGGATTCTCCTCGTTCCGCTTCCTGCTCGTCGACAGCTGCGTCGGGCGTGAGGGCAAGAAGCTCATCGCTCACGTTGCAGCTCAGAAAGAATCCGACCCGACTCGCGTCAACGCTGCCCTGGCTCGAATCCAGACCATCGCCGACGCAGCTCAGAGCGTGCTGAGCGGCAACTCGGGTCTCTCGCGTGCCCAGCAGGTGGCACAGCTTCGCGAGTTGATCAAGCACAACCACGCCGAACTCGTCGACCTCGAGGTGTCGCATGCCTCGCTCGAGTTGATCAAGAACAAGACTGAGTCGTTCGCCCCCGAGCAGTTGGCTACCAAGCTGACGGGTGCGGGTGGAGGAGGATGCGCCGTGACGCTGCTGCCGGACGAGTTTGAGGAGGATAAAGTCAAGGAGCTGATGAGCGAGCTGGAAAACGCTGGATTCAAGTGCTACGAGACCAGGGTGGGAGGTGACGGATTCGGTGTCAAGCTGCTGCAGGATGAGCAGGAGGAGGCCGAAGCAAAGTTGCGCTTCCAGGAGGCGAGCGTGAGCAAGGAGCTGGCCGCATGGGCTGATGGACAGCAGGGCTGGGTGTTTGCTTGAAAGACTGTTCCCCTCAAAGCATTGTGGTACGCGATGTTCTGAATACGAATTGAAATCGAGATCTGCAAGAGTGTGTGAACACGTGATGCTTTGCTCAGAGAACATAAGGTATTTTGGTGGACGTGGGGAAGCATAATGCCGCTCTCCGGTCAAAGGCGCGAACGGATCCCACGCTTAGGGCCGAAACCTGTCAACCCTGCTCTCTCACGGTGGGGGTTGTCACTCGGAAAGCCCCACGACGCGATGGTGTCGAGCAGGACCAACCGCGTCTGCGCGGATGAAAGGAATGTGACTTGACGGAAGGCTGGTGGGTCTGCAGAGCGTCTTTCGGAAATGAAGTGCTGGTCCAAGAGCAGAGACGTCTGACGATGGTCAAAAGCGGACTCCCTTTGTGTCTTTACTTTGTTCAGCTGCAAGCTTTGAGTGAAATGAGCTGAACGGCTTCATCGGCGAACCCTCCGATTGAGTTTCGAGCTTGAGAGCAAACCGCGGAAAGACCGGCCGTCAATGCATGTGTCACTGCGACAATCGCCGTCCGTGTATAAGAGGAGGGGAGGCGCAGAACAGAGTTTGAGGGTTCACACCCTCGAATCTTGTTGATCAAGCTCGTCCTTCTCCTCCTCTCCTTCTTCCTCCTTTGACCGAATTATCCTTTCACCCCCTCTTCGCCCTCTCCTCTTTCTACCTTTCTCACCTCCGGATCGATCGATTCCGTCTCCTTTGCGCTACGGTAAGTGGATCCAACAGCCATGGCGCTTGGAACGATACAGCCCAGTCTTCAAGCGATGCTGGAGAGATGACGTGACAGAGCCAATCCGATCCGAGTCGCATCGGAGGCGATCATTCTTAGTCCAGACTCGACTGACACGGACGTTGCGCTTCTAGAACTTGCTCCGCTCCTCAACGGCCTCGGTATCACCCTCATTTTTTGGGGTCCACACGATCTGCGCCTTCAATTCATCTCGGAACAGGTGTCCTCCGCTTTGTCTGTGCGCTTCCGACTAGCATCTCAGTACACGACGCGCAACACACTGTGCAGGTGAGTGACGAGTCGGAGTGGCGACGCCAGTGCGCAAGAGCAAGACACAGCTAGCTAGTTGAAGGACCACAAGCTGCGGAAGAGCCACAGAAAGGTGTCTTCTGCTCTCGGCAACGTGCTCTCTTCTCCGCTTCTGCGATCGTTATGGCGATCCGCACCGTGTCACCCAGAAAATGTGCTTCACTCCATGACAACTCATCGAGAAGCATAAAAGGAGCACGAGAAACGAGTTTACGCCCCCTCCTTTCTCGTCATCCGCACCCTTCCCGCAACTCCCAACGCCCCACCGCCAACACTAACACCGACATCTCCCCATCCCAACTCAACAGATCCGCACTCCAGATATTCTCCCCTTCTTAGTCTCCTTAAAAGCTCATTTCGTCCGCAAGAACCTCCTCCCTCGGCACATCCGCACTCGAACGTCTTTTTCCTCGTTGCTCCCCTTCAAAGCTTTTCTCTGTCGATCAACAACGATGCAATTCTTTCGCCTCGCCACTTTCGTCGTCACCATGCTGGTCATGGTGACCTTCACCACCCCGTTCGCCCACACACACCCCGTCCACAGTGTCCAGTACGCTCGCGGTCTCTTTCCCCCTAATCGTCATCGCGGACTCGTGCACCACGTTCCCCGCTTCTACCGTGCAGACTCGGACATCTTCAAGGCGAACCGAGTAGTCCCTCTTATGATCCGAGACGCAGGTGACGACCATGGCGACGTCGCTGCTCACGACCGCTACGAAGCCCAGCTTCACAAGCTCGAAGCCGCGCTGAAGCATTACGAGGAGTATGGAGATGCCGAGAGTCTCCAGTTCTATCTCAAAGGGTTTGGCGGCGAGGATGGTGATGCTGGTGAGGCTCAGAAAAATCCTGCTCAGAGCAGCGTGTCGGGAAAGGAGACTGCAGCCAAGAAGCAGGACGATGGAAAGAAGGAGCAGGTACAGCAGCAGCAGCCTCAGCAGCAGCAGCCTGAGCAGAAGCCGAAACAGCCTCAGCAGATAGATAGCGAGGACTGTGTCGATGGCGTTGACGGCAGCGAAAGCAGCAAGAAGCACGACAGTTCGGCTTCGCCACAGATGCAGCAACACGCTCAGTCGTCGCGGCCGCCGCCGCCGCCGGCTCAACCGCAAAAGATGGTCAAGAAACCCAAACCCCAACAGCAACAGCAGCCTTCTGGCGATTACAGCGTGCCTTCTGACCCTCCTCAACCCCAGCCGCAACACGATCAGCCCAAACCACCTCAACCCGCCCCCGCCCCCGCTCCTGCCCCCAAGCAGCCCTCTCCCCCACCTTCCAGCCCGTCCAGCTCCGACAACTCGATCAACGGCTACACCCCTCCTACATTCAACCCTCCCGCCGGCTCCCCCTCCACCGCCTCCCTCTACACCTCCTCCACCCCGTTCACCGGCCGCGCCACCTTCTACAACACCGGTCTCGGCGCCTGCGGCATCACCAACACGGACGACCAACCCATCGTAGCCATCTCGCGCGACCTCTTCGAACAGTACAATCCCGCCTCGGGCAACCCCAACCACAACTCGCTCTGCGGTAAGAAAGTCGAGATCACCTGGAACGGGAAAAAGGTACAGGCGTTTGCCACGGACGAATGCCCCGGTTGCGAGAAGAACAGTTTGGATTGCAGCCCGAGCGTGTTCGAACGGATGGATAGTAAGGATAAGGGCGTGCTGGATGGGATTACTTGGAGGTTCGTGTGAGGGGACGCGCAGGTCGAGAGAGTAGCAGGCTGGTCCTCTGAAAAAGTGATGCGAAACGACACATGTGATGCTTGGTCCGAATTTTACCCCCCTTTTCTGCAGTCAGGCACTTGCTTTCCCAAGTGGTAACGGGCAAAAGAGACGTTTGCTCATTCACCGCTTTTCGCCTTCCCCTCATCCCGCGATCGGCTTCGAGGTAGCTACGGTTGATCCATAGCTTCCCTTTCCTGATATCTTTCTGCGTCGACACCTTTGCTCGTCACGACTTTTGCTTTTCGTGTTCGTACTCTTACTTTGCGATGAGATTGATTTTGAAATGATAACGATGGTTCATGTATCCGAACGTCTCACGAATGTGCGCTTTTGGGGGGAAAGATATCGTGCAGATACGAACGCCTTTGATTGCGAGCGTTTGTCAACACTCGTACGTTCGAACAGGTTCAGGCGACGAGAATGGCACCACGTCACGCATGTGCACTTGCTGTCACTTGATCGACGTTTAGATCACTTTTACAAATCCCCATACTACCTCCCCACTCCGGCTCCGATCAGCGCGACGGCCCTCCCCAGCCCGTCCCTCTCCCTCTGTCTCTTGGCCAACTCCGTCATCGCCTCCTGCGCCTGTCCACCTGTTCTCCTCCCACTGATCGTCCTGATCATCTTATCCAACAACGCCATCAACTTCTTCACCTCCACCTTAGCCCACCTTCCCCCCGCATCCACCCCCACCTTCCCTCCCTGCAACAGCACCGTATACTCTGCCACTTTATCCATCGTTACCACCTGCAACGTCTGCTTCACCGCATCGAACACCTTTCCATCCACACCATCTTCTCCCGCTGCCTTTGCGAGAAAGTCTACATCTACCAATAGCATGCTTACACCGTTGGTGTTGATCGAAGTGGTATCGGGAGAGAGGAGGTGTCGATCTAGAAGGCTTGATGAAAGATGTTGGTACGCCGACGTGTAGATTTTCGCCTTGACGGTGGGTGGGAGAAGCACGAGTACGGACTCCATCATTGTTCGTAACCAGTCTACTGTGTCTTGCAACCAACCTGAATGCGTCTTGTTTTCCTTTGATGGAGGAGGAGCAAAATCGTACTCTGCAATCCCCAAGAATTGATCCAATTTCGCAGCAAACGCACCGCTGATCTTCTCCTCGGCAATCCGCAAGGTCTCGCGGAAATGCTTGCTGGCATCCAACGACATTTTTCCACCTCTACCGTGTGGTGCACGCAGCGCAGCAAGAAGTTTCTCCAGTTCCAGGCAGGCGAGGTTGAAGTGTTCGGCATTGACGATGATCTGGGCGATTTGGGAGAGGTTGATCGAAGCGGTGCTGTCGAGCGACTTGCGGATGGCGGTGGAGACCTGGGTGATGAGGAGCTGGTCGAGCGAGGATTTGAGGATCTCGTCGATCTCGCGATGCGAGGTGAAGTCCGAGGAGAAGATGTAGTATTGGTCGACGAGGTTCCTCATATCCATGCAGCAGAGCGGGTAGGTTTGCGAGAAGGGGAGGGAGAGCGGGAACCCGGATTGTTTGAGCAGAACGTCGTCGCCCGGTTTCAACCAGCACACGGAGAGCACTTTGGATAGCTCCTCGGGAGTGGTGACGACCATAGGCTCGTGTTGGGTCTCCTTCATCGCCTGTTGGAAGTCTTGACTGAATCGATCGCGAAGCAGCTGCGCGTACCGTTCGAACAGCGTGAGGAGCAGAGCGTTGAGTTTCGCCACGGGAAAAGAGTACCCCTCGAGCGTCTGGATGAAGACTTGGATGGCAGCTTTTGCGGAGACGTAGATCTTGGTATCCTTGCAATCCCTCAACGCGAGGGAGACGATATCCACCACCCTAGAACACATCGTATCCCACAGATCGTCCACTTCGCTCTCCTCCCTAAACCCCATGGTCGTCTGTATCACGTGGTGCTCCACGAGGAAGAATCCAACCATCTCCTCCAACAATGCCGGCACCTTGCCATCGCCGCTAAACACCAACCCTTGGTTCAACAGCAGGTTGGCTTGCGCACGTCGATCCTCCTGGTAACTCATCTGCAGCTCCTCGCGCGAATCCAACGCATCGTAGATGTGTATCGCCTGGTACAAGGCTCTGAAATCCACTTGCACCTTGTCGTTATCCACAAAGTTCACCTCGACCCTTTCGTTCATGACCAGTTCGATGGCACTGTTCACTTTCGCCAGCCGCAACAGTGGATCGCGTTGCGATTTGACCCTCCATCGCTTGTGCCGCGTCTCCATGGCTTCCAATGCCAGCTGCCCGACGGTTCTCGACTTCTCTCGCACTTGAAATAGCCATTCCTTCATCTCGCTCGTCACGCCCGCCTTGACTTGGCCTCTCATCTGCGGCAGACCTTCCATCATGTGTTTGGCGAAATCGTAGCCCATCAAGCCGCGCAGTTTGGTCTCGAGCTCTTGCAGACTCCTCAACGCTGCATAGTACTTTTTCTCGGTGATCAACCCGTCCACTCTATTTGCCATGTCCAGCACCCTCAAGCACACTTGCACCACCTCCACTGCATCCCCCACATTCCCCGCTGTGCGGCGTGTCTCCAACAATTGCTTCTTTTTGTTCCCCAACGAGCTCCCTCCCGCCTGGAGATCCTCGTTCAACTCGGCGATGCGGTGTTTGAGGGATACGGTGCCAGATCGAACTTTGAGAAGCTTGTCTACGGCAGCTACGAATTCGGAGTGGTTGGAATCGCAGATGGCTTCGATCTCGGCGTCTTTGGTGGAGACGAAGGATTTGAGGTGCCGGAGAAAGGCGTCTTGCTGGCGGGCCTCGTCGAGGGATTTGATGATGGGGCCGAGGTGAGAGAGGTTCTCGGAGGGACCGTCGAGGTCGGTGAAGAGGGTGAGGGCCTGAAGTTGGGAGTCGAGGGAGACCAAGGGCCTGCGTGGACGGGCGACCATGGTTGGAGAAAGGTGATTGGCGAGCCAGAGGTGTCGATGCAGGATGCTGAGCAACTATCAGCGTGGAATGCTGGATGCTGCTGATGGGTGCATGTATGGCGTCGAAGCTGGCAACGGTCGAGCCTGCGGGTATATTATGTTGTCTGTTGGGAACGGTATCGTCGAGGATGATGAGAAGGCTGAGCTGTCAAGACAATGATGTGGTCCTTGCGCGCCATGGCGAATTTACTAGATTTGTTAAGCCGGACTCACCAGCATCTGTTTCAGAAATAAGTCGCTGAGCAAGACACCTGTTCGCCTCCGCTTGACACCTTCAGACGCTTACTGCTAGCCTTTCTGTCAGAGTGATTGTGAAGCTGCAGATAGCCGAGATGATCACTGTGGAAGCCCAGTCAGCCTCTTCCCGCGTGGCAGTCAGCCGAGTACGGACGGCGTAAGGCGTAGAAAAGCGCTGTGGACCTTGCGGGTGCGATATATCATTTCTTGCCATTTGAGCGCGACACTCTGCACGACGAGCAGACAAGCGAGGGATCGACGGCGTGCATGCAGCAGACGGCATTAGGTTTACCAGCTAATGACATTTCTGTTTTCACGGAACGCCGATCCATCCACCATGCAAGGAGAACACGAGTGATGCTGGCGTCGATGGCAGTCCCCTCCTCGTTGCACTGTATGCAAGTCGGCGCAACAAGGGTCCCTGCGTGGGAGATTTTTTTGTGGTCGTAACAGGTCGCAAAGAGACCAACACTGAGACCAACACTCTGCTGATCGTCTCGTCCAGCTCTTTCCTTCGACGAGACTCTGCCTGCCTCTTAGACTTTCCGTCTCCCGCTGTCGTGTGTTCAGTGCTTGTAGTAGGCGTCCGGTCAGAAATGCACGGGATGGTGCCTGCGCTTCCCCCGCTGCAACATCGTGCCTCAGACTCGATACAGCAGCATCGAGACGCGGCTTCTCGTGACATTGCGAGGTCAAAGTGCCGGATTCGTCCCGTGACGGCAGCCACACGATCAACATCGGTCGGCTACTCTCCTAGCCGCCGTCTATGCCAATGATGTTGCACACTTGATATCAAGCCGACGGAAGCTCGCCAGTGCCGTACTATGCCGTACTACGCCGATCTTCGCTTCCAGTTCGGCTGCCTATTCGGCTTGCTTCCAAACCATCTTCTATCAAGTCTTTCTTTTCTGCGCCTTGATCTCCCCTTTTGAGACGCCGGTGTCCACTCATCAAGCAAATAAGCTCACACAGGCCTTCGCTTGATGCCTCCCCGCTATAAGACGGATTCAACCATAGAATGCGATATATCACCTTCCCTCCCTTGCTTCTTCGCCTTTGCTCTTTGCTCCTTCTCGCCTCTTTTTCGGCTTTGCGCCTTTCGAGACTACCGAGGCACCGTACTCTAACCCGCTTCCGGAGCCGAACAAGCCCGTCCAACGCCCATCTTGCATCCGAGCTTGCGCCACCACGGCGCCGATCCTCAAAAGACGTCGACGCCTTCGCTAAGCGATCTTTTCTGCGCCTGGTATCCGGTTATCGCTGAGCTTCATTCTAGTATGCATGTGGTATAGTCGTACTACGTTAGCCAATCTACCGGTACGGGATCGTCGGCGTGCATTCATTCTGTTCCTTCGAGCTTCTTCCGTGCGTCTGAGCTCGGCTCTGCTTGTCATGATATCAACATCACGACCTGGAGGAGTAGCATAAGAGGACAAGTGAGGAAGCCATCTACATCCTTTCGACGCTTGTCTGAAGCAAATCCTTTAGACACCTATATAGCTGCTCTCTTCGCTGCCACCTTTCCTCAGAGCAGTCCCACCTCTCTAGCTACAGCAAAACAAGTACATCCGCGATACCTCAACCACATGTGCTCGCCACGACATCAACTGGAATGCTCCAATTTCTCACCTCGTCCAAACGCCGCTCCTCAACCCCAAGCACCTTCTCCTCGCCCGCGCTTCCCGAACTCAGCATAGACGCGTCGTTGCAGCGTCTTCATCACCAAGAGGATATTTCCACCTCCTCCATTTCTTCCGTCCATCCTTCTCGGCATTGGCTCCGTAAGGACCAAGCCAGCTCGTCTGAAGAAGATGCATATTCACCGATCAGGTCAGATTCCGGTAAGGGGGAAGGAGATCGTGCGTTCAGGTTTCCTCCTCTCCTACCTTCCGATCCTCTAGAGCCAGCTTCTGCGACTCATGCCCTCGGTCCACTAGAGGCATCGGCAGATCTGCAGGAAGCCTTGCAAGCTCGACCTCGCACCAGTCGAGGCTTGTCATACCCCAAGCCTTTCTTGTCTTCATCGCGAACAAGCTCGATCAATTCTATCGCTGAATTTGATCACCAGCGCACACTCCCGGATTTCGAAACCACGCAGCGCTCTCACTCTGCTCGCCACTCTTCTCAGCCAGTATCACGGGGCCAAGAGGCAGTAAACTTGACTGCGAACGTCGTCGCCTCTGAACACCGAAGAAAGTCCACCAAAAACTCATTGCGCGGCGTCGCCGATTCATCAGCAAGAGCTATTCACGCCCCGGTGAAGAGAGCTGCTGAAATAGTAAGCCAGTCAAGTCATCTTCACGCATCGCAGGTGCCAGAAAATTCAAGTACATCGTCATCATGGACGATGCTTTTGGCTCCAATTCAACCTTCACCGTCACCGAGAGTAGGTGAACAGCAAAACGATGACCACAGCACTATCCTTCTACCTTTGATGTCTTCCTTTGAAGATCAAGTAGAACATCTCAGATCACAACTTATTACATGCGAGCAGAGCATCAACCAAAATCGCAAGATCGACCTGTTCCTGGATCTGAGCTCCGTCTCCACCCTTTCTTCCGTCGGTTTGGCACATCTGACGCCTCAGAGCTGGTCGATCATCTTCCGTCAACATCTTCAAAAGCAAGAAGAAAAGGATCAGCAGCCTCTACCGTATCTGTATCGAGAGACTGGACTTCCGATCGTGGCTTTGGTGCGCTACAGCCTGGCCACAACAACTTCCGAGACACACCAAGGGATCAGTGATGGAGAAAGCAAAGACGGGATGCCAAGCTTGCACTCGAGTCGAAAGCAATATCAATCCTCAAGGAGATCGAGCCGAGACAGTGTCTCGTCGGACACCGCATCACTGTCCCCTCGTTCAACAAGGCCAACCAGCTTTCACAGCAGTCACGCGCGTGAACGCTCCGACTCTCATCGACATACCTCGCAAGATGATGGGGACTCTGATCCGGATCTAGGTGCTAGATTCTGGACGCAGCTTCACAGCCTTGGACGACAGGTATCGAGCGGAGACAGTAAATTGACGAATACCGATAGACGTGGTGGACCAACCGTGTCGCTGTCTTCGACGGCCTCAGATGCTTCCGTCTTTGATTTCAGCCCGCTTGGCATACTTGTGCCCACAGACACAGCAGTGGCTGCAGACCCACAGAAGAGGGACATCCTTGGCGGTGAGAACTCGTCAATACCGGTCGCTAAGGCGCAGATAGCCTCGACTTCAATGACATCCGCGTCGGGTCCCCAAAGCACGACTCCCCTCTGGAAAAGGCGAAGAGCATACAGCTCCATGGTGCCTCTCACTGGCTGGAGAGCCGGCGACAACGATCTCGATTCGTTCGAAGGTCAGACTGGGGGCTCGGTTCAGAGGTTGCCGCAAGTCTTGCTTGTTGAGCCGGGAGAAGAAGCCAACGATGATGGACCAGGAGGTCAGCCAAGCGACTCAATCACTCCTACGGTAACGACTTTTCAAGGTCGAACGCGAGCTCTGTCGCATCAACTTCCTCAAAAGATGCGAGAGGATCCGAATCGGTCTCGAATGATCGGTTCACGCTTGAACAGGCAAGATATCTGGGATGAGGCGATGTCACAGCTGAACGAGCGGCTAGGGCAATTCCTCGAACAGTTTAGGGTCGTACCTCGGGGATTGGTGGGTGGTCTTCCATCTCCCAGGGAACCACAGTCTCGGGTTAATTCTGATGCTACAAATGGAAGCACGCAGCCTTCTGGTAGCTCATCCCGGCAATCACACGCGATTGACAGCGCAGATTTAGTTCAACCAGAGGCAGGGAGCCTCTCACTTCCCGGACTCTTTTACGATCCGTGGGTCGAGCAAGTTGACGGTGCTGTCGATGGCCAGCTTGGACGGAGACGATCGACAGCGAGGACCCCAGGCTCGCCTCTTGCATGTGACATAGGCATTCGCGAGCACGACGATGCAGCATCAAAGACGTCCACACCAACTTCCGATTGCACTGCAGTAGACTCGATCGAGAGCGAACAACCTTTGCAAAGTCCGCAAGTGCTCGAACCACCACCGCTTGGCACTCGGGACAGAGCGTTTTCTCCTGCCGACTCGCTCGCTGATTCGCCCATCAACTCGCACGTCACCACTCAAGGAGAAGGCCAGAGCGGGTCTATACAAGATGCCACCTTATGCAGAGGCACCAGGAGAACAGCCTCAGAGGACATAGGGTCCGCCAGACCATCCGGTACCGCTCTGGAACCTGTGTGGCTTATGCGGTCGCAAAGCATCAGCGTACCAGCTTTCTCTCAACCTGCGTTCAACGACACCGTTCAACGATCGTACTCGTCGGCAGTGGCTGGGTCAAGCGATCCGATGACAGGGTGGGCCAACATGGCCCAGCGGCTCCACTCGTCTGGCTCGATGCCACGCTCGCAAAGCGCCGGCGTACCGGCCTTCGCGCAACCTTCATTCAACGATATCATCCACCGATCACATGGGGCAGCATTGCCGCTGACAAGCGATCCGATGGCAGACTGGACAAATGCGGCCGAGCGTCTAGACTCGCCCGGCTCGTTGCGACTGTTGTGCCTTGCTGCCGCCAATTGGTCTCCGAACGCGGTTGATGGTTCTGACGCGCAGAGAGCAAGGAATGCTCCCAGACTGACTGCGCCAATCAGCTCTTTGACTCGCTCTCGCTTCTTGGACGCTACGCAGGATGACTCGGAATCGGCTCGGCAGGACACACGAGCGACTAGCGAGCGCTCGAACGCACGCACAGAAGCAATACCGAGGAGAGCGTTGTTGCGAGATAGAGCGGCTACGCTCGCACCGATCCACATAACCCCACGGAACGCATCAGCGAATGAAGAGGCCCCGAGAGCTGCCAACGCTGTCACAGCAAGGATGAAACGGTCGCTTAGCAACATCTTTGATCTGCCGTCTCCTGTAGCACTGCCTCCACGTAGGGAATGATGATCGGACATGCCTTTTGCTCATGCTCAGGAGTGTTTGGCTGCCCGGCTCTGCAAGCGGGAAGGGTGTGCATGCCTTGACGCGGACTTTTCGTCGCATTGACTAGACCCTCTTAATTGGGGAGGTGTTCTGTCGGCTGCAACCTCGCTTTGCCAGCGTTGATACCCCCGGGATGAGAAGGTCTGCGGCTCTTGATTGTTGCCTCGACTCGAGCTTTCCAGGGACAGATAAGGGTGAGTCTGCTTGAGTCGATCAGAAGAGAATTAAGATACTCGTCTTTGCTTCAATTATCAGGGCGAGGTGTTGCGGCACCAGAAATGAGGACTTGTGGATCGAATGCCCTGATCAGTCCCAGAATCAAGTGGGATCATCAATGGCAGCCAAAACAACTCATTTCCATCATCTCCTCCGCAATTCAGCTGAACGAGTCCGTGAGACGACGATACGATCCCAAAGCTTCCTTATGAGAGCCCGATCGATGTGATCAGGCCCAGGGTCTCTCGATCCTCGTCGTTATTGCAGATTAGGAGACTTTGTGAGTGAACCGAAATCTCTGGGTGTTAGGAAATCGAGGCATCTGCCGCTTGGTTCAGGATTGGGATGTCGTGTGCGCAACTTGAAGTGGAGCATGACGGGCGATTCGGAATTCGGAATCCAATTCACGACAAGAAGATGTCGTACTGCTCTTTCTTGTGGAGCACGAACCGTTTCCTCCCGCTCCTTCTCCTACCGAACGCTATCACTCGAACCACACTGACCATCATTCATCAAGATGCCGGTACGTCTCCCCTTCTCGCACTATCTGCCATCTTCATCTGCCCTTCGCTTACCTCTACTTTTTCCTCACCCCCTCCTGCAGAAACTCGCCCTTCAACTCAAAGCACAGTTCCTCGCCGTCACCTCCCTCCTCCCCTCCGACCCGGACCACACCCTCATGCTCTCGCTCAAATGCACCTCCTGCCACGAGGTCCACCCCAAACTCGTCGGCGTCACACCCAGCGACTCGCACGAAACGACAAAGGGTGCACGTGGCAGCGCCAACCTGGTCATGAGCTGCGGCTTCTGCAAGAAGGAGAGCTCGGCCAAGTTCGAAGAGCCCACCGCGAAGGAGCCGCTGTGGAGACCCATCGAGGCGGAGGGCGAGGGCGAAGGCGCCAAGTGGCAGACGCTGTGCGTGCTGGATTTCAGAGGGTTGGAGCCGGTCGGATTCGAGGCTAGTGTAAGTTCGCGAGATGGAAGAGACGATGTCGGGGGAGTGATGTACTGATTTTTCTTTGGTTTTGGTTTTGGTTCGCGTAGGGCACATGGACGTGCAAAGGTCTCGAATCAGGTACCCTCTTCGACAGCGTAGAGTTCGACGATGGCGTTGAATGGATGGACTACGATGAAAAGGTGAGTCGACCAGAGGCCGCGAGATCAGTTCACGGAACGGGCAAAGCTGACATAACCCGCTACGCTGTTGCTCTGCGAACTGTTCGAACAGGCCGGAGGCGAAGTCAGCATCATGGAGCTCGAACATCGATGGCAGCGAGTATAAGCTCGAATGCTGAGATAACACAGACGATCGTCAATCCCATCTCATTGCAGGATCAGAGGCTGAAGCATCGACTGTCGAAACATGTGGGAGCTGTGAACGTCTTGCTTAGCTCATGTCGTGGCATCGGCTGCTGAACTCACGCAAGAGGCCGCACACTAGGGAGAGAGCCGTGTTGTGGAAAGGGCAAGCGTCGCCGGTGGGGATCGACATAAGCAGCAACGCCGCGCGTCTGATCAAACAGGGTTCATGTGATGTTGGTGGGCGCAACGACTTAGGAGGGTGGCACACGGCGGCCAGGGCGCTGTCTCTTTCACAAGAATTGGGTGCCACAATTCATTCATCAACACCTTCACAGCTGAACACCAGCGCATTCGCCCACGCAACGCCATTGTTGACGTCCCACTCATCACGCTGAGCACAGCATCGACAAGGCAGTCTTCGTGTCGGACTCTTCCGGTGTTTCGAGTCGGAAAAGCGTAGGGGGTGATATGAAGTTGCGCCTCGATCGACATCGACAAACCGACTGAATGCGTTGGCTCAATTCTGGCTCTCCCTTTCTTGTTCTCTTATTCTCTGCCACCATCTTGTTCTCCCTTCGTCTTTCTTTTACTACAATCCCAATCACTGACCCCGACACCTTCTTTTCCAGCAACTCAGCTGGAATTACACAGCCATGAACCTCCTCCACCCCTCACTCCTCCTCTTGTGCACCATCCTCCTAGCCGCTTTCCCGATCCTCGCCTCTCACTCCTCGATCCTCGACCCCGCCTCCCGCACGCAACACCTCCTCCGCTGCCTCGGCCGCAACGAGCTTCTCCACGCCGACCGCGCCGCCGTCCAATCCTTGCTCGAGACCAATCCGAACCCCTCCGACGATAAGGTCTGGTCCCAGCTCCCGCCCAAGGAATGGGGTTTCGAAGGTCACGATTCCGCCGGAGGCGATACGTGGAACCCGGTCGAAGGATCCGCGCAAACGGCAAAGGACCGAGTGGATAGGCAGAGTAGAAAGTTGAGAAAGTGCGCAAAGAAGTTGCAGATCGACGTCATGCGCACTCGTGAGGCTGAACCTCAGCCAGGGAACGGCGTGGAACAGGGTCAAACTCAAGTAGGCGGATTGCCAAGGGTGTTGCCGAAGATGTTTGGTGGTTTGGGGTTCAAGCAACTAGGCACAGGTGCCGGTGATTCACCACTACGTCCGCCGCAGGGTGTGGGTAGGAACGATGCTCAGATGATCGATCCTGGTCAAAGTGCCGCGCTCAATCCTGGTCAAGACGCCGCTGTCAACCCTGGTCAAGGTGCCGCTCTCAACCCGGGGCCGAGTGAAGCTGGTCAAGGTGGCTCGCTTCCCTCGTTAGACACGGGAGTTGATGCCAAGCCTGGAGCTCAAGATGGTCAGACGTTGGCGCCGGGATTGGGACCAGATGAAAAATCGGTAGCTCCTGCGTTGGAAAACGATCCGCAGGGTGTCAACATGCCAAAGAGTGCCGGTGCGGACCAGCAGGTGGGTGACAAGCCTGCTTTGCCTGTTGCGGTCGATCCGACTAGTGCTACTGCTGGTGCGAAGAATCCTGCCGGCCCTGGTGGTTCTGCTGTTGATCCAAGTGCCGCGGTCGATTCCAACGCTCCAAAGGCTCCTGTCGATCCGAACGCGCCAGTCAATCCAACCGCTGCCGTCGATCCCAACACTCCAAACGCTCCCGCCGATCCGAAAGCTCCAACTCTCGCTGCTGCCGGGGCTGCTGCCCTCCCCAACAACGCCATGAGCAACACACCCACAACCTTCGCCACCACCCCTTCCAACTGCACCCATCCGCTCATCCGCAAAGAATACTCCTCCCTCACAAGATCCGAAAAGCTCTCCTTCATCAACGCCATCAAATGCGTCCGTTCCAAACCCTCCCGCTTCCACACCACGACACCCGGCTGGAACGCGGCGGACGACTGGACGCTCCTGCACATCCGCATGGTCAAATACGTCCACTTCACCGCCTACTTTACGCTGTTCCATCGCGGGTTTACCGCGATTGTCGAACGCGATCTCAACCTATGCGGTTTCCCACTGGGACTACCTTGGGTGGATTGGACCAAGACATCCGACGATCCTTCGACCAACGCCGTTTTCAGCTCGGATCCCAACATCGGTCTTGGAACAGACGGAAAGGGTGATAACAACGACTGTCCTTGGAAGACCGGTCTAGCTGTAACGGATGGAGCTCTATCAGAACATTTTTTCAACGCTCCCTTTCGTCATCGTCTCTGTCGACAGTTCAACAACCTCGACGTATCCTCCCCCTCCCCGCACTTCGGTTCCAACTGCACCACCTTCATCAACAAGGATTTCGTCGCGAATCTCGGTAGAACGCATGACGATGGGAAATTCTTCGACTTCTCCAGTGCGCTCGAGATCTCGACCCATCTATCGATGCACACGTGTGTAGGTGGAAATTTGGCTTGGTTGAGCAGCAGCCCGAACGATATGGTCTTCCATACGCATCATGGAGGAGTGGATAACATTTTCGACGCTTGGCAGAAGAAGAGCGTGAAGAACAAGGATAGCTTTCATGGACCGAAGGAGCAGCAGAAGGATGGGAAGAAACCCGCCTGGACGGCCAAGAAGGAGGATGTGATCAACTTCGAACCGCTGGCAGAGAATGTCACGGTCGAAGAACTGTTGGATCACGAGAGTGGCGGATGGGGTGGAAGGATGTGTTATAGGTACGACTACAATGTCGAGATGTAAAGAAGTGGGGGGGGGGGAAAGACGGTGGTGCTACGGGCAGCAGCCAAGGCTGGCGAGAAGGTTCGTGTCCCTTCATTCTGCTTTCAACAAAGATTTCCTCCACTGTCTTTACATTTCGATTCGAACACGATATCCATCATCCTCATGTCGGTTGCTGTGTGTGCCAGCATGATAGCGCCGAGTCTTTGGCTGCCGTATCGAACTGATACAATAGATCGGGTGGGTCTCCATCGCGATATCTGACGAGATGGGGCTCGGCGAATTTTTTGCGTTTCAATGTGAGATTTCATGTTTGCACAAATAGCAGTCATGATATCGATCGCGGTCTGTCATGCTTTGTCGGCCAACCAAAACCCACACGTTGCTTTCATGCAACGTGCCGAGACGTAACCATGATGCCTACACAGATCGTGGCGTCTTGATCGATAACCACGGACCGCTCCTCCTCGGGGCTCCATCGTGGGGCTCCCTGTCGGAAGGGATCAAAACGTGTCAGATCCATTCCGGTTGTCCTGCGATCGCGACTAGGGCCAGCCTGTCAAGCGCCTGCGTGCTCGCGATCTTGGCAGATCTCTCCCACTTGCGCTCCTAGCGTGAGAAACGAGATTGAGTGATGGTTTACCGGAGGTGTCCATCCACCACAGGCGATGCCCGCCGACAGTGCGAAGGCCGAGTTCAGAGGTCCTGCGGACTTGTGTCGGAAGAAGCCCTTCCAGACCCCTTCGAGTAGTACAAGCCACATTCCTGCCTGCCTAGTGACCGAACGAAGCGAGCGGACGAACAGTGAAACCAGCGTGGTTCCGATAGGAGGCAACTCATGCGTTGCCAATACATATCAACCGAAGATCTGGGTCGGATGCCAAAAGGAAAAAGACACCGAAATCGGAAGAATTCGCGGCGTGGGTATCGCGATCAAAGCGTTGAATCCAAGGGGCTTGGCCGTGCAAGCAAAGATGTCATGCTTCTCCCTTTCCCTCAAAATGTGCGCGCCAGCCAGAATGGCCATTTCTTACGCATGGAATAACATCCAGCAAAGTCTGTATTGCCACTGCCTTGCCTACCTGCCCACAGTCGATGGTTGTCGTAGAAGTACAACTACGGGAACCAAGAACCGACCTGGTGCGCAATGCGTTGCCTAGGTTTCTTGCGCAATGCTCCCCTCTCGGTCTTGCGCTTCGCTCCGACCGACAAGCGAGGTATCCGGACCGATCTCGTGTCAATAAGGTTGTCAGCACCGCCGAAGCACCGCAGAAAAGCGGTGCGAACAAGTCAGAGGGAGGCGCGCATGGATTTGTTTTGAGGTCCTGACCTCGGCTAGACTCGGGTTGGTAGGAATAAGAAGTCGAACAACGTGCAAAACGGACGGCGATTGTCGGTGAAATTTCGAGCTTGATCGCGGAAGAGTGCAACTTGTGTGAGGGGCGAACAGCGTGCAGAAGTGGAAACTTGTCTGCACGTCGTACCTTTCACAAGCGACCTCTGCATCGGTTTGCAACTCCGCCCTCTCAGCAAGCCTAACTTTTCCAGCCACGAGTCGCTCCGTGACCACGATCAACGTCCCCAAGGCAGAAAGGAAGATTTAGAGGTCCGAGGAAGGCATGTGAGGATGTATCATTTTGAGCTTGAGTCAGACCAACGACGAGCCTGATAAGGACGATGCATGGGTTGGCAGCAGGAAAAGAGCGAGCCAGCGCTTCTTGCTCGGAGAAATTTCGCTCGATACTGTAAATAGAACTTGAGATGCGTGCTGTTCTTCGCCTTCTCTCCGGTACAAGAAGTGTCTCAGAAAAATAAGCGCTGCTTGTGAGAGCCAATTGCCGGCTCAGGGTCCTGCCGGCGCTAGACTGTGATTCCTTATCTTTCCACAATCAGTTTGATGCATTTCTCCGGCAGGCCACCTTTTGTGATATGTAACCCTGAACGAGCTGCGCTCGAGATAGAGCACGACGCTGCTAGCCATCGAGATAGGGTGAACATGCCGAAGGGGTAACGGGATCTCCGACAACCGATGAGGCCGTCATGGTGAATACCAGGGATCGCGGTCGATTGCGTTGTCAGCTTTTCGGATGGCGCGGGCAGGAACGTGCTAACAAGCCTTCATCACCAACTTCACTCACTCTCTCTCCTCTCGAGTATCGGTCAATCCGGCAAACGCTGTTTTTCTAGCCTTCACAATGTGATAAGTCCTGTTTCGGAAAATTCAGTTTTTTTATTTTAGCGATAGATTTTTTTCCGATGAATGCAAATGACCGTCTAGCGACCTGCGACCTGCAGCGTGGCAGCAGTGACCCGTCCCGTTTCAAGAAGAAGAAGAAGCGTGAAAAGAGGCAACGCGCGTGTCTGTGCCTTGATTTTCCTCTTCGCCGTCCCGTCAAGATATTCTGACATTTGGAAAAAGATGTCTACCCTGCGTCTAACGCAAAGCCCGTTCGTTTCTCAACGAAGAATGGCAACGGGTTGGAAAAATCCCTTGGCCCGAATCTCGCAGGCGAGCTGCCGTGGCTACATGCATGGCTCTTGTCCCGACCTCGGGATCCGAGTTGGCTTGCCTTGCCCTTGAACCCTCCCCATGCAATACCCTGCGCTCGGCCTGCACCCCACCGGCTGCAGGTCAGCAGAGAGTTGCATGCTTTGTACGTTTCACGACTTGTTTCGTTGAAGTACAACGGAGGAAGCGAGAATTTGCTCCAAGGCTGACTGCCAAGAAGAGACCAGGCGCTCGGCCAAGAGATTGTTTGTTACGATGACATGGCTGACTTCGGAACAGCCTGGCCTTGTTTGTGATGTGATGCGATGCGAAGGCACAGCACGAACCGAAACGATCCGGCTGTATCACGTCAACTTGTTTGGAAGTGGCGGCGAGCGGCGCAGGCGAGAAGCGTTTTCGTGCTTAATTCTGCCTGCTCCTCCTCGTGAAAATGTCGGGCTGCCAAGCTTGACTCCTCGAGCGCACAGTTCGGTTTAAGCTACTCCTGACGTCCCGGGCCCTTCCTATGCTTACACTAGGGCAACATGCTCCCCGACCCTCTTCGCCGACTACAGCGGGGCTCGTTTGACTGACTCTTCACCCGGGACTCGTAACTGCTGGTCACCACCTCGGGGTCCTCGTTGCCGTTTCACAACCTCGTCTCGCTCCTTCCACCGGCTGCTCCTCCTCGATCATTCCCGAGGGTTCAGATCAGCTTAGAATTCTCTCTTCACGACAGTCCTGCACACGACCCGCCCTGTCCAACCCGCCTGCTCGCCACCCTTGCCGAACCTTAGACCAACTTGTGGTACGGCGATCAACATAGGCCCAAACACCGGTTTCGTTACCACCACGCTGGTCGCCCGTCAACGTCATCAGCTGGGATCTTAGTGCTCCTGTTCTGCAGCCTGACCTTAACGTATACCATCCGACCAAACAGCTCATCAACTTTGCGCACGACCTGACTCGTTTCCTTCCGCTCTTTTCCGAACACACCTCAACACTGCAGCGCTCCTGCACTCACGCACCACGGCTCCCGCTTCTGCACTTCATATTGACAGCTGGCAGTCCTGGCAGTCCTCTCGCTTGACAACTCCGCACGCCTCTTTACGATCCTCTTGGCCCCTTCCTCGGAAGCCGCGCTCACGCCTCTTTCATCTCAGCGCACCCGGCTGTTCATGCGGAAATCCCATTCTCCGCCTATCTAAGCTCACACTACATACGGCTAAGCCGAAGAGGGTGTTCGGAACGCTCCGGCAGGCAGTCCACCTCTAGCTCAGCTTAGCGTCTGTTACTCAGCCTCAGACTTCGCCTCTCCTCCGACTTTGCCATCTCCAGCTCTTGACTGTTGTGCTTGCAATTGACCTACCACAAAACTTGACCTGTCCAAGCTCAAGCTCAACCTCCTTATCGACGATACTCCAGCGAGAGCATCATCATCTACATTCGCGTTGGTCACGTCATCGTCATTCACGCAGGCCATTCTGACGGCTGCTCCGATTGCGATTCGCGGATAGACGATCTCTGCCGCTCAAGCTAGAGACAACAGCTAGCGTCGAGTCTCTTCTGACGAGGGTCTTGCCACAACACTGGCATCAACACAATTGTCGAGCTACTTGTCTCAGCATCGCCATCATGGCTCTAGCAGCAACTGTACGGCCGCATTCATCCAGCAGCTCTGCATCGTCAACGCCTTGGCTCTCCCCTGAGCCATCATCCAGCACTTGGCGCAGCTCATACGCCGCCTCTGCAGAGCTGAGTCGACAATTCAGCCCCGCTTCCACAAGTTTCAGGACCATGAGTTCAGGCTCCGTGCCAACTCGCGACCCTCACTCACAAGAGTGGTGGGAGCATGTCCTGCCTCCTGGTCAGCTTGCGGAGCGACTTCGCAAGGCGCAACGCTCCTCGAGCAGCTCTCGTCGACGCAACAACCCGGCTCTTGCCAATGCCACGCCTTCGGAGCGAAGCGCTTGGAAGAGGCTGTCTGGACTGCCTACCGAGAAGCGTCAGCACACTCAATCCGAATCATCGACCGCCACATCGAGCAGGAGATCTTCTTTCCAAGCTGGCTCGGCAGCCACTCTGCCTCGCTCAGCATTGAAGTCGAGTCATCGCTCTCGCGACCTGGCGTCTTCCACTTGCGGAACAGTGAGTCAATCGGAATCCAGCGCCGAAGTGTCCAGTGACGAATTTGGCGGCACCTCGACCGGTCAACACACCCCACAGAACCACATTCGTTTCGCTTTTCCAACTGGCGAGGAATGTGGCTCAACGCTGAGGAGATCTGGTGTCAAAACCATGGGTAACAGTCCCGAGATGGTCTCGTCGACGAGCTGGTCCGGTTTCCAAAACACAGAAGCATTCGAACCAAGTCACAGCTTCTCTCGCAGCATGAGCGGTCGGAGGATGCGCGTCATGAGCGAAGACGGCATGGCGTCTACCATCTTTGCATCTACGCACTCGTCATCCTTCGCCGCGTCGTCTGCTTACCGTCTTCCAGTTTCGCAGTCGGCAATGCATCTCGGTCAGCTAGCCGGCTCCAACCCTGGGGACTCGGCCAGCTGGACAAGCATCGCCAACGATCAAAACAGGACAAGGTTGGCACAACCTTACGTCTCAGATACACCAGACCTCAGCTCGGACGACGGAGCAGACTCGATGAAGTTTAGTACCACTACAACGCAGCGAGTACGGAAGACCAGCACCACTAGAACAACCGTGAGGACTTCGACGTCGTCGTCCTCGAACAAGGCTCCGTCGCCACCGACGATCCTCCGTTCGCACTTCGACCGACCGGATCAACCGCCTTGCTTCATCGGCTCGGATGCCACGGATGGCTACACCAGCCCGGCCAATCGTCGCGATCGACACGTCAGCTTTGATCAAGCTTCTGAGCTGCCTCGCCGAGCCAGCGTTCACGATGACACCGAGCCGTTGACTTCGAGCCAATCGGCGTTCAGCTTCGATACCAGCAGCCCCTTCGACTCGCTGCCGCATCGATCCAACAGCACGCGACGAGCGCGTCAAGGAGTTCGCACCACTGGACGTCGTACCACCAGCTTTTCGCTCCCCAGCAGCCGACGCGGCTCGATCCGCGGAGATTCGCCGCTCCAGCATGGCGCCGCATCGTCAACCTCTGCTGCTTCCTCGTCCAGTCACCACCGACGGGCGAGCTCCATTCCCGACGCGGTGCTTCTCGAAAGCCTTCAAGTCGCCCACAAGCAGCTAGCTTCCGCAGGCAATCTCGCGCTGACACTGACTCGTCAGCTGTCAGCTCCTCTACGACCGGTGTTCCACATGACGCTGTTCTTGAGCATCTCGAGCATCACATTGCTGTCGCTAGCCGCCTTCTTGTGTGCCAGCTATATGCTGACTGCATGGGACGACGTGAGTACGCGGACGCAAAAGGTTGGCGCTGCGGCTGGAAGGACAAAGCAGAGGCTCGAAAAGACATTGGATTGGATGCTGGGCCCTGGTCAAGTGTCGACTGACAGCAAGGGAAACGAGACAACGTCCAAACCACGTTCTCCACGCGAGGCTTCCTCCACCGCCTCTTCAAAAGCATACGAATCAGAAAGACGAGGACCAGTGCTCGCGGCTGGTCACGCATTCCTCTGGCCCGCACGAATGGCTTTCTCCGCCACCACCACCATTGCACACACCATCACGCCTCCTTCCATTACCAAGATTTTTGCCGAATCCGAGCCGAAACCTAGAGCCAGTTCAAGCCTGCCCCCTCGTCCACCACTATCGACGTTGTTGCCATCGATCCTATTCACGCTGTTGCTGGCGATGGGTGCAGGATTGACGAGTTTCTGGGCGAGTCGAAAGCAAGCCGCTGGACGAGACATGCCTGGTGCTAGCGGAGGAGCGCAGCCGTACAACGTGGATTCGCGGATGAGCTCTCCCGGTATGCAGTATGCGGGGTTGGCCGCGGATGCACAGGCTTCACCGTTTGCGGGGAGAGGGTTCCAGTCGGCGAGGATGAATGTGCAGGATGGGGTAGGTGGCAGGAGGACATTTGCGTATGAAGGCGTTGGCGGTGGAAGCGCTACGTATGGTAGGTGATTGATGACTTTGTTAACGAAATCCGTACACGTCTGTTGTACACGAGCAGATGGACATCCACTCATGAATTGAATGATCGCATTCCCAACTCTTATTGCAAGGTCTGATGTGTGACAAGACCGAACCTCTGTGCTGTCCGATCGTCGAAGAAGGAAGAATCACTTGCATCCCCCAACTCAAATCTTTGACCAGCAGACACCCAGCACACGCACACTCATTGCACACAACAATGTCCGACAGTCGGACCTCTTTGAGACAAAACAATGCTTTTTGATTGAACAACCACGGTGTGTTGCTCCAATCCACGATCCCGTCCATTCTCTCCGCCTACGCTCGAATTCTAACGCCTCCTCTGGCGCAGCGGCTTGATCTGTCTACCGCCCGGCGTAGCCGGCGACCCACCTGCACCACCGCTCGGCGGCGCACCCATGCTGAACAATCCAGGTTGAGCCTGCATCTGCGGCAGCTGGGGCAATCCGGACATGCCGTTTGGTGTTGCTCCGAACGAGAAGCTTGCTCCTCCTGGCGTTGGCGCGGTTGGGGTGGTTGGTGCACCACCAAATCCTCCTCCTGGTGCTGCTGCGGGAGCTCCAAACCCAGGAGCGGAAGGCTGCGATCCAAATCCAGGAGTGGTTGGAGCAGCACCTGCGCCACCAAACCCGAACCCACTCTGCGGTGCAGGCGCACCGAATTGAAACGGCGCCGGAGAACCCGCCGGCGCAGCGGAGCCGAACTGGAACGGCGATCCACCCGGAGTCGTAGGTGCACCCGTCGGCGCCAAAAAGGGCGACGCCGGTGCAGACCCTACCCCCGGAGTCGTGCTTCCTGTAGCGCTACCGAACGTGAATCCTCCGCCGCTCGGTGCTGACGAAGTCGCCGGTGCAGGAGACCCAAATCTGAACCCCCCATTGCTGGCATCAGCGTTGTTAGACGGTGCTCCGAACGTGAACGTCGACGGCGACGCAGCAGGCGCACCAGAAGCAGGGGCGGCTGTGGACGACGCGGAAGGGGGGCCGAACGTGAACGACATCCCAGCAGGCTTAGCCGGAGTGGTAGAAGGCGTAGCAGAGCCAAACGTGAAACTCGGCGCGGACGGTGTAGCGGAGAGATTCCTCTGAGGTGAGTCGTCCATCATCTCTGATCCGGTTGCGGCAGTGCCAGCGGCGGGCTTTGCCCCGAACCCGCCGAATCCGCTGGTGCTGGTGGTACCACTGCCGAATCCGCTGCTGGCGCCGCCGGCTGCAGGTGTTCCGAACGAAAAGCCGCTGCTCGCGGGTTTGCTCGTCGCTGAGGCATCTGTCTTGCCAGCTGGAGCACCTAATGTGAAGGTGCCGTTGGGGGTGGTCGCTCCCGATGCCGGAGCAGACGTCGCTGGCGAGGCGGCCGCTGTAGCAACCGAAGAGGCAGACTGCGGAGCACCGAACGTAAACGTCGAAGCAGATGCTGCAGGTTTGCTCTCCGGTGCTGGACTGCTACCGGCGCTAGTGTTGGTGCTGGGAGCACCGAAAGTGAAACTGCTCGTTGAAGCTGGCTTGGGTGCTTCACTCGACGCTGGTTTCGAACTGCCAAAGGTAAATCCACCTGACGAAGCCGAATCAGCAGGTTTGGACGCACCAAATCCACCAGAGGCGTTCTCCGAAGCAGCTTTGCCAAACGAGAATCCGCCACTGGTTGTCGAAACAGCCGGCTTGGCGGTATCATTTCCCTTTGCGCCGAAGAAGTTCGGCATCCCTGCCGTCGCGGCATCGTCCTTCTTCTCGCCACTTCCTGCTGCAGGAGCGCCAAAGTTGAAGCCGCTGCCGGCCGGCTTAGATGCAGTCGGAGTAGCAGCAGCAGCAGCAGCAGCAGCAGCAGGAGCCCCAAACGAGAAGCTAGGCATGCTCTTCTTAGCGGCTGGTTCGTCTTCGTCATCCGCTCCTCGCTTGGATCCGGTGGTAGCGGTGGGTGTCGACGGAGCACCAAAGCTGAAGCCACTGGCAGACAATGCAGCGGACGAAGAGCCGAAGAAAGAGGGAGTGGTGGCTGCTGCCGACTCGGCCTTCCTCTCTGTAGACTGCGTTGGTTTGGCGCCAAAGGACCCGAAGGTGTTGCTGGTTGTGACGGGAGAGGAGGCAGACTCGTCATTTGGTTTCGGGGCACCAAAGCTGAATGAGGCAGGCTTGCTTGAAGCAGCGTCATCGTTAGGCTTGCCTGAAGCTGCAGGAGCACCAAAAGAAAAGCCTCCGGCTGCGGTAGGGGCAGTAGGCGCGCCGGCGGGTCTGCTCTCGAATTTCTTCATTGTGCTGCCGAAAAAGTTGGGCACAGGTCCGTCCTTCTTGGCCTCGTCGAGCGACTTGGATGCGGGCTCGGCAGGCTTGCTAAAGAAGTCGGAGGCGGGAGGCGCAGCAGATTTCTTGGACGAGCTATCTCCTTCCTTCGAAGTAGCATTGGAAGCACTGTTTCCGAAACTGAACTTTGGCAATGCGTCTGGGGCGTCCTTGGAAGGGGCAGAGAAAGAGAACGATGGTACTTGGGCCGCTGATTTCGGCGCTTCGCTCTTCTGGCTCGAAGGGGAAGAAGAATCGAAGCCTCCAAGGCGGCTCAGCAGAGAGCCACCCGAGCTCGACTGAGCCGAGTCAACAGACTTCGAGGTGGCTTCGGAGGAGGTCGCCTCGGACGTTGTGGCGGTTTCGGTTGCTGCTGAGCTGCCGAACGAGAAGCCAGAAGGGAACATGTTGGTGGGCAACTTGATCTTGGCAAGGTCGCCAGCCTCGGGCAGATCCTCTTCCTCTTCATCGTCGTCCCAAGCACTGAACTTGCCAGAGCTCTGATGAGTACGAGAGGTTTTTGCGGCGCCCTGACGGAGTGAACTTCTCTCTCTAGGCGCAGTAGGGTCGCTGGACGTTTTCACAACGAAGTTGTCCTTCTTGACAATGCTGGATGGCGCTTTGGTGGCGGCAGAGAGAGGAATGCGGTGGGAAGCTGGCCTGGGCGTCTCAGCTGCAGCTTTGGCAGGAGTAGCTTGAGGTTGGGCAGCAGCTCGGAGTGGCGTGGCCTTCAAAGCCGACTTGAGCTGGGTAGCGCGAGCGGGCTTGGCGACCTGCTTGACAGGGGTTTGAACGACTTCTTCCGGGTTAGGAGCTTGGTGTTGGAGGCGTCGCGATCGTCGAACCGGTTCCGGTTGGGGCGGTGCTGGCTCATCCTCCTCTTCTTCCTCCTCTTCTTCCTTTTCCTCTTGCTCTTCATCATCATCTGAGTTCGCGTCTTCGTTCTCGGAAGCAGCCGAGTCCTCTGTCGCCGCATCATCGACTTCCATGACGTTTGCGCGTTGCACCTTCTTCAATTTAGCCCTCATACCACCTTGCTGGTCGACTGACTGAACCGTCTTCGCTTTGCGCAAGTATCTTGTGTAAGGAGCAACGCCGATGGTCTGCTTACCCTCTTGCGATCTCGCGGTCTTGGCGGAAGGAAGGTCCGAGATGGGAGCTGGAACGTGTATTTGAGCAGATGGCCCCTTTGCCTGAGCAGCTCCTCTCGACGATGTTGGTTTGCGTAGAGTCTCGAGGACATTGAGGAGACGTTCGGCTTCGTTCTTGGGCGACGGCAGCTTCGGCTCGCGGGCTTTGAGCTCTTCGTGACTGATAAAGCCGAGCTCGGGATGCCAGACCATGCGACGTTTGGATGGCGTGCCGGCGGCGCCAAGCCTTTCCGAATCACCGTCGACACTCATGTCAATGTCGCGCTTACCGAGACGACTTGGCGTTACGGATTCCGTTTCGTCGATGACGCTACCGCCTGCCACGGAGGAAGAGGTGATCATTGGCTCGTCCGCGGACAAGCCGAGATTGCGCCGAACACTCGGGTTGATGCCAGGCAGGGTACGAGAAGCGAGGTACTCTCGCATCATTTCGTCGCCTACAGATGGCACAGACGGGGCTGCCAGGTTGACGCCATTCCAATTGCGTCGCTGCGGTGTGCCCTCGCGATGACGGGCTGGAGAATAGCCAGCTGAAGGTGCCGGTGACGCGCCACGAATGCTGACGCTGCCAGCGCGAGAGGTGCGGCCGGGCGTGCCAGTCTCGGTGAAGAGACCAGAGCTGAAGGGAGCGCGCGTGCGGTGGCCGAGAGTGTTACGCGAAGAAAGCTGGAAGGGCGAGCTGGACGGAGGCAACCCGAATGCGCTGTCGGTGTAGCGGATCTCGTTGCCGTAGCCGAATGCGCTGAACGAGTGCGAATGGCTTAATGAGGTGGAGCCAGATTCGGACATGGCATCGTCGGGCCGAAGTGAGGAGCCGCGGTAACCGAGCATCTGAGAACGAGGGCTTCGAAGGGCGTGCTGACTTCTTGAATGGTGAGCGTGGGATCGAGAGGGTGACGTCCTGCTTACGTCGCTCATGGCATCGATGGATTTGTCGTCGTCGACGGGACGGGCGCCAACTTCGAGCGTGCGCTTAGATGAGCGGCTGCTCCACATGGTCGGCTTGTCGCTCGACCGCGACGGAGCAGAAGGTCCAGCGATGGGAGTCTCCTGGATGAACGGAGATTGGTGGCGTGTGGCACGTGCAGGTGCCGGTGCGGGAGCAAGGCGTGACATTGACCTGGAAGATGAAAGGGTGGAAGTGGGTGGACGCAGCTGACTCTCTTCGTCATCGTGGAGATTGGAGCGAGACAGAAGACCTGCGGCCAGACGCTCGCCAACGGCCCTAGCAGCGCGAGTGGGGGCATCCCTCTCGTAGCTGGAATCGTTGTTACCGGATTTGAGTGAAGCCTGAGCAGCTGCTCGTTTGCGTGCGATGGACGAGAGCGAGTTGGTGCTCGAGGATGTCGGGATTCCGAGCTCGGGCTCTACGGAGGAAGCGACGCTGGTGAGCCATGACAATGGCTTTGTCACCATCTTGCGCACGCTGCCAAGCAAAGCGATGGGCGCAGCGGCTGCACGGAGCGGAGAAAAGGCGGAGCGCGCGGGCTGTGTCGAAAGTGGTGCGAGTGTTTTGGTGTTCGGTGTCGAAGGAGTGCGTACAGGTGAGTCGGTTTCGGTGTGAAGAGAAGTGACGGAGCCAGAAGCGGTAAGTCCCGACGACTGTCTTCTTGCGTACGGCTTGAGTGTCGTTGTGCGATTCTGACGGGCTAGCACACGCGCACGTGCTGGGCCAGCCAGAGGTTTGGCGGGGGACTCTGGATACTGCGACGGAAAGTCCATGGTGAGCTATCAAATTCTACACTTGCGCTTTGTGTGATTGTTGAAAAGTGCCTGCAAATGAAGTCGACTTTGTCCCGGTCCAACCGAAGCGGAACAGCCGTCAAGTGATGGGTGGGATGATTCAGCTGGCAGGAGTGCTCGACGTGAGCAAGAATGAGTCACAGGGTGAAAGCAGTCGGCTTGCACCCGAGTAGCAGGCCGGTTGACGACCGCAGTTGACGCGCTGAGCCAACGAAGGAGACGAGAGGAAGCAAAGGTGAAGATGAGGATGAGAATGAACGAGGATGAGGAGGATGAGATGGACAAAAGCGCGATTCATCGTGTGCTCAAAAACAAGAAGAATTCCAACCGAATCAATTTTCAGCAAAAGCTCGATTTTTGCACTCAGCACCCGATCCTGTCTAATCCTGCCGATTCCTCTTACTCCAAGATTAGTTCCGTTCTCGTGACGTTTGTCTGAGACACGAAGCCTTGTGTTGTTTGCAGATTGGCTCTCTTTGGCGAGGCCCGAGCCCGCATGACAACAATGAAGTTCATTCCGCATCACACTGCAACGCGCAAGCTTGAAGCAGTATCACACCCACTTCTCGCGTCTCCGCTATGGTCGATGCCCTCGACCGATCAGCCCGATTGCGATCTGTGCGCCATGCTTCCGCGGCAATGCTGCCTCCACCCAAAACTGGTTCTTTGCGTCACGTCTTCGTCTATAGCTTTTCCAACACATTCAGCTTCCTTGTCGTCTCCTAGCCCCTTGCTCACAAAGCACTCTATTCACTATGGTCTACAATCAACTTGGTGTGTTCGCTGGTCTCTCGGGTGCTGTCGGCGTCGGCCTCGGCGCCATCGGGGCTCACGCCATGAAGAGCAAGCTCAACGCCTACCGTAAGTCTGATCCGATCAGGCTGGCGATGTAAACACAGAAACATCGGTAGTGAATCGTACTGACCTCTCGTATGCATTCGCATCGAACTACAACCCAACATGACCTTATCGACAGAGATGGGTGCCTGGACCACGGCCACGCAGTACCAGCTTCTGCACAGCTTGGCGCTCCTCTACACTGTCGGCCTTCCTCAAACCGGTCCGGTGGTCGCAGCAGGCTACGCATTTGCTACGGGCATCACCTTCTTCAGCGGCTCGATCTACGGACTTTGCCTCACCAAGCCCGACAACCCGATCCGAAAGGTGCTCGGTCCCATCACTCCCATCGGTGGCCTGTCGATGATCGCCGGTTGGCTCTTCCTAGCCTATGCCAAGCGACCACGCTCACTCCGCTGATGCGCCACGGAGCCTGCTTGCAGAAGTATCACAGCACCTGCATCATCGTCATTGTCTTCCTCGTTCTTGGTAATCTACGCACCGCTCTCCATGCATGTGACAGGCTCGAGCTCGAATCGAAACGTCGAACGTTCTTTCGCACATTGACACAAAGCATGTGGTAAGCGGACCGTGCAGAGGTGGAAAAATGTGTTAGATCCAAGATCGACAGAACGGAAAACTTGGAATTGGGTCTCGTGCGAAAAAGAACGCAGAATCCGACGACGTCCGTCCGCGCTGTGCCTTTTTCCCGAATTGCAGACGCAGGCGTGGGCGCAGAGATGATCGCTTCCGAAAGCCACGATGGACCGAGAAGAAAGACAGAGTCGAGCGCCGGCAGCAACGGTCGCAAATTCGAGGTTTTGTTGATCTCGACTCCACTGCTTCGATCCTTCTTGCTTCCCTACATTGTATATTCACCTCCCCTTCGAACGTCATCAATCCACACTCAAAATGTCCGCCGCTTCCTGGAGAGCTCACTTCACGTACGTTCCGCCTCTTTGCCGTCATGCAGCCCGGCAGCGACTCGACTGCACGGATCGACGCTCTTAGATGACAATGTCTATGATCTGCAGTATATTGACCTCTATTCCGGTTGCTCGTTGATCTTCCTTCGCATACTCATCGCTATCGCCCTTCATTGCATCGCATACTCGCTCATTGGCATTCCACGATCGCATCACGAACGGCGTTAAATTTGCTTCATCCCTACGTCCTCGTCATCTGTTCAATACAACCACAACTCTCAACAGCTTCAACAAGTACACCGCCATCTGCGCGCGTGCCACCCGCCAGGCGCTCAAGGAGGAGGAGCGTGCTTCTGCCGAGCGACGAGGCTACATGGCCCTCCGATACCAGGAGTGGAAGGACGGTCAGGCCAGCGAGAACGTAAGTTATGCTATTGCCTACGGAGGCGTGACACACGGCAGTAGAAGTTGCAACATCGGCTCCACCTTATAAGGTCCAGCACGAGAACCGACCAAGGCACCGGGTTTAGCAGTATCGGATGCGATGCACTATTCCAGCTCTTGTCTCGGAACGACGCATCCGCTCTCAGGTGGGATCGATTCGGTGTTTCTCTCTCACAAAGGCGAGATCGTCGGACCGACTAGTCTGGATCTGTTGTGACATTGCGCTTGATACTCCGAGCGACTGCTGCATGCTTTATGCGCCGTTGTGCACGCCTTCACATCACTTGCGTCCAACATGATGATGCTGACAACATTGTCGTTTTTGTCGTTGCATCATCCTACCATTACAGCTTAACCTTGCCGAGGAGAAGAAGCAATAAACAGCTCGAGCGACCAGTATGGTGCGAGCTTCAGCTTCGGTCGTATCCAATTTGCTCAAACCGAGTCCAGCCCGATCACACCGAGCTTGTTCGCAGCACTCATCCATCATCACCCGCTGAAATGAATTCCTAGGACCATGAAGCTCACGATTGCCTGGTCTGGTGTGTGGAGCAGACGTCTTTTGATCCCCACAATAGGCGAAGTAGTATCGTCGAACTCAATCCAGTTGACCAGTCAGAGTGACGCGGAACTCGCAAGGGGTCAAAGTCCAACTCGTACCTGGACAATTACGCAAGTGTCTCTGACGAGGCCTCAGGGCACTTCTAGGAGTCGGCTCGTTTAGGAGTCGGCTCATCCGTTTGAAGCGTGTCAGACTTATAGTGTTTTGAGAGTCGGCGCAGTTCAAGCCGGGGTGCAGACGATCCTCGAAGTACCTCGATGAGATGTACATTGGAATCGGGTGATCCTGAGGTTGCGCTCTAGCTGTCACACGATCGATCCCGCCCGACCAAGAAAGTCTCGGGTGGGCCGGTTGCGCCTTGGTCGCGATTTGGCCGACGGCGAAAGCAGCTGCCTCTGGGCAAATCCCAAAGCGTGTTCCAGACTGCACGTTTGCAAGCCGAGGTCCATCGCCACGGAGGCACTAATTGCAAAATCCCTTCGGTGCGATCTCAACTAACTCAGCGGCATGAGTGTTGCTCTGTAAGCGAGTGCTGCGTAGCGCTGCGTATCGTTGAGGGTCTGTCGTGTGTCGAAGGGGACACTCTTCGACCTGTTGCGCTCTCGAGCACACAAGCAGGAGGAAGACAAGGTATTTGAAATAGCGAATACAGTTTGGAGTGAAATGCGTGTTGAAATTCGGAATGGAACAAGGTGTCCACGTTCGCACCTTCATGTCAAGGGTCTAGCTCAACCTGCAGCAAGCTCCGCTCTGCACGAACGTGGACAAGATCGCGCGACCCATACACGTCCATTTTGCTCATTCTTTCATACATGCAGGACTCTAGCTACACCTTCTTACGACACAGTTCGAGTGTCCGATTGTTGTTCTGAAGTTCGGCATCTCGTTCGGTGCGAGCTCGCCCTTCTTCTCTTTCCCTGTGTCAGCAGAGCCGTGGTCCGAGCTTTGCAAGGGTGAGCGTGCTAAGGTCGCATGATCAAGAATGCAGATGAGAACGACTTTGCGCTGTCGGACACTGCGAATGGGGCTGCAACTTTTGACAGACGCAATACACGACACCGGTTGAATGCCGACAAGCAGTCAGTCCGCTTTTCCCACGATACAGCTTTCGGACAGCCTTCCCTTTGCAGACTGTGAACGCAACTGCCATCGAGCACTGCTCTCGCAGCTGGCCTTGCGCTCAGATGAAAGTCTTTTGAGTGTGCACTTACTTGTTCATGGCTTTGCCCTTCCTGTCCTCGGATCCTTTCCGACATCCAGCAGGAATCAAGCAGATGTGAACTGATCCTCTTCTTCCTCCCAACAATACACAACCATCACAACGAGGCGTCTCATAGTCAGCTTTCAGTCACAGCCATCACCATTGACGGGTCACCCGACTCCTCTGTAGATCTTTACCTAGGTCCATCTGGGCTGGCTTAGCTCGACCCATCCGACACTTGGTCGTTTCGCAGCTACGCTGCACTGTTCGGCTCCTGCCTCAGCCCCGAGCGCGACTTTAGCGCTACCGCACACGCTGATCCTACCGCCACGCCGAGATGCTCTACTCCACCTATCGCCCTCATTTGGCGCCTAGCGTAGACCCTCAACGCTACGACAGAGGCTATGCCGACGACTACCTCCATCCTCAGCATCAGCTCCATCCGCACGCCAGTGGCTTCGGAAGACCTGACTCCTCAGTAGCTCCCGACGCCGCCGCCAGCTCGGATCGCTTTGAGTACAAAGGTGAGACCCTTGTCGCCTCGCACATTGAGAGTAGACTCTACGACAATGCTCTCGTTCGCGACTGCTCGGTCATCGGAGTGCCTCAGCCAGCTGGAGCTGTAGTCACATCCTCATCACACCAGTTTTCAATCGCTGGCACTACGCCAATTGCCTTCGTGGCTCTCAGCTCTTCCGGTAGAGAACGCTCAGCTCAAGGCGGGGACAAGGAGTCTAAGCGCATGAAGACCGAGCTCGTCAAATGGATCGTCGACTTTGCGCCTCCTTTCAAGCAGATGAAAGGCAAGCTCATCTTTGTCGAGTCCATTGCTCGCAGCCCGGACGGCTCTGTGTTGCGTCACTTACTCGTCGACAAGGCCACCTCTCCTCCCGCCCCGGGTCCCGACAAAGGCTTCTTCAATACCGTCCTCTCCGAACCATCTACTCCTGCTGGGCCTAGTAAAGCAGGCTCGGTCATCGGAGACCTCAGCGAGACAGTCAGTCCACCCAAGAAGGCCGTTCGAGATTCCAAACGTCGTGCGACTCACAGTCAGATCGAGCGACGCAGACGCGAAAAAATCAACGACAGACTCGTAACCCTCCGCTCGATCGTACCAGCATGTTCCAAGGAGCTGGAAGACCGACGTCGACAGAAGCAGGAAGAGGAAGACGAAGCGGCTCGCATCGCTGCTGGCGGTGCACCAAAGACGTATATCGATGCCGCTACAGGAAAGCCGAAGCGTAAGAGGAACCGCAAGAAGCCCGACACCAAAAAGACGGCTGGAGCAGACAAGGAGGAAGAGCTCGGATTGCATAAGCTTGAAGTGCTCACGCATGCCATCAATTACATCTTTGAGCTCAAAGGTGTCATCCACAAGCTGCAAACAGGTTCAGATCCTGAACACATTCCGACAGCGGATAATCCTTTCGGTATTCGCAACAAGGACGGTAGCTACCGCCAAGATGCCAAGATCGAGGACGAGCCTGGATGTGGCCTCGACGCACGCACGCTCGAGGAGGACGACTTGCGCGAGATCGTGGGCGGATCGCAAGGCAAAGCAATGCCGAGCAAAAGCGGTGTCGAGGATGAGGACGGAGACGAAGAGGAAGAGGAGGAGGAGGAGGAGGATCAGATCGAAGATGATGTTGCAGAAGGCGATGATGAAGAAGAGGCAGTTGCTGCAGATGAAGACGAAGATGACGAGGACGATGATGAACCACTCGAGCGTCGACACAAGAAGCACATGACATCTGCCAGCTTCCGTGCACACGAGTCCCGCCACAACCCGAGTCACTCGCAATCCTCCCTCGCAACGGTTGATTCGTTCGTAGTCCCCTGTCGATACCGTCGCACCGACACGAACTACTCCTCATCTTCCAGTCGAGGCAGCGCCGAAGTGTCACCCGCATTCTCGCTCATTCATCCCAGCCCCAGCACCATCTCACCGGCGACCACAGTGACTTCTCCTATGATGAGTCTGTCCGCCGAATCACCCATCATGCTTCCCGATCCAGCCATCAGCATGTCCAAGCGTGGCAGCTCCACAGCAACAGGCAGAGTCTCTCAGAGTCTGCCGTTCTCCAACTTACCCGCGTCGGCTTTACCTTTGCCCACTGGTTTACCGGCTAGACGCGAGTCGAGCAGTTTCTTGTTCAAACAGCTCAGCTTGACTTCTCCCAACTTTGCTCCATTCAACCCGTCCGCCTGTCCAACTTCTTCTGCCACACCTTCGTCTGTAGCGGCGAACAGCGCACGATCGAGATCGACGACACTCTCTTTCCCAACGACCTATGGCGAGGAGTCCGAAATGCGAGATACCAGCAGCATTCCACAAAAGACGCCCGGGTTGTCGGATAGGGACGATTCTGCAGGTCAGGGTTCTGCCGCCGATCCATCAGATGCATCCGCAGCAGCGCTACTGCTCAACTTTTCCACCTCGCCCGAAGTCCTCCGACCCATCGGAAGTACCAGCCGAAGCAATAGCAAAAGTGCCACCGCCCGTCGAGCCGCTTCAAGCGTCGCCTCCTCACCTCACGCACGTCCCACAGTCGGTCTACCACAGAACAGAAGCCGATCCACTTTCTCCTCCCCTCACTACCGCCCAATTCCACACTCGAGCTCGCTCTACCCGCCTCAATCTGGTACAACTGCAAGCCCAGCGGTCAAGGCGGAGATGCAAACAGCAGTGGAAGAGGAGGAAACGTCAGGCTTGGCTTCACCACCTCATCTAGCGCTCGATAGCTCGTCTCCGTTGGAGGAAGAGGAGGTCGAGGTGGATCAGCTCTCGGACAAAACGATTGATGAGTTGCCGGAGAGCGTTGTCAAGGTCGAGACTGTAGCGCTGGATGCTGTGGAGATGGACACCGCTGCGTAACGTCTTAGCATCGGATCTCGCTCACATGCAATTGCCATGGAAATCGATGCGCGAAGCGAGAACTCCTTGCGTGTGATGGAATGGGGATGTGTGTAAGATTAACGAGATCATTGTGTTTACAGGGCAGATCATGAGAGACGACATCAAGCGAAGAACTCCCAATCGCGCTCGACAAAGGCGAGTAGATAATCGTCGATGGTTCCACCTTCCTCTTCCTCCTCTTCCTCTCCTTCCTCTACTCCCTCCGTTTCTTCCACCTGAACGCTTCCCTCCAGCACACCTCTCGCATCATTTCCAACTGGCGCAGCTTCACCACTATCACCCTTGCTGGTCTCCTTACCCTGCTGTTGACGCTCGTCAAACTCCTCATCATCGACAAACATCTCTTCCCTCGCCTTCAGCGCTGCCTGTCTATCCTCTTCATCCTCCGCTTCCAAGAATGCCCTTTCTACATCCCTCGCCCCGACTCCATCTGCTTCCTCTCCGACCGCAACTTCAACGTCGCCGATCTTACCACTGTCATCCAGCATGTCTCTCCAATCCAGCCTCTTCACCAACGTATCCGTGTTGAATTCGCCCTCCTGAATCACGACGCTGTCCAACAACCTCTTCTGGTTCGCTTTGCGCAGCATGTTCTCTTCGATCGTATGTTCGGTGACGAAGCGATAGATGTGAACGTCTCGCGTCTGACCGATTCGATGCGCACGATCCATACACTGTGCCTCGATCGCAGCGTTCCAATCGAGATCGTAGAACAAGACCGTATCCGCACCAGTCAGATTGATGCCCAACCCGCCGGATCGAGTCGACAGGATGAACGCCGTTATGCGTGGATCTCGGTTGAATTTCTCCGTCAGAGCCTGTCGAGATTCCACCTTGGTAGCCCCGTCGAGTCGAAGGTAGCGATATCCGTGGTTGTTGAGGAACGACTCGAGGATGTCGAGCACGCGAGTCATTTGCGTGAAGATGAGGATTCGATGGTTGCCCTCCTTGAGTCGACGCATCAGGATGTCGAGTTGCTGGAGCTTACCACAGTCGTACTGTAGGAGTGAGGCGTCCGGGAAGGCGATGTGCAGTTTGACGGCGACTGGGTGGACCGTATCGAAGGAGGGTTGCACGAGGTCGGGTGTGGGTTCGAGGCCGGGCAGTGCCCAACGAGGCATGTCGACCGCGACGGCCCGTGGAGTGACAAAGGCAAAGCGATCGATGTAGGGCTGCATATTCTCTCGACGGGTGGAACGAGACTGGACGATGCGGAGCAGGGAATCGCAGCGAGTCAGGAATCCCTTTCGATTGGACTCGTGCTGTTCCAAAGGCTCCAATCGTGTTGCCTTGCCAGCCTCTCTGAGGATCTTGATCAACCCGGATCCATATACCGGCCGCTTGGTGCAGCGATACTGGTTTAGGTAGGCCACGTGCTTCCACCTTTCCATCTGGCCCACCAACCTGCGCTCTCCTCGCGTCCGCTCAAACCCATCGAGTGTCCACGTATCGAGCTCTGGAGGATCCGGCACCGCATCTCGAAAGTGCGGCAGCTTCTTGGCAGCATTCAACCTGCGCAGATCGCGCGACTCGATCGCCGTCAGATGCTCTTCGCCGTTGGTGATGCGAAAGTTGGTGACGTCTAAATCGACCTGACCCCAGACATTCTCTTGCAGTAGATGACGTCGAACGAGAAGATCCTTGATCTCGTAGTCTGCAACGACCGATCTCGACATGGCGAAACTGGTGACGATCGGTCGCACCTCGAACAGGTCTGGATGGTTGCATACCTTGCGCAGCTGCATCAGGCAGTTGATGATGCTGAGGTAGTTGCCGCTTGCCAGACTCTCGCGGGTCTTTGCACGCGACATGAAGTCGTTGTAGAGGAAGCGCTGGCGTTTCGAAAGACGACAGGTGATGACGTGCTCGTACTTGCTCGGCAGCTCCTTTTCGACTTCGCTCTTGAGACGGCGCAGCAGGTAAGGTCGCAGGACGGCGTGAAGCTTCTGTACCATGGCGCGAGTTTCGTCGTTCATGCTCGTTCCACCTTCGATGGCTTTGTCGAGCGGGTTCGAGAACCAATCCTGAAAATCCTTCATGTTGGCGAAAGCGCCACCACCCGGTAGCTCGGTAGCCCCATTTGGCATGAGAAAGTACATCAATGACCATAGATCCATCAGATTGTTCTGCAGCGGCGTGCCAGTCAGCAGCAGCCTTCGCTGCGAATTAAACCCGAGCAACGTCTGCCATCGTTGCGAGCGAAAATTCTTGATATGGTGCGCCTCGTCCAGCACCAGGTAAACCCATGGTTTTCGTCGGAAGATATGCTGGTCGGCGAGCACGAGTTGATAGCTGGTGATGCACACGTTGAAGCTGTTCTCCGTGTTCCAGCCGACCCTCTTTTCCTTGCGCTCCTTCTGATTGCCATAGTAAGAGAGAATCTTGAACCCGGGCAAGAACTTTTTGAACTCGACCTCCCAGTTGAGCATGACACTGGTCGGCGCAACGACCAGATGGGGACCCCAGACGCCCTTGTCACAGGCGAGGTGGGCAAGCAGCGAGATGGTCTGGATGGTCTTGCCGAGACCCATCTCGTCAGCGAGGATGCCGTTGACACCATTCGCGTACAAGCTGGCTAGCCATTCGAACCCAATTTGCTGGTAAGGTCGGAGCTGTCCACGCAGAAGGAACGGTTGACGTGAACGACCGGCATGTCGGTCCGAAGAGACGATGGAAGAGGCACGCGTCATCGAGCGACGGCTGCTACGACGGCCGCTTGTGGCAGCTGACTCTGAATCGCTATGGTCGTCTTCGAGCAATGCATCTGATTGTTCAGCGACGCCAGTCTCAGCGGCAGCCTCGTTGACGTCCAGCAATTTGTTTCGCGCGCTGATGCCCTCTGCTGGACGTTCCTCTCGCTCTTTGAAGTCCTCAAGCGCGATAGGAGCTTCAGTTGCTGCGTTCTCTTCCTCGTCTTTGACCGCGTGCGTTTCAGCTTCGTCATCTCGATCGTCGTTGGCGGCATTCTCGCCAGCCTCGTCGTCTTCGGTACCATCTTCTGCACTTTGTCCATAGCCGTATCTCTTGAGAAGCTCTTCGATGGGTATGTTGGCATCTGCTTCGAGCCCGGCGTCTTCGCTATCGTCCTCTTCGTCCTCTTCCCACATTTGCCTTTCGAGTTCAGCGTCTTCCTGCTCGCCATCGTCGCCGGCGACGTCGAATTCGACGTCGTCAGCTTCCAGTCTGAAATCCTTTGCTGTGAACGATCTGCCTGTAATGCTGCGAGCGCTCCGTCTTTGGGGCCTTCGAGAAGGCTGTGTGTCAGATTCGACGAGGTCGGCTGTGTCTTCCCTAGCGATGACGGCCACGTCGCTGACGGCGCTAGTTTTCTGATCTCTGATATCGTCCGTTCCATCTGGAGCCGGTGTTGACACGAGAGACGGCTCTCGCGAGACGGGCATCGATTCTTGTTGGATCGATCCGTCGACCTGATCGTCGACTTCGGATTCCTCGTGCTCGGTGTCTCCGTCGCTGCCGTAGCTGGTCCTGTCGCTTGCCTCGTCGTCGCTGTCGATCAAGCTATCGGCACGCGTCATGACTTCGTGCTGCTTCTTGAGCATGGCGGTGCTCTGTTCGAGGATGGCGTTGAGCTGCTCCTTGTCGAGCTTCTCCTTTTCCGCCTTCTCGGCCGCTGCCCTCCGTGCTCGGACCACGTTGACGGCGAGACGCCACTGCTTGAGCACCTCGCGGAGGGTCCATTTGGCCAAGGCACGGACTCGCCTCTCTTCAGCCTTCTTCTCGCGCTCCGAGGTGCCGAGCTGCCGTTCCCAGTGCTGAGCAACCATGCGGGCCACTTTGCGAGAGTTCTGCTGCCTGAGTCTAGAATACTGACGCATCTGAGTGTAGCTGGCAACGACAGCATCTAGTATGTGGTCGTGGTGGGATTTGTTGCGAACTCCCTTATGGGCGACGTGGCGCGTCGTCGAGCCAGCTTCGGGATGTATCGGCAGACCGGCACGCCATCTCTGATCGAGCTTGATGTACGTCTGCAGATCGTCACCTTCGGTAGGCCCTTCGCTGTCCTGCAACAAGTTGAATGAGTTTAACAGAGCGTCGAGGTTGCCGCCGAAGCGTCGGGGTGCTGGAACCTGATTGTGAGCGAGGATGTGCAATGGAGGTAGGTTTTTGGGCAGCTGACGAGGCCGGTGTCGCACGATGAAGCTGTCGAGCTCGTCCAATGCCTTGCTCTTTCGCGCTCCACTGCGCTTGACGGGTGAGTCGGAGGAGGTCTCGTCCGCCTTGACGCGGTTTGACTGTGATGCTGAAGACAGACGAGCTCGCTTCGCAGCTCCCTTCCGAACTGAACCAGAATCCGTTGCTCTGCCTTTTCCCTTTTCGCTGCGGCTGTATGCGCCGTCTATCGCGCCTTCGCCGTCCTCCTCGCTGCCGTGATCGGCATCGTCACTCCCTTCGCTTTCGGATGTATGCGCATCATTGGCGCGTGATCGGGCACCTATGAAGCTCGACGATCTTCTGCCACGGCTGCCTTCTCCGGTAGACCTCTTGCCGTCAGCTTTCTGCTTGGAAGCAATGGGGGTGACTGGGCTGCTTGGAGGCTCTGGACGCTTGAGAGAGAGGCTCTCGAGTCTGGCGTTGACTCTTCTTCGAGTGGCACGCCCCGACGTAGCAGCCGCGGCTCCGGAATCGGTATCGTCGAGGCTGAAGCGTAGATCGTGTGCATGCTTGAAGGTGGTGAATACATCACTTTGATCCGTGCGCGCAATGTCTGGGTCATAGCCGACCATGGTGACAAACTTGGTGAGGTGAAAGAGCTCCCGGACGAGCATGTCGTGACCGTCGTGAACGTCTTCGAGGTCGGACTGCGCCAAAGCGATCCTTTCGCTCCTCCTGCGATGCAGAATCTCCGGCAGAGGAGCTTGTGGGTCGAGCGCAGTCAGTGGTGTGATTTGCGGTCTCGGACGAGTGTGTTGCAAAGTGGGCGCAACGACCTCCTCTTCGGAGATTGCTGCCGACTCTTCATCAGGATCAGGCTCGCTTTTGACCGCCGAGGTGGGGACCGATCGGCGTGGGCCTCCTTCATTTGTGTCTTTGGCTCTTGCTTTACCGTTATTGAGTTTGGATTTGACTGATGATATTGAGTCGGCAAGGTTCATAGATCCGGTCGCATCTTCTTCCCGCTTCGAGCCGGATGTCGATGTACGTCGCTTTCGCGATTCGTTGCTGTTGCCATTGGTGAGTGTGGTGCTGCGACGTGGACGGCGTGCCTTGCCGGAGCCATCGTTAATGTCGGCTTGAGCTTCTTCGCTCGTCTCATTTTGCTGCAATTGAAACGCTGGGCCTGGACTGGAAAAGGCAAGCTCTGCGTCGATCCTTCTTCGTTTGGTGGGCAGTTTCGGCGTGACGGTTGGCTGCGGCGAATCGGAGCGTCCGTTTCCGACAGACGATAGTCGAGAGGGTCCAGCTTCGGATGAAAGCCGCTCGTTCGACGCCGCGTGGCTGCCGTTCACGCCATTCTCGCTATCCTCTCCGGAAGTACGAGGTAGAGCTTGTGTGCTCACATTGCTGGCTGATTTCTCTGCATTGTCGAGTGACGAGTCGACAGGGTACATGAATAATGTCGATTGCTTCGACTAGAGCCCGTTACGCTGTTTCCCGATCGGAGCCGTAGCGAAGTTGCTTCGCAAAGCTTGAGTCTCTCTGCCGCCGGTGAGCCTGTGCAGTCGCTCCCGACCGCTGCAGCCAAGGAGTTTCGGGAGTCTATGAAGCGGTTTCGAATGGTGAGCAGGTCATTCACAGAGCTTTGTCCAGCGACTCGTTGGAAGGCCGCTGACCTGTGCGGGTGGGCGTGAGAACGAAAAGTGCCGGGCTGAGCTTATTTCAAAACTCTTCCTAGCTTCTCTGACTGGTGTACTGCGAAGATGTGAAAGTGCTCGTCGGTGGGCCGGCAATGCTTTGCCTCTGAGTGAAAAGAGCGTCGAAGGAGTCTGTCGGTCAAGCGCAATGTCCGTTCTGTGGCGTGTGAATGACTGTTTTCGGACAATTCCGAGGTCGAGGAAATTGCTTCGGGGGCCGATGAAGGGCTGCTGTGCAACGTGACGAACGTTCTTCTGTAGTAATCGTCGACGGTTAGCGAGTTTCGGTATTTCAAGGGGGCAAAGCTTGGTGATTGTCAAGGCGATAAGGGGCAAAAGAGCTGGATGTCGGTCATGCGGAAGGAAGGGAAGGGAAAGGATGTCGTGAGAGGGTCCGAATCTCGAACTCGTCGCAGGGTGCAGAAAGAAGCTTTCGTCGCTCAGTCCGCAAGTCGTCTCAAGCTTCCTCGTTGAGGCGCGTCAGCCGCGGCCACACAGCGAGCGTTTCTTTCCCTTGCCGTGATGAGCCAACGAAGAAAATAATGGTGAATTAAACAGGTCCAAAAAAATAGACTCGAAAATATTCGCCGCGATGCAGCCATGGGTTGACAGCTGAGCAAGGCCCCACGTTAGACGTGGCTGCGATTGTACACACTGCAACCGAAATGAGGTTGGCAGCCTCGTGTGGGATGTGGAGTTCTAAACGAGGCAGGTGCGCGGACCATACTGAGTCGACCTTGCAAGAAGCTTTGCCAAGATATCTGTCTTGTTGATCTCTCACACCTACGCTCGCATTCAGAACACGCTGGCACACATCGATTGATCTCCGTTCAAGATGCCTGTCGTTCACATTGTCCTCGTTAAAGTCAAGCAGGCGGTGCTGTCTAACGGCTTTGACGAGCTGAAGCAGAAGTGCGAAACGCTCAAGGACCTTCCCATCGCCAAGTCCAAGGCGACCGAGATCAAGTGGGGACCTCCCGCCTACCCTGGTCGCAACGAAGGATACAATTGGGGTGAGTTGCTTGAAGTGCGGTGGCTCATAAAGGCAATGGTGCTGCACTACTCCGACCCGTGCAGCAACGTTGACACCAAAGCTGATTCCTGGCTTTTCATGCCTCTCTTCCTCTTTTCACACGGTGAACCGCGGTTCTCCCGACGTTTCGCCGGATGAATGCAGGTCTGTACAGCGTATTTGGCTCTCGAGAGGACTACGAGGCGTACCGAGACGACGAAGAACACCGCAAGTGAGTATAGCACACCTATAACCCTTCGGAAAGCATGCCGAAGGCTTCGGCGCCACTCTTTGCTGTTTGTGACGATCCCGACTGACCACCCTGTGTGATCTTGATTCTTCCATGCATCGCCATATCCGACGCCTTCAGCTTCTCCAAGACGGTGCTACTTCCCAACACGGACGGGCTCCTGGCTTACGACTTTGACATTTGAGTGCTCGTCGGCGCCGATCCGTCTCTGCTTTAGCTCTGACAGCCATTAATACAAACATTACACAACAGCTCGACGTGTGCCCTCGAAAGCAGATCAGCGCGAAAGAGATTTCATGCGGCGGGCAGTGTCTGCACCTTTCACAGGCAGTGTCCAGGCAGGCCATGCACCTGCATGAAAGACTCCGCATCCGATCGTGCAGCTTGTCGGCGGAGAGCGCCTTGGCAAACCGGCGGATGTGCCAGTGTTGGCTCCCAAGGCTCGGACCTTCCCACGCCAGAATGTGACTTCAGAGAGCAAGAGGCCATCAGTCGTCCGCTTCGAGAATCTCTTGCGATCTTCACCTTCAGACACGCTCCTGCCTCGACACCTTTCTTCGCTTCCAATCTTGCCTCCGTGCAGTACGCGCCGAGAAGCGCTCGAACGGGCAAAGATCGCTGAAAGCCATTTCAGAAGAAAGACTCGAACAGATATATACGGCGTGGCCGAGAACACGTTGTGACCACATGACCTGATGCTCACATCTCCTCCGCCCTATGTCACCCGAAGCTGCCAATTTGGCTACTCTATGAATAGAAGCTATTCGTCGGACTAGGGATCATGCCGCCCACCAGGCGCAGTTCACAGCCAAAGGAAACGCCGGCCAGATCCAGACAAGAACCCGCAGTATTGCGGGAGCGATCGCTTCGGGCTTGTACGCGTTGCCGTCAGCGCAAACAAAAATGCGATAATGCCTTGCCAGATTGTAGCAACTGCATCAAAGGCGGTGTAAGATGCGAAGCTTTTCCGATCAATGTCGTCTCGCGCGACAATTTACTGCAGTGAGTGATGGCAACCTTCGCCGATCAGTGTTCAATGACAAAGGCGACGTGATCCTATCTGCAATCTTTACTTTAAATGCCTCCGCAGAATCTACGATCAGCTGCAGCAGAGCCAACGACGCAACGCCAATTTGCAGGAAGAGCTCACCATGTCTCGCTTCGTCGCTCCGGATGCTCTGGCATTTTTCAGTGCTGTGCTCGCTAAGCAGGTAAGTCGACGATTCCATACCAACGTCTTCTCTTGTTCCATGTTGACCGGATTGTCTGTTCGCAGGTCACGGGCGGGACCTATCATGGCGACAGCTGTCGACAAAGCGATCAAGCAAGGTTCGTTCGAATCAGTGCCGTCAAGCTCCTCCTGTCAGCAATGTTGCTGATGCCACCTCGAAGCAACTGGTCCTACTCGATTTTATGGACTGTTCAGTCTCGATCATATGCAGTCTGCAGACACTCCTTTACCATTGCAGTCAAATCCAAGTGAGGCTCCAGCAATCGTCACTCTCGATGCTAAATCTGAAGTTCAGACGGCCACGATCGCAGAACCTTGGCCTTCAATCTCGAGCGCTCAGGCAGACATTTGGAAGGTAATCGAGTCGCTGGAATGCTGCTTCCCTGCCGTCGCACCAGCAGTCTCTGTGGCTGCACAGCAATTCGATCAGAGACCCGATCATCCCAGCTCAGGCAAGCTCAACAAAATCGCTGCAGAGTATGTTCGCCTAGGCCGCAAACGTGCACTGTGCTTACCTTTCAGATACGGACGGACTGACACCATTCCAACCATAACGCGAACAGTCCCATTCATGGCTTGCAAGACCTGCTCAGCGTATCCACGATTTCAGTGGAACGTGCTCGCCTCAATCGGTCTTCGGTCGAAATGCAGGCGTCCGTCGAGGATTGGACCAGAAGAGTCGGCGCAGCAAGTAGCATGACCCGAGTCGCAGCTACTCTGCTCTGGTCTCTGTTCGCCATCGTGCAGCATCGAGGCGAGGAACTGCTACGGTTCGACACTGCCCTCACGTATTTCATGCAAGCATGGCAGTCAGACTCGACGAGCCCGTCAATTGTGCCGAGCACGTATGGCGACATTCCGGTAAGGAGTAGCAGAACAGAAAGTCAACTTCAGAAGTTGCAGTGTACTCAGCCTTCAGCCCTATCTGCGGCGAATTCTCCCCTACAGATGTCGTTTTTCCGCGCTCACGACTGGATACATTTGCGTAAGCGATCAGCATCAAGGCGGTTTGTCCATTACAGTCAATGACGGGCAAAGAAGGCTAACGACTGCTTCTGCTTGACCTTTTCCTAGAGACCGCTGTCATGACTGGCAAAATTCACATTCAAGTCACCACGATGAGCAGCTTCGAAGGCGTCGAATCGATTGCGTCCAAGAGCGATCTCGGCGCTTTTCTCGCGAGCTTTCACGTCGAGCAGAAGCGACTGGAGTACGTCGCACTGCATCTTTTCTCGAGCCCTCTTGGCGAATTGACCGACACTAGACACGAAGAGGCCGTCTGGAACTTGCTCAGAAGCATCAAGGAGCTCTCGGATGTCAACTCGCAGAGCTTCGATACCTTCGGCGTGCACGATCATGCCAGTGTCAGCGCCCAACGAGACGTTTTGACGCGGCATAAGCTTGGAACGCAGCTTTACGGCATGTTCCCGAGGATGCTCTTCTTGTACTGTCCTAACAATCGACGTCACTGGAGATGGCTCGGCAATGCTCTGCCCCTGGCGGCCACTGCACTGTCGTGTCATCACGCTGCGTGGTCGCAGTGTGGGTGGTTGGGAGACCACGCCGTCGACGCACTGACATTTGCCGACTTGCTAGCCGCGTAAGTGGAGAGCTTGAATACACCGTTTCGACGCATCTCAGTACTGATCGTTCGTCGATAGACCGCTTTCTAAACGGTACAGGTTAGTGTGGACCCTTCAGCGACGCCAAGCTCAGAACGACCTTCGTGAAGACGTTTGCGAGCTGATACGCATCGGGATCCAGCTAGGCGAACAACTTGTGGGTCTTTTCCGAATGATGCTGTTTGCCTTACTGTCGCTGACATTGGTGACACATCTGCTTTGGCGTCGGACAGGCGGGCAAGTGGCCGCAGTATAGCAACATGATCTTGACCGCTGTGCGCCAACTACACACGATTCGCGACTCGCTCATCTCTCCTTCCGGCCTCAGCACTCCTTGGCCACCTGCTTCGACGACGACGACGTCCTCCTCCAACACTGCTTCGAGTCCTGTGCTCCGCACGCCACAAGCTGGCGAGCTGTTGCAGCAGCCGTTCTTTGCCAATTTGAATCCACGCCATGAAGTTCAACATCATCACTGCCCGCCGTACCAGCAGACGCTGCCTCAGCAGCAGCAGCAATCGGCTGTATATCAGCAGACGCAGCAGCTGCTAGGAGACTGGCACCAGACGCCTCCCGTGCAGCCCATCCGCACCGATTGGTCTAGCAACCCCACCGACGCTGACCCAGAGCGCGCATTCAACGGCATCACCCCAGTTGGTCTTGACACCGACCACATGCTGCCCGTGATCCTTAGCGGCAGCGGTGCCACCATGGAGCAACAGCGCAAAGATCCGCAGCCCTCGGCCTACACCGCTGTCGACTTTGGTTCTCGCGCTTCTGCCGTCGTTGCAAGCCTAGCCGACCTGCCTTCTCATACGAGCTCGCAAGCGCCAGCGCAGGTCCCAGCTGCAACGCCCAGACCTCTGCTGTACCTACCTGACGATCGACACCCTGCCTCTTGACATAACGGACATTGGGATGACCGAAAAGAAGTGTACCACCCTCATCAGTTCTTGTAGATACTCTTTGTGCATTCCGAACGAACAGTGAACGAACAATCGACAAGTTTTGCCCTCAAAATCTCATCGACATTCGTGCGCATACACACACACATACCGTTCAAAACACACTGCCGGGGGACAAAAGAGAAAAGAGATGCCATTGCGCGCGGGGGCAAGTATTCGAAATGCAGGCAGGCGATCGAACCAAAGGGTTGAAGTGGGGCAGCGGGGGGAACGGAGGGTTTTTGCATATGTGTGTGAGTTCAAACATAAGTTGAGGGGTGTTTTTCTATTGGGCTTAGTATGTCGATTCGGGTGTAAAAAACTCCTTTGCTGCGCGGGTGGAGAGGAGGGTTACAAATCGAAGAGACGTAAGCCTTAACGCCAGTAGCACAGAGGGTGTGGGGGAGGCGCAAGAAATGGTGTCCAAGGCGATGTAGGGCCGTGTAGGACTTTTGTTTAGATGAGGTCAGCGACGTTGAGGGGCATCTCGTCGATCTGGGTCGAGTAGAACTGCTCAATGTCACGGAGCATCCTGACGTCGTCGCTGGTGACAAAGTTGATAGCAACACCCTTACGGCCGAAACGACCGCCACGGCCGATACGGTGGATGTAGTTCTCCCTGTTGCTGGGAAGGTCGTAGTTGATGACCAAGCTGACCTGCTGGACGTCGATACCACGGGCGAGGAGGTCGGTGGTGATGAGGACACGCGAGGAACCGGAGCGGAACTCGCGCATGATGACCTCACGCTGACCCTGCTCCATGTCGCCGTGCATGGCGGAGACGGTGAACTCGCGTGAGGTGAGCTTGTCGGTCAACCAGTCGACCTTTCTGCGGGTGTTGCAGAAGATGACGGCCTGAGTGATGGTGACGGTCTCGTAGAGATCGCAGAGGGTGTCCAACTTCCACTCCTCCTTCTCGACGGCGACGTAGAACTGCTTGATACCCTCGAGGGTGAGCTCGTCCCTCTTGACGAGAATGCGGATGGGGTCGCGCATGAACTTCTTGGTGACCTCGAGAACCTCCTGGGGCATGGTAGCCGAGAGCAAGACACACTGGGTGTCCTGGGGAAGCAGCTGGAAGACCTCGTACATCTGGTCCTTGAAACCACGCGAGAGCATCTCGTCGGCCTCGTCGAGGCAGAACATCTTGAGCTGGTCGGTCTTGAATGCCCTGCGGTTGATCATGTCGTAAACACGGCCGGGGGTACCGACGACGACCTGGGCGCCCTCGTTGAGCTTGGCCATGTCCTCGCGAACGTTGGTACCACCGATGCAGGCGTGGCAGTCGATCTTCATGTAGTCGCCGAGAGCGATGACGACCTTCTGGATCTGCTGAGCGAGCTCACGGGTGGGGGCGAGGATGAGAGCCTGGACGGCCTTGATGCTGGGGTCGATACGCTGGAGAATGGCGATGGAGAAGGTGGCGGTCTTGCCGGTACCGGACTGAGCCTGGGCGATGACGTCGTGGCCCTTGATGACGGGGACGATGGCACGAGCCTGGATGGCCGAGGGACGCTCGAAACCGTAGGCGTAGACACCACGGAGGAGCTCGTCCTTGAGCTCCATGTTGTCGAAGTTGTCGATGACGGTCTCCCAGTTGGACTCGATCTCGCCATCGGCAATGTTGAGGTTGTTGGCACCCTCGCCTGCGGGCGCAGCGGCGGCGGCGGAGGTCTCCTCGGGCCTGTGATTGAGTGAAGCGGAGCAAAGAAAAGGGTCAGTATGGCGTTCGTGAACGGAATCGGATTGTCCGAGCTGTATGACGAGATGATCGGCGCCACTCGGATTGATGCGCCGGTGCTGCCGTGGCAGTGCAGACTCGATGCTGTGGCCTGCCAGATCACAGAGCAAAGACCCCTCGACTGCATCAGCATCGGTTGATCCGGGGCATTCGATGGGATCTGCTGCTGCACATGCTGATAAGCTGCGGGCGGCTACTCTGGGCAAGCGGCTACTGAAGGCCATGTCTGTGCAGCTTTCCATAGAGGAGGCATTTCCTGCAGCACATCGATCGATATGACGCCCGAGTGTCGCCGATTGTCGCCATGCTGCTTTTTGCCGAATGTCGATTGGAGACGTACTTAGACATGTTGGGCGAACGAGAAAGAAGGAATCAAGGAGTCGGACTGAAACAAAGTCGACGCCTTGAAGGGTTGTTGTGTTGGTGAGCGCTTGGGAAAGGGTTGAAAGGGGGGAATGCCTTTCAACTGGTATGCGATTTGTGAGTGATTGGTAAAAGAAGCTGGTGATGCTACGAAAGCAAGATGATGGCGAAAGGGGTCAGAGACTGACACCTCTAGACAACGGCGATATCGAGCTCGAGCGGCGAGATTAGAGAGACAACGGCGACACGGCAGCGGTGTGCAGGCTCTACGAAGAAAAAAAAAAGGCGAGGGAGCAACGTGCGACTGAAACGTCTGCCAAAAACTGCGCAGAGAGTGGGCGAGTGAGTGAGAAGAAATTTCATCAATCAGGCACCCAGCACAGCAGCACACCAACACTCAAACCGCCTCTCGAACGTCACCCAAGAAGAAATCGAACTTCTCTTTTGCTTGCAGGCGGTCGTAGCTCAGGCAGGGCTCAGTTTTCAATTTCGACAGACAGCAGCCACCGAGAAGAAATCGAAAAAAAAAGTTTTCGACTTGGGACCCCTAGCAACTCGAATCTGGATTCTTTGTATTCGACCAAGAAGACATTGCTTGCAAGTTTGTATTCAGAGATGAGCACACTTGAAATCACGACGCGCAGGGCGGAAATTTGCCTCTGGCCCAGTTCTTCAGCGTGTGAACATAATCGGGTCAACGAAACACCCGATTGCAAAGCTGGCTGAGTCAAGAAATCTGGGACGAAAGCGCAGGCGACACTCGCATCTTTCGTCATAACAGCGGCACAAAGGGATTTGTGCGACTGCTCCACACGGACCTTTTGGCAGCCCTTGCCTCTGCTCATATCTTCTCAGTTCTCATCTTCTCTTGCACAAACCTGCACCTCGCGTTCACAGTCGATCGAGGCGGCGCATTTGCGGTCCACTTTACGATACAATCGATACGGATCCACAATGAGTGCCATGCAAGAGTCGAAACCACCACCATCGTCCTCCTCCTCGCGTGGGTCTAGAGGCGGCTCTTCGTCCAATCGCAGAGGAGGCGGTTCTTCTCGAGGTGGTGCAAGCGGTGGTGAAGGTCGACGTGCCAACTTTGGAGGCTCTCTTACACCCTCCGATCCAAACCGCGCTGCCGCTTCCAACTCAAGAGGTCGCTCCAACAACCACTCGAGGTCAAATAGACCGCAAAAGGATCGCCCCGAACCACAACAAGTATCAGCACAAGACCAAGTGGAGCCATTATCTGCTACCACTGCTGTACAAGGCAACACGCAGGATGCTGCGCCAAACGACGATGGCGACGACGAGCTACCGCCCGAAGCCGAGCTCTGCTTCATCTGCGCCGACCCCGTCAAACTCACCTCGGTTGCTCCGTGCGACCACCGAACCTGTCACATCTGCGCCCTCCGTCTCCGTGTCCTCTACAAGAAGGACGAATGCACCTTTTGCAAAGCCACCATCGACCACCTCATCTTCACCTCCAATCCCACCAAATCCTTCTCCGATTTTCAACCTTCCGACATCCCTTACACCGACAAGAAACTCCCCATCAGCTTCGAGACCAAAGAAGCGCTCGAAGAGACCGTCCTGCTCCTCCGCTTCAACTGTCCCGATCCCAACTGCGAGATCGCCTGCACCGGCTGGAAGGACCTCCGTGCCCACGTCCGCAGGGAACACGCTCGAATGGTATGCCAACTCTGCATCTCCAACAAGAAGATCTTTGCCCACGAACACACGCTCCACACCGAGCAATCGCTCGCCGCGCATGAAAAGGCAGAACATCGTCTGTGCGAGTACGACCGTCAGTGGTTCTACTCTGACGACGAACTGTTTGCTCACATGCGCGACAGGCACGAGCAGTGCTTCATCTGCAAGGCCAGCGGAAACGAGGACGAGAGGTGGAAGTATTACAGGGACTACGATATGCTCGAGAGGCATTTCAGGAAGGATCACTGGCTGTGCGAGAACAAGGAGTGCTTGGAGGAGAAGTTCCGTGTCTTCAAAGATGAGGTGGATTACAAGGCGCATCAGTTGGAGAGGCATGCCAACGAGTTGAGCAGTAGGGAGAGGAGGGATGCGTTGAGGATCGAGGCTGGCTTTACCTATGATGATCCTAGCGTGGGCTCAAGCAGATCTGGAGCTGGAGTTGGTGGGGGCAAGAAGGGCAAAGGGCGGGCGAATGGGGGTGCAGAGGCAAGCCAGGAGAACAGAGATGTTCTGGGCGTCTCATCCCTAGCATCCCGTGCACACGTCCCCGGCGCAGGTCCCGCCAACCACCAATCCCGTCGAGCCATGTTCGGATCAGGCCTCACCAACCCCACCCCCGCCGCACCACCCCAAGGCGTCTCTGCCGACCGACCCCGCACCATCACCGACACGCGCTCCACCGAGCAACGCCACCAAGCCTACATGGATAAAGTCACCTCTCTCCTCCAAACCGACTCTCGCATCACGTCCTTCCGCCACGCCGTTCGGCTGTTCAAGAACAACGAGTCTTCGGCACGCGATTTGATCTCGACGTTCCACAGTTTGGTCGGTGAGACAGGCGAGGAGTGCGCGACACTCGTAAACGGAATGATCGATTTGTTGGACGGAGAAAAGCGGGAGGAGATGGGTCGGGCGTGGAACGAGTGGAGGTTAGAGAGGACGCAATTCCCCTCTCTCACCGGTGGTAGGGAAGGCGGGGGAACGTTGAAAAGTATCAAAAAATCCAGTTCCGCGAGTACCGCGGTGTGGGAGAACGTCGAGCGTGCGGCTTCGAGTTCCTCGGGAGCGGGCAAGAGACCGGTGGTGTTGAAGCAGCATTTCCCCAGCTTGGGTTCGGGGGCATCGTCGGGTACGCCGAGCATTCCGGGCTCCTTGGCGCATGCGGTTGCGCATGGATCTAGAGCGTCGGCAGGAGGCGCCAAGTGGTCGGCTGCTCCGGTGGTAGCGAACAGTGCGGTGAAACCGTTTGTTTCGAGAGTGCATTCTACTGGAGGCGGGGGTAGGGGTTTGGCGAGCGGCGGTGGTGCCTTCCCGAGCCTACCCAGTAACAAGGAGAAGTTGGCGTTGAATGCGCACAAGAAAACGTTGTTCGGTTCGGGAAGCAATACCCCCAACGCCAGTGCTGGCGGGTCGGGAAGCAACACTCCTTGGTTGACCGGCGGAACAGGAGGAAGTAGGATCGATGATTTCCCAGAGATCAGCGGTGGTGGAGGAGGAGGTGTGACGAACATGGACGCGCTCAACGAGGCACTGACTGCATCTCAGGGAGGAGCAGCAAAGGGGAGGAAGAAGGGGGTGCAGATGATGAGTTTTGGTGGTGTGCATCGCGGGTAGTCGGAGAGACAAAGAAATGGAGTGTCTCCCATCGCGAGATGTGCTCGAAAGTGTGCGTGTGTGTGAGTAGCGGGGTGGAGCAGAAGAGTGCAAACCGTGTGTGTGTGCTCGGCAGACCCGAAAGAAGCGCATTCCCCTCGCGACAAAGGGACGGAATCCAAACCGGGAGGAGCACCATCAGGATGTGATCCCTTTCTCAATGACGCGCAGGGAACGATGTCGTAGCCAGACTCACAGGCATGACCCTCACGCAAACATTCAACCCAATACCGAAGCCAGTTTGAATAATCACGACCAAGGATACAAATACAAGAAACACCACTCCAACCCTCCTCATCGCTCTGTTCCTTCCATCCACTTTTCACCTTCCGCGCTGCCGCTAAGCATAGATCCTTCCACCACCAGGCGCCACACCGGGGGGCAACCTATCCCCACCACCCACTCTCCCACCATTCAACTCGAACTTCAATCCATCCTCCGCATCCTCCTCGTTCTGTTCCTTCTTCTGCTTCTTCGGCGTTGCGAAATCCTTCTCTCCTCCTTCCCCACCATTCCCTTCATTGGGAACGGCAGCGGAAGGGTACAGATTCGGAATTCCAGAGGTCGTCATGATGCGTTCGAATTTCGACCAGAGCTCCGAAATCGGATGGAACTCTTTTCCGACCGAAATGGATTCTTCGATCTTGCGGTTCAGCGAGTTTGTGTTGCCCAGGATGGATTCGACGCCCTACGTTGGTCGAAACGGTTGAGAGAAAGTCAGTACAGATTCGTCAAACGTAAACGCTTTACCCAATCGATGGAATGGTCATGCTTGAACACCACAGCCCTTCTTCCAAGCTCTTCTGTGGTCTGGTCTTGCCGTTCAATGCCATCGCAACATGATACAACGGCTGCAACAATGACCCTTTCGTACCGCCACGCTGTCTCTCATACCGTAGATGACCATATTGATTTCCCTCCGACCCCCAACCCCGAAGTCGTCCACTTTGTCACCTTCTCCCAACACCCCTACCGCGCATCACCACCTCGCCCTCGATTCCTTACCACCGTGTCCGTTTCACCATCTCCTCATCCTCGCCGCGTCGGTTTTCTGCGCGCTTACCTTGGAGATATCCCCAATCAATCGGTTTCTCTCCCTCTCAAAGAAGCCCGCATCTTGGGAGTGATCGTCTGATGAGTAGTGTGAGTCCATTGTTCTTGCGCTTGTGTTTTTGTTATGATGGTAGTCCTGGAGAGAAACGTGCACGAGTAAAGAGAGATGGAGAGAACAACACTTTTTGTGAGTGCGCATGACACGCGCGCGCGCGTGTCCCCGGGGGGGAATTTTGAACCAGATCAACACTACTCTAATCAACGCGAGAACCCCACCACCCCACACGCGAATTCTCATTCGTACGATATCATCCCCCTCGCGACTTCAATCCCTCTTCATCCTCCATACAGTTTGCTTCTACTTACTAGAACCATCCCCAAGATACATCACAACTTTTCACCTCGAAAAAAAGACCATAACTTCAGAAGAAATCTGTATTTACCCGCTGACAAAGGAAAAGAGTTCTCTATTCGTAGACTAGTGCTGCCCTACCCAAACCGATCGTGATAGCTCCTACCTCCACCCGACGACGGTGCTCCCATCAACCGCTGTTCGTGACTGTTCCCTCCCGACCTCTGCCTAGCATGTTGCGTCTGTCCAAGCGCCGACGAATGTCCATACACTTGCTGCCCCTGCTGTTGTCCGGCAAACCCTTGCTCCGACCCCCCACGCATCAGACTCGCGTACTCTCCGGGACTAGGCGTACGCTCCATCTCGTAGCTACCCGGTTCGTACCTCCCTCCAACCCCAACACCCGGCGCAGGAGCAGGTCTCACATAGGCGCTGTACCGCGACGGAACCTCGGGCACCGCAGGTGCATTTCGATTCGCCGGGAACATCCCCATCTGCGATAGCCGGTTTCGATTCACCGCCGACGGGTACTGCGGTTGCTGCTGCTGCTGCAGAGGCTTACCGCGCAAACGGAAGGCTTTGTCGTCCCAGCCGGTTTCGAGCATCTTCTCCATGTCCTCCGTGTCGATGATGACCTCTTGGTCGCCCACCCAGACAGAGTGGCGGACGATCTGCACGGGTGGCGGGAGAGATTCGTCGTATCCTCCGATCTGGTTGCCCCACTTGTCGTCGTCAAAGTCGCTCACGGTGACCGTGTCGCTGAACGAGTCGCTGCCGCGGCGAGACAGCGGCGTTCCTGCTTCTTTGCGGTCCGGATCTCCGTCGGAGCCCGCGTCGTTGTGGAATCCGCTGCCGAACTGACGTTCCAAATCGCGGCGTCGTTTCTCCTCGCGCTTCTTCTTGCGCAGACGCGATCGCTCCCAATCCTCCCACCTTCGAAGCGGAACCGCGTTCCCGGTGGCAGATCCACCTTCGTCGCCGTGGCCCGTCTGCTTTGCTTCTCCCTCCACCTTGCGCGTCTCTCCCCAGGAAAAGTCGTCAAAGTGCCAGAACGAGTAGACGGGCAGCACAAAGTTCCACACCGGCAACGCCACCAGGTAGATCAACATCCACAGCACGTACACCACCTTGCGCGTCGCCAGCAGGATCAGCAGCGCAGGCATACCGATCACCGCCACCAGCAGCATCAGCGGGATCGCCTCCGTGAACGAGTGCGGTGGATTGATGCAGTACGTCACCACCAGCGTGTACGTCAACGCGATCGAGATGGGCAAAACCGCCGTGCCGAGAAGATCCATGAACACAACAAACTGCATCGAAAAGCAAAACGTTCCGCACAGATCGCGCACCAGCACCAACTCCATCAGGTTGTGGATCGTCGAGTTGATCCATCGTCGACGTTGCGACAGCAGCATCTTGAACGTGTGCGGCACCTCGGTCTTGCACCGCGCTTCGGGACAAAACACCATCTTGCGATTCGGGAAGGTTCGCAGCAGTGTCGTCGTCAGAAATCGATCCTCTCCCAGCAGCAGCAGGTTCTTCTGGTGCAGCGTCGTCACCACGCTCTGGCTGTACTCGCGCGTCACCTCGGGTTTCACAATGATGGGCACCCAGTCGTCGTCCGTCTGCTTCCTCGCCTTGATGCGGTACATCGAAAAACATCCGGGAAGACACGTGACACCTCCGAACACCGACTCGAACGCCTTCGCCTGGTGATGCGAGATGAAGTACTCGTACACCTGGATCATGGTGACCCAGCTCTGCGTCTTGTTGGCGATGCGCGTCTCTCCGCACGCGCCCATGATCATGGGATCGCGCATCATGCAGTTGGTTAACGTCTTCATCGACTTGGGATACACCATCGTGTCGGCATCCACCATGAGGCACAGCTCGAAAAAGTCGGGCGTAACGCCCATGAGCGTGTGCACCTTCCGGAAGAGGTCGTAGTCGAGCGGCGTCATGCGGTCGTTGTACGTGACGCGCTGGAAGAAGTTCATCAGGATCATCTGCGAGTCGCGCTTGCCTCGGTTGCCCGGTTTCGCGTCGCCGGCCTCTTCGGGCGAGCCGCACTTGACGACGACGACCATGGGTGTGCGTCTCCCGCGCGCGCGCGTGTAGTGACCGGCGTAGACCATGGCCATGTTGTGTTCCTTCTTGCCCGCTGCGATCGAGACGAAGCTCATGGGCGTCGGAGTGCCGAACCGCGGGTCGGCTTCGAGGAGCGAGACGCAGACGTCGGGCGTACTCATGGCTTCGCCCGATCCGGTGACCATTCCGTCGGCGACGACGAACAGCAGCTTGCGCTGGTCCGAGTATTCCGTCTCTGCGAGCGAGGTGAGCGTGGTCGAAATGCCGTCCTCGTTCTCCGAGTAGGCGGTGACGAGGCAGACGACGTAGGGCTCAGTGCCGATGTGCTGCACAGAGAGGCTGTCGGGGGCCGATGGCGTGGCAGACTGGGTCGAGTCGCGTCTGCGTCGTACGGGCTGCGAAGGCGGTGGGCGCTGCTTGTTGGCCCAAGGAGCTGCGCCGGACGAGTTGACCGAGACCATGGCGCCCTCCGGGAGCACGTTGGGAGCCACCTTGCGCTTGCGAGAGGGACGCGGGGTGGACGACATCCTGCCAGCCATGAACCAAGAGAACCACACGGCCATGAAGAAGCGGATGAGCACGATGGCCAAGATGACGACAAGCGAGCAGTAGAGGACGAGGTTGGAGATGAAGCAGCCCGGAGTAATCTTGTCGATGCGGCCCGCCTGGTACTTTTGAACCAGACACTTGATGGCGTTGCGTGCGGTGGGATTGGTGTAGAAGGTCATGGTTGCGTCCCTGCCACCTTTGAGGCTGCTCGCAAGCTGCTGACGGATGGCAACATCGACCACGTCGCCGGCGATGGGGCTCGGGTTGGCTCGAAGGTACGGTGTCATGTTGAGTACGGCTCCATCGAGGACCATGAAGTTGGTAAAGTTGCCGGACTCGATGTCCTCCCAGCCATAGCCGATCCTCCTCGTCTCGTTGGTCATGCCGTACTGTGCGAACGTGGCGGGGGCGAGCGTGCCGAGCGGGCAGCTGGTCAAGGCGGTGCCGTTGAGAGCGACACAGGTGGGGTCGGCAGCATAAGCAGCGGTGGTGCCTTGACACGCAGGGAAGTCGGCGGAGGTGGTCCTGCCAAAGAGGGACGAAATATCGGAGCCGGGCCTGGATGTGGACAGGCTGAAGAGGGAAGGAGCTTCTGGCAAGTGATGCGCTTGGGCGATGTCGAAAGCCCAACCCTGAACGCCGAGGATGGCGCCACCGGTGCCGATTCTAGAGTAGGTCTTGGGCGAGTTGCTGGAAGCCGAGGGACAGAGGGCAGCGTTGAGACCCATGGTGATGAAGCCGATGAAGCCACCGAGAAGGATGGCGAGAAAGACGAGCGAGACCTTTTCGCGCCATGCCTGTCTACTGCCGGTATCTTTGAGTCCACAGCAGGCCATGAGGACGGGACTGGGAGCCCAAAAGGTGACTACGAGCGAAAAGCCGGTCCACCAGGAGAAGCCGGATTTGGACGAGGAGGCGGCGGAGAAGCCAGGGCCGCCGCTGGAGGGATTGATCAGAGGGACTTGGGGCTGGCTCCTCTCGGGACGCGTGAGGGTCTTTGCACGGGCGATGCGTGTGGGTTGGCGGAGGGGAGGCGGCGCCTCGGTGTGCAAGGGTATGGAGGTGTCATTGCGCTGACCCGGTTTGCGAATAAAGGTCTTTGTGAAGGTTGTGTTACGCTGCATGCCCGGCATGTTGGCGAGCTACGATGGCTGCGAGCACAGCATGCGCCGACGAGAGACCCGAGTGAGTGTAGCGGTGCGAAAAGCTCGAGCAGGAGCAAGAAAGCGATATTTTCGGTGGAGACGCGAGCAAGCGGCACGTCTGGGTGCGTGGCGAGGATTGGCAGCGCGAGAAGCCAAGGAGGGAGTCTTTGGAGGAGCGTAAGCGAGAGTGGGCGATGGGTTTGGATGGAACAAGAGGCCAAGTAAAGAGCGTGTTGAGAATAATGCAGACCAGCCAGAGGTGGCGGATGGAGGGTGGGAAGTGCAGAGGTAGAAGGGAAACGCCAGGGAAGAAGAACAAGACAAGGCAAAGCGCGGCGAAGTCTGCGAGTGCGTCGGTTGTGCAATCGATGCGTGTGCAGAGGGGAAGCTTGATCGCCGGCGATCCGCAGTGAGATCCAAAGGATGTTATTTCGAGAAGAAGCGAAGCCGAATACGAATACGAAGATGTAGATGGTAGGGGTATGATGGGAGTAGGACGGGAAGGAGGTGGTGGTGTGCGATGCCAATGGCGACGAGGAGGAGGAGGACCAAGGTGAGCAGGCTGATGCAGCAGCAGCAGCAGCACCGAGGCGGAGCAGCCGACAGAATCTCGACTTGAATGCCGAGCAGCGAGAATAGTGTGTGTGTGCGTGTGTGTCAAGCAGGCAGGCAGGCAGGTTGCCGCTGTGCCAGCAAGGTTGCAAGCGAAGTCAAGCAGGCAGCGGCACTTCCGATTTAGCAACTTTTCTCCCCCTTCTTTCTCAGAAGTCACGAAAAAGAGAGACAGACACAGGCGCAGGCGCGTGTCTGCGTGTGTGTCTCAGCTAGGAAAAGGGGGGCGTCGGGGGCAAGGAGGCCAGTCTCGAAGGTCGGAATTTGCAAGCGAGGCGTGCAGCAAGAGACGTGCAGCTCGAACTTTGGAGTAGAGCAAGGCCAGCGAGCCTCGCTCGGTGTGTGCGCGTGTTAGTTTCAGATTTTGACGTCTTGCCAACTGCGCGCCTTTCGACAGGCACGACTTGGCGCAAGCAACTCTCTTGATCGGAGGATGCGCACGTGTGGGCAAAGCAGGACGAGATCGAGGCACAGCGCCATGTAGCGATGTCATGATCTTGATCGACTGACAGATCCAAGGCAGAACGCGGTGAATGTCAAGGAGAGGCGAGACAAAGGGGCCATCAGCTCGGATGAACAGAGCACGACGCCGACGAGTGCGTTGCAGATCATCGTCCCACTGTGTTGCTGTCAAGCAGAGTTGAGAGCTCAGACAAAAAGACAGGGACAATCATCGAGCATTGACTGCAACACAAGAAGCGGACGAGCGGACAATCGGGAAGAGCAGACGGCAGAGCGAAATACCGTACAACTAACAGTACGCACGTCTGAGGATGAATCGCCGGAACGGAGCCTAGAAAGTCTCGATGCCTCGTCAAGCTTGCATTTCGCCGGCGACAGTCGCTGACCAAGCCAAAGAGCGCTCTTGACAGCGAGCAACCAACGAAAGGCAACCATGTCGGTTGGAGTTCCGACTGGTTCGGAGAAGGATACACATCATTCCCGAAGGCGCTGCGGTACGGTGTTGCCGACGGCCAAGAGGCGGAGACGACCGACGCTCAGACTGCTGGCCGTGTTGCAGTGCCCGACTCGGCGTTGTGCTGCAGAGCGATCAAGACGCTTTTTGAATGCGCTGGATTTCAGAATTCGCCGAGCCAACCAGTCAGCCCAGTCAAGGCAGCTGCTGCACATTCATTCCAACAGTGTGTGTGGCTCACGAGTACGCCCGCAGCTGTCGAAACATACCAACACGCTCTGTGCAGCCAGGGCAGGGCAAACCACCATGTCGGTCACGGCGATCCATTCGTTATGCGACCTCCTGCTCGCGTGTGCTGATGCGCATGCGCAATCAATATGTCGATCGGTATTTCTTGGCTCTTTCTTTTCTTTCTTCCGCCAGCGAGAACATGCGAGCTTACCGAGACGTGACACGAGGGCGAACTTATTGGACTCGTGTGGTATTGTACATCCGACCATTGAGCGCCAAGTCATCGTGTTAGACCACAATACAGAACATCGGACAACAAGCCAGGCCGTGCTTCGCTGGACCATCGCTGCTTGTCGCCAACAACGAGCACGATACAACATGATCGTGTCATCCTGTCCCTTGCTGGTTGCATTCGCGACCAAAATGAGCAACGTGACGGGACGTGGTGAATGGCCGAGCTGGGTGGAGTCGCAGACTAGGGCTTGGTACGATCAACGACCAAGAGCTTCAAATGTCGGCCGAAATTGCGGAGACAAAGTGCGACGTCGTCATGATTCTGGCTGGCGGGTGTCGCAAGGCAAACCAATCTGCCCTCGAAGATCGAACAGCGCGCCTCGGAAGAAGTTTCGAGACAAAAGGTCCGCCCGCCGCCGCACGATCGTGACAGACATTTGACAGGTCTCGTGGCTGTGGCTGAAATTACGGAAATAGATCAAGTTGTTTCAAATGAATGCACTGCTGCCAATTGCCCACCTGCAGCGCCGCACACCGTTAGCGATGGATGGACCCTGAACCTTGAGAACTGATCAGTGGGTTTGCTCTGCTCTTGTCCTCGCTTCCCCGCGCGAGTTCTGTGCGTTTGCACTTTGTCGGCCTTGAGGCGCGAACCAAGTCAAGTGAACCCGAATTGGTGTCTCTCGATCGCCACCGACACCGTTCGCTCGGTGCGTTGACGTACATTGTTACCGGCCATGACGGTGCCGTACGCCTGCTGCTGCTTGTCAGCTTGTGGAGAAGTGCATCTTTTGGCCAGCTGGCGCGACCGTGTTCCTTCCGTCATCGCCCTCGAGCTCAGGTGCCTCAGAATGTATTTACCCCGTATGGTGTCGACTCGAGTGGTGTAGCCAGAGGGCGTAGAGGAGGCAGGCCAAGAAGCCGGTAGCAACAGCAGAGCGGGACGCGCTCAGAAAAAGCCAACCCGTTGGCGGACAAGTCAGGGTCCGACTAGGGGTCCTTTGTCTTCGATCTCGTGCATTTCGCAGCGGATCATCCTCGCTGGCTTCTTGTCCAAGTTGCACGAGGCAGCAGAGCACACAGATTGGGCAAGATAGGGTCCTGGTGCAATTTTTGTTTTTCTATTTTTTGTTCTCCTTTCTCCTGCTGGCCGTTGACCGGCTTGCCTCCCCTTATACTGAGCAGATCGCCCCAAGCTGATGGTAGGTATGCATACGTTCTCTCGTGCTATGATGCTATAGCTGCAGATGTGATCAATGAGGTGGTCGACGGGGTGCCACGGTGGGGAAGCGCAACGGCCGACGGTCGGATGTGGCGATACCGAATTGATCAATAATCAGATTTCGATGCGTCTGTGGTGTCCAACGACACGGCTCGTGTGCCTTGCGGTACAGACGTCTGTGCAATCTGTCACTCTCAAGTCAAATCACAAGTTGGACAGGGTTCGCGAATCTGTGTTGCATTTGCGGCTGCTGCTGCTGCTGCTTCGTCATGCACTCTTCGACCCTCTTCCATTCTTCTGCGGCTCGGCGCAAGTGTCTCCTTGTGCCACTTTGCTGCTCCGCCTCGAACCTCGCTAGCTTCCTGTCAGTCTTGACGCACATTGCGGGTCGCACCTCTGCTTGATCCTCGACTCTCTCCATCGGTTCTTCCGTCGTTGCCCTGTTCGACAGCGCCGCCGTTGCATCCAAGACCATCATCATCACCACCACCATCATATACATTCATCACTTCGTCTTGGTTCTTGTCTCGGTCCATTCAGTCGCTTCGGAAACACCCAGTCAAAGCACAACGCCGTCCTCGCCAACTTCGAACCTCCTTTCAAGACTCGTGCCTTTCGATCTCCCGCTTGCATACTTTCGCGTTTGGCGTGTCACACCATCTCACCTCGTCGTGTGACCCAACCATATATAGCAGCAGCATCGTCGTCTTCGTCCTCTCGTATCGTCAGCTCGGATCTCGGCTTGGCCAAATTCATCTTTCGTCGATCCCACCGAAGTGCACCCGTTTGCATCTCGTCCTTTCACGCCTCAAGCCGCCGGCATCCTCTCACTCTGGGACTTCTCTTCTTTCTGTGCCGACGCAATCGCCCTGCGCTAGCCATCTAGACAGTTCCTTCCTTCTCTCCTTTGACACGTCCATCCTCCCGCTTCACGCTGTTTGACGGCAGACTCGTGGCTCACTGCCGGCTTGCTACACGTCAGCACAACTGCTCATCTGGACACGCACACAAGAAAAGATTATGACACGATAAGACCTCTGTAGCATACACTTCTTCCGTCATCGCTCCACTTCTGCTTCAGGCTTCGGAGCAACACCAGCACCAGCATATTGCGGCCCATCTACAGCCTCGAGTACGCTCTCGCCCCTTCCAGGCAATCCTTGAACCAATTCTTACCGCTCTTGCGCAACCCAAGCTCGACCTCCGGCACTCGTATCCAAGCATGGCGCAACCTGCAGTCCAACCGCCCTCGCTCTCGTCGCCTCCGCTTTCCCCTCCAGCTCGCGGTCTGCCCGGCATGATTCGCACGCCCAGCACAGAGTTTAACGCAAGGTCTCCTCCCCTTTCAAACGGCGTCAGAAAGAGCCTCAAAGACGCCAGCGCTTCCCACTCGCATCGCCAACAACCACGTCCCCGTCCCACGTCCAGCAGAGCGACCTCCACCAACGCGCGGCCCTCCAGCTCCAATGGTCATGATCCTCATCATCAAGACGGCGTCGAGGCTGCCAAACACCCTACAGTTGCACAAGCACCCGGCGCGAGCTTTTCTGTCGCAACAAAGCCCCAAGATCGAGATCCCAGCCTCCTCCGAAGGCCGCCGTCGCAGCAGCAACAGAACGGCTTCGATGGCCTGAGCAGCTACCAGCTCGACCACAACGGCCGCATCCCAGCCAACGACTTCAACTACGTCCAGCGCGACAAGCTCGTTGCAAGTGCACAGCAATCCGCCATCCGCTCTGGTAACCTTCACTGGGTTGCCCTCATGGATCTCGCCCACCTTGCTTCCCAGCACCATTTGAGCCCCTACAGCGCCATGAAGTTTGGCCCACGCGGCTCCCCCTTCGCATACATTCCAATCACGCTCCAGCAACCCGAGGTGGTCAAAAACACCATGAACCGGCAGAGGGAGGAGGAGCTCCAGGCAAAAGCATGGTTGATCGCAAAGCGAGAGCGCAAGCTCGGACGCTTGGCAAACGGAGCAGATGTGCGCATGGACAGTCACGACGACCTGCCCGTGCTCAGCTTGCCTGCCGATATGTTCCTCACCAAGTCCGCGTCGTCCAGCATGCCGAGTGTCGGCACAAAACGACCCGCCTCCCTCACCACGCCCCCCGAGACACGCGCCAGCAGCATGTTGCGAACAAAGCCTCAGCAGGTGGAACGCGACCTCAACGAGGCCATGACCGACTCCATGCACTCTTCCTCGGATGCGGCTCCTGTGGAAGTGATGCCGCCCTCTTCGGGGGAAGCATCGTCCTCTTCCGAGGACGATTCCGTCCTCCCTGCCAAGCCCGATCAGGTCGATCTCTCGAGCTTCAATCGTTCGACGAGGATGGTTGAGATTGGCTCTAGTCCCGATGACAAGCCCGCGAAGAATGGTGTCAAAGGCGAGCAGGGCACGCACGAGGACGGCGTCGCGGACGAGTTGATGACGAGCTCCCAAGCCGGAAGCAGCGTGGAAGTGGGGGGACCCATGGACCAGGAACGGGTCATGGCGCAGGAGATGGAGCAGGCGAGCGCCACCGACAAGCCTGCCCAACCCAACGGTAATGGCGCCTCGAAAGACGCTTCGCTCGGCCCTCTAGTCCACAGCACCACCCAAGGCAACTCTACCAGCGACTCGACCGGCGAGCAGCAACAGCAGCAACAGCAACAGCTTCAGCAACATCAATTGGCGATGAAGACCTCGGACACGCATCCCATCCACATCAGTCCCATCCTTCCGGACGAGCTGCTGGCATCCGTCGGACGTCGAATTCGCTCCACCGCCGAGTCGCAGTTGCTTCGACTCGAGTTGACCGCTTCCGGCGAAGGCACCTCTTCCCAGCAGCAGCAGACGTCGCTCACCGAGCGCTACTTTGAGGACCACTCGCGCGAACAGATCCAAGGAACTCGACTGATTCGACTTCGAAACATGCTCGATCTGCACTCTGTCACCTCGACCGATCCCAGCGCCAATTACCTGTCGCAATCGCAGCTTGCCGAACAGGCGGCGAAAGAGAGCAAGTTGACGCTCACCGACACCATTTCTTCCCACAACCAAGGCGCGATTGGGAATTTGCTGCTTTCCTCATGCCCGGGCAAGAAGGTGCGTCTATCGGGACCGGTTCGTGGGCGAGGCGCCATCTGTCGAGATCTTGGGTTGGATTTGACGCGCATCCACTCTATCGGCGTACGAGCCGTGGTGTGCTGTCTTAACGATGAGGAGTTGTCGTTCCTGGGAGCCCCGTGGGAGGAGTACGAGCGGGAAGCGGATAGGCTAGGGTTGGACGTGTATAGGTTGCCTATGGCGGAGGGTTTTGCACCGACCAACGTGGAGGAGATGGATGCGACCATGACGTCCATCGTGCAGGACTGTACGTTGAAGGGCACGAATGTCTTGGTGCATTGCAGGGGAGGTGTGGGCAGGGCCGGGTTGATCGCGTGCAGCTGGTTGTTGAAGATGGGCTTTGTAGGTGAAGGGAAGGGGATGGAAGGGTTGGAAGAGGGGCAGAAGTGTAATGAGATTGTGGAGCGCACGACGACGAGTGGCAGTCACAATTTGATTGCCGGTGAGACAGGGAAGGATGGTGATGATCTTTATGCAACGAACGGCAGCGGAACAGTCAGCGGGAAACAGGAGGACGAGCTACACTCCCCGAACAGCAACGGAACAGTCAGCAAGGAGGACGGCTTGAGCGAGGAGCAGGAGGAAGCCGAGTGCGAAGCCATACTGAGCACCGTCAAGAGTTTGGTCGAGACGATCAGGAGGAGAAGGAGTCCGAAGGCGATAGAAACAGCCGAGCAGGTGCGGTTCTTGGTCGAGTATGTGACGTTCTTGCACCGGCAGGAGCGGTTGAAGGCGAACAGAGGGTGAGCACTTACAGCATCGAACTTGTCGTCGTTGTACTCAGATTGATGTGGGTTTGGCATCATCGCCAAACATCATTATTGTACTTCTCTGAAGAGTAGGACGCCTGACAGGGCGCATCACACATCAAAACTTGTCATCATCGTCGTACTGCATCAAAGTTTGAGTCGGCTGACAAGGGGATATCACACATGAATACGCTTTGCCATCGTCGTTGTACTGCTCTCGAAAAGTTTTGACTTGTATGATGTGAGAGTGTATCGCAGTTGAACTTACACCTCGCTGCTGATACAGGTCGACGCAAATCATATAATCCCCTTCCCCCTCGCCATCACCACCGCCTTCTCCACAGCTCTACTCGTTGGCGCCAACAGCCCTTCCACCTTCGCCTCCAGTACCTCATCCACCCCCCTCCCCGCTTCCTCAAACACCTTCTCCACCTTTGCCCGAAACTTGACCAGGTTCAACGCCATCTTGCGCGCCTGCACCAGCCTGTTCTCCTCCACCTCCCTTCTCCTCTCTTCCGTCTCTGTCGACGAAATAGCACTCCACATCCCGCCGTCAGCGTCGTTGTCGTCGGTGGTGGGTGCGATCGAATTCCAGAACTGACGCAGAAACTCGGTGGTGCTGGCTTGAAGCGAGGTGACGGCTTTCTGCGTTGGCTCGGGCAGGGTTTTGAGATCGGAGGAGGCGGATTTGGGGTTGATGGATCGCGAGCGCAGGTTGGACAGCATTCGAGCCATGGAGGCTTGAGTGCCTGAAGACAGAGGTTTGAAGCTGCCTAGCGCAATACTGGTGGGTAGGCTGGCGTTGAACTTGTCGACGTACTCCAGATATTCGGCCACCGATGTCGGCATCACCTCGGCATCTGTCGTCTTGACGGCGCTCGAATCGCCCTGACTGCCCTCGAAATACCCTTCCAAGTTCTTGACACTCAACCTCCTCTTATCCGTCTCCTCTTCTTCATTCAGATCATCAATGACGATGTCCTTGTAGTAATGGTTCTTGATCCAATCCTCGCTCTCTTTGCCCGCGTCATCATCGCCATACTCCTCGCCCACCCCACCGACAACCCTCCTCGCGATCCCCTCCTCCTGCTCGCCCAGTGCATCATCCAACAGACTCTTGCTGTGGTCGTTGAACCTCCTCATCAACGGCAACGTCCTCCTCTCGGCACCACCCCTCATGGTCCAATCCTTGCCATTGCCCGTCTCGCCATGATCCTCCTCCGTCGCACCCAGATCTAACAACCTATCGTGCACGTTGGCCTTCCTCCTAGGCTCCAGCCCATCATCCTCCTCCTCCAGATAGGCATCAAAGATCGGATCCTCCATCACAATGTGTTCGCTAGCAGCACTCCTAGCACTCGTCCTCAACCTGTGGTACAGCCTGCTCTGGAAGTACCTCGTCCAGAAGCTTCCCTCGTCCAACTTCGAGGGTACGTTTTCCTCGTACGCACGTGCGACGACGGGAAACTGTTCGAACAGATCGCGGATCAATTCCGGCGTGATGCTGAGCTTCATTTCTCCGGCTTCGTTCGGGGTGGGTTTGGGATCTGCGAGGCGAGCATTGCGACCTGCACGCTGTTCGAGCTTGGCACGTTCGGCGCGGATGAGTCGTTGACGATGGGGATGCGACCAGAATTCCGAGTCGGACATGGCTCCGGAGATGACGATGTCCTTGTGGAGTGCGCGGAGGGAGGGGTTGGATTTGATGACCGAGATTCGAAGTTCTATGTCTGTCTTCGCCGGAGGGATGGTTTTGCGTGACCGGGAGGTGGTTGGTGCTGGTGCTGGTGAAGCGGTTTCGGAAGGTGGTCTTGTAGAACCCGTAGTAGTTGCTGGAGCGGATGTATCTGGCGTCGCCGCACGCGTAGCCACAGCAGGCGAAGATATCGCTGCCGGACTATCCGGTGTACCTGGAGTCGCAACTCCATCGATACTAGCTCTGTTCCTCCCCACAGCCGCCGCCAATTCGGTCTTGAACTTCTCCCTGTCCTCCAACGCGGTCTGTTGCGCAGCGTTGAACACGAGCAAAACTTTGGGTTTGGATGCGATTTGAACACCATTTGCCAGCACGAGCATGAGAGCGATCTGCGCCGCTCCGGGTTTGGACGTTTGCAGGCCGGCAATGTCGGCGAATTTGATTTGGAAGGCAGAGACGCCCGAGGTGGAGGATGAGGGGGTCCATTGGAGTGTCGAATCGGAGTGGAGGGAGAGTGTGCCGGCGACTTTGTTGAATGCTACTGCAGCGTGCATATATGATGATGACGAGGAGGACATTGTGAAAGTAGGGAAGGGGGTTCAATGGTCCAATATGTTGTGCGTCGCTGGGATGAGTCGAGTGATGGCTGAGTTGTGCTCAGCGATTGGCAGATATGATGATGCGAGAGCGAGTGTCGGTTGGGCCGCCGCAAATACCATGCGTGAACGTAGCGAGAAGATTCTCCCTGTGCCTCGAGTCGGCTTCTCTTCCGATTGATGCAGTATGAACAATAACAATGTGACGGAAGAGAAGCAAGAAGATTGCTGAGTATGAAGTCTTTGAAGCTCGTGCGAGCCGTTGCGCTTGTGTGGAGGCACGCCCAAGCGCAATGAGCCGATTTTTCGAAAGTGAGAATCGGGTTTCTCCCCGCCAAAGATCAAAAGCACAGCCCTGCTTGCTAACTTGACTGCGTGGTGTTGGTCTGAACCCTGAATCGGAAGCCTTCTTCGCTTGATCCGATCATCAGCTCTTCTTCCTCCCACACCCTTCATCTTCGCTGCTGCTGCTGATGCTGCGGCAGTCTCTTCCCCAAACATGCTATCACTGCCCAAACGACTCTTCTTTGGCGATCAACCCAAGATCGACTTCAAACTCTCGCAACTCGACGGCATCGCTCGACTCTACTCCGAACGTCACATTCCCTACCACGATTCCAAGTACTGGTCACGGTTTCTGCAGTTCGACACCCCGACCGACATCTTTTTCCTTCTGTCACTAGCAGATCTACGACGCGCGAGGAGAGACGCTCCCGAGAATGTGGTCACGCTCGTCAGGGTGATGGTAGCCCACCTCGAGAGTCTGTTGGTGGACCCGCTGTTCGAACCGCCACCGCCGAGAGGTGCGAATGGCGCGAGTCAGGATGGCCTCAGTGCGAGGCTGAATGGGATCGCTGATGTGTCAAAGTGGAAGGTACCGGGTGCATCGCTGATGGGATTAGAGAAGAGCGCAACGGGGGAGGTACAGAGGGATAGGACGAAGGAGGCGTTAAACGTCATTAGGATATTGACGAGGACGCTGCCATCGGTGTTGGAGTCGGAGGACGATGCGTTTGAGCAGCAGGTGCTGTGGAGTCAATCGCCAGATGCGTATGGGGATGCGGAAGCGTCGAAGAGCCCGGCCGGGAGAGCCGCAAAGCGAAGCGAAGGAAATGATGCTGCTGCCAGTACGGAGCACAAGCTCGACACCTCGGCGCAGTTTGTCATCGATGACGAGGACGACGACGAAGATGCATCTTCAGGGACGAAGAAGGACATCGACCACCCCCTCAGCACTCCCGAAGCATCCAACAGCAAGACAGATCCTTTGGAAGACGACGACGAGCCAATACCAATAGCACTAGGCGAGCGCCTCGTCAGACTCGTTGTCGATCTCCTCTTCTGCTCGGGTTTCACCTTACCCTGGACCGAAGATCAACTCGACGAAGCCTCCAGCACCACAAGCCCACGTCGCATCAACTACTCCATCTGGGAAGCCGGCGTCGGCAGCTCGGTCGACCTCCCCTTCACCACCCGTTCCCACGTCTCGAACCGAGTCGAGGTCCTTCGTCTCCTGCTCGTCCTCCTCTCCAAATCCATCTACATCCCTGCCTCCCACCAACACACTCAGTCCAACCCGACCCTCGCATTCGCCATACAGGATCTCGACCGCACCATCGTGCTTCCGCTCCTCTGCAGCCTCATCAACACGGGCATCACCAACGCACGCAATTCCACCGCTGCGTGGTTCACCCTGCCTAGCGTCACCAATCTCGTCGGCGGATCGAACGACGAGGTTCGCAAGGATGTCGTCACTCTTTCTCTTCAGATTCTGGACGTGTTGCTTACGTACGATGCACCGTCGCCGAGGGACGTGGAGAGTGTCAGTCTGAGCACCATCGGCAGACCTCTGCCCGGACCAGGTGGTCAGAACGTCTTTCGTTTCTACTCCAGCAAACTTCATCGATCAGTCGACTTCGACTTCATCTGGACCGGTCTTTCCACCTTCTTCTTCGACCGCCACATCAACTCCCCGACGCAGATCCTCGCCATCCCGATCTCCGGTGCGAGAAGGGTGGAGGAGAGGAGTTGGCAGTTGAACCAGGTAGCTGAGCGGATGATCTTGTTGGAGAGGCTGTTGGGGAGCAATCGAAAGTTCAGGCGGTATGTGTTGGATGATGCGGGGAGGTCGGTGGAGTTGTTGGAGGTGTTGATGTATTTTGCGATTAGGTGTAAGGACAATCTGGCGTTGGGTGGGTTGGTGAGGTTGTGTTCGTTCATGTTGCAGGATGTGACGAGCGAAGAGACGTTTGCTAGGAATCTGGCGAAACCAGGTAGTGGAGCCAAGTTCAATCTACATAACAGACTAGGGATGGTAGCAGGAACAACGGCGATGGATTACCTAGTGCAAGGGGTGTACATCCTCATCGCTACGACAAAGGGTGCGCTATCGACGCTGTACGCACCACTGGTGATAGCCCTGAGCAACACAGCGCCGTTTTGGCGAAACATCGGAATCACATCTTCGACGAAGTTGGTTCATTTGCTCAGGTCGTTCAGTCAACCTGGATGGTTGTTGGCGGAAGAAGGAAATCCGAGGTTGCTGTTTTACGTGTTGGAGACGATCAATTCCGTGTTGACGGTGGGATTTAGGGAGAACGTGAATCTGGTGTATAGTTTGGTTTTAGCTAGAGGATTGGTGGAGGGGTTGGAGCGGTTCAGCTTTCGGAAAGGGGTGGAGGATGTTTGGGTCAAGAGGAGGAGTGTTGGAGTCGACACTAGGGATTGGTTTAAGGGTAAGGAGAAGATGGAAAAAGTTCCACCGACAGAAGGGGAGGAGGAGGAGGAGAAGGGTAAAGGCAAAGAACGTCGAGTATCCACCGAACTTTCAAGCGAGCTCTCCCGCTATTCTCTTCCGGACGTCGAAGAAGCAGCTGCAAAGTACATCGGCAAAAACGATTTTCGACCGAGACAGGAATGGGTCGACTCGTGGAAACCAGGTCTACCGCTGACCACGCCAAGGATGGTCATCGATCTGATCTTGCCCGAGATCGAGCGGATCGCCGCGGGACAAACTCCGACGTCGACGGGGAGTGTGGAGATCACAGGTGGCGATACGGACGCGAGGGTGCTGGCGTGGTTGAGAGAGCAGCAGATGAAGGAGTATCTGCCTCCACCGGAGGGAGGCATCCATGCGAGGGGGTGGGTGTGGACGGATCAGGGATTGGTGTGGTTGAGGAGCTACTTGTGGGGGGTGGTGTATGTGGAGGGGTTGCTGCCGTGGGGGCTGTGGAGTGATACGGAGGTGAGGTTGTTCAGGGTGGTCGGTGAGGGGGGGAGGAGGGAGGTTGGAGCGGGTGGGGCAGCGGGAGGAGCGGGAGGAGTTGGAGCGGTGGACGGGGAGGCGGAGAGGAGGACGAGTGGTGCTGGATCTGAAGGACGGATGTCGACGCCGACGAGCTAGATTCGAGCTGCACCAGTCTATCGATCTTTCAACGATAATTCTCTGTCACTTCGGAACAACACATACAATCACACGCGCAAAGTTGAACATAGGAGACGTCTGAACACTCGTCATTGATACCTTCTCTCCATCCGCTCGCCTACAACTCATCGTGTCCAAACCCACCCACCTTCACAGCATCCTCGAGCATCCCCACACCTCCCAACTTCCACCCGCTCCACAGCACACTCACTCCAAACACAAACACCAACAAGCTCACATCGTTCACCAAAGCGTTGACCAGCGCCAAATACTTGCCCGCCAGTCTCACCGCCATATGCAGGTTCGGGATGGGAAGCATGGCGGTCAGCGTCGAGAGCAAGCTAGGAGGCGCGGGGGTTTTGCGTGAGAAGATGACGATGCGTGCGGCTTGAAGCATCAGTTCGAGCGAGAGGAAGATCCAGAATAGCGGCAGGCCGAAGGGGGTGGTGCTGCTTGTGGTGGTGAGGGTGAGGGGGGAGGACCATTCGAGTGGAGATGGTTGTTGGTAGCCTAGCTTGGCCCATCTGCGTAATGTTGATGGGAAGGAGGAGGATGGGAGCTTGTCGAGCGTTTCGCTGACGCTATCGGGGAGGACGGAGGAGCGGTTTGTGTCGAACAGGGATGATTTGGCGGCGACAACGGCTAGTGCTACGACGAGGACTGCTTGCAAAAGGTCGAAGCATCGTTCTGAGAGAGACTTCGTGGTTGTTGCGGTAGGTACGGCAGAGGAACCACCTGGACCACCCGGGCCACCGGCAGCACCGAATTGCTGCATCATAGCCGCAAGCTGTGGCGGCAAGCCAGACATGTCAGGTTGACCATCAGCACCGGGTGGACCACCCATGCCACCTCCAGCGCCTCCCATCATGGCCATCAACGCCTCCATCGGGTTCTGCTGTCCTCCTTGCCCTGCTCCTCCCATCATCATCGGATCGCCTCCACTTCCGAACATTGCGAACGGATTCGTGGCATCTTCGCCTCTAGGCGGACCTGCTCTGGGTGACAAGGTGGAGATATCCACTTCAAGCGGATCGTCGTCGTCCCTGGCGGCTGCGATGGGGTTGTTGAGCTGTGCCGAAGAGTTGGGAGTGGGGGTGGTGGGGAGGGAGGGGGTGTTGTCTTTGAGGTAAGCGGAGGCTCCTTCTCCACGACCAGTGTTGGTGATGCGAGCGAGGCGATCGGAGCCTTTGCTGAGGATTCGGGCTTTTCGGGCCTCGCGTTTGAGACGTGCTGCTTCGGCTGCGTCGACGGGTGCGGCGGCGGCGGATGCTTCGGGCTGCTCCGACACGGCAGGAGCCGGCACAGGGGTGGGATCGGGCGACGTCGGTGTGTCCGACATGATGATGTGGACCGTGGGAGATGTTTCGGAAAGGTTGCGATGAGGGAGGAAGGAGAGAAGAAGAGGTAGCAGGCCGGTTCGATCGAGACAAATGGAAGGATCGTGCGCAGAGAAATTTTCCGAGAATGAGATGAAGTAGCGACGTAACATTTTAACCCCAAAATTTAACCAGCTCTTTGACGCAATTCAGAAGAAGGTCGGAAAAGCAGCTGCTGTTTGTTGCACGCAGCGATGCAATGGTGACAACGGATCAGCAGCCTCGCGAACGGCTCGATTGGTTCGAACAGCAATTTGTCCAGTCGTCGCACTGCGAATCGCAGCGCGGCAAGGATGACGATGTGACGACTGCAAAAGGCATGGTCCAGCGACGGCGTCTCTGAGCATTGACCACGCGAAACAGCGAGAATCGGATGAAGCGCACTTTTTGTGCATTTTTGAAATAGCACGCTGGAATTGCCTGTCTCTCGCCTGAGGCAGGCACGCGCTCTCTCGGGCTGTGTTGCTTCGGCGTGGAAATGATGGAACCTCGGCGGGAAGGAAATCGGAGTGTTGCTCTTCCCGCTCTTCCACAGTCAATCACGGTCGTTTCGACGTTTCGGGACAGCCTCCGACCTATCAATCACCATCGTTGACCTTCTCATATCCGAGTGAGGGAGATTCAGCAACACAATTCGGCAGGCCGAACAGCTGCGTCCCGCGCAAACATCACCTTGTCAAGCAAGCATCGGAGTAGGATCCGCAGATCGAGAAGAAGCAGCTGCTCAGCTCACCGTCACCAACACCATCATCTCAGGTCCAAACCGGGCCTGTTGAAATCGACGGGCAGGCGCACTCCCTCGCTACCTCCCATCTAAATCCCGAACTGCTACCCACTGTCGGCTTTCTCTCGCGCCCACTTCTCCAAAGCTGCACTCGATGCTACCCACCTCGCGCACCGACAAGAGGTCCTCCTACACCAACATCGACATCGATCAGCATCAAGCTACCACGTCCGCGACCTCTCCCTACGCCGCCACCTCCGCGATCAATTCATCGCAAGACGTTCCAGCGCCGTATCGCAAGCGCTACATCGACAGCCAAGACGCGCTCCTTCCTACCTACTCTCCCCCTGCATCCACCTACCTAGCCCAAGACTCGCCCGGCAGGATGAGTAGTCCAGGCCCCAACGCTCGCCGCTTTGCAGCAGGCTTCGATCCCTACTCGTCCAGCAGCAACGTCGATGCAGACTCTTACTCGGATTCAGCAGCGCTCAAAGCTAAGGAGGCCGGCTTTGCTCCACCTCCGTCCGGAGCGGCCAAGGTCAACAAGTACGACCACCTCATTCCAGTCCACAAGCAACGCACTCCTAACTTTGAGCTCATAGCATGGACTATTCGCCAGGAAGAGGTCATCGGTCTCATCTACACCATCCTCTCGCTCGTCACTCGACTCTGGGGTATCGGCAACAGCAATGTCGTTGTTTGGGACGAGGCTCATTTCGGCAAATTCGGCTCGCACTACTTGCAGCAGGAGTTCTACTTTGACGTTCATCCTCCTTTGGGCAAGATGCTCGTGGGTCTTGCCGGTCTCATCAGCGGCTACCGCGGTCAATTTGAATTCAAGTCCGGGGAGACGTACCCCGCCGATGTCAACTACATCGGCATGAGGATCATCCTCGCTATGTTTGGTGTCGCCATGGTGCCTCTGGCGTGGTTCACCAGTGGCGGTCTCAACTGGAATTGGCGCGCACGTCATCTACTAACGATCATGGTCTTGCTCGACAACGGCTGGCTCGTCATCTCGCGCTTCATCTTGCTCGACTCGATGCTCCTCTGCTTCACTCTCACCACCGTCCACGGTCTCGTCAAATTTCTGCAGTACAAATCGACTCCCTTCTCAAAAGGTTGGTGGTTCTGGCTTGCTTTCACTGGCGCTTCCATCGGCTGCGTAACGTCAGTCAAATGGGTCGGTCTCTTCGCCACCGCCCTCGTCGGCGTTTTCACGGTCGAGGATCTCTGGGAGAAGTTTGGCGATCTGCGCATGCCCGTTCGCACCTATGCGCGTCACTGGTGCGCTCGTATCCTTTGCCTCATCTTCTTGCCCATGACCATCTACATGCTCAGCTTCAAGGCGCACTTTTTGATCCTCAGCCGATCCGGTCCGGGCGATGCACAGATGAGCAGTCTCTTCCAGAGTCACCTCCGCGGCAACGATTTCGCCCTTTCGCCGCCCGAGGCTGCCTTTGGCTCCAAGATCACGCTCAAGAACATGGGCTACGGAGGCGGGCTGCTCCACTCTCACGTCCAGACCTACCCCGTCGGATCGCAGCAGCAGCAGGTCACTTGCTACCATTACCGCGACAACAACAACGAGTTCATCATCACGCCTCCTTGGGGCGAGCAGCAGCTTCCCGCCAATTACTCCTCCTCCGAAGAACCGATCCGCATGCTCAAGAACAACGACATCATCCGGATCGTCCACGATCAGACCAAGCGCAACATCCACTCGCACAACGTCGCTGCACCCGTCACCAAGGAGAACCTCGAGGTGTCCGGGTATGGAGATGCCGAGGTGGGCGACGATAACGATCACTGGGTGGTCGAGGTGGTGGACGACATGGTGCACGGCAAGGTTCCTCGCGGCGGACCGGTTCGATCCTTGACGACGAGGCTGAGGTTGCGACACAAGAACCTCAACTGCTACATGCGCGCCGCCAACGCCGTGCTCCCGCAGTGGGGTTGGAAGCAGGTCGAAGTGTCCTGCGACAAGGAAAACAACCCCAAGGACCAACACACCTGGTGGAACATCGAGAACCACTGGAACGACCGTCTGCCCCCCGGCGATTCGCAACTCTACAAGTCGCCGTTCCTCCGCGATTTCATCCATCTCAACGTCGCCATGATGACGTCCAACAACGCGCTGATTCCGGATGCGGATAAGGAGGATATCCTGGCCTCCAAACCGTTCGACTGGCCGTTCCTGTGGAACGGACTGCGCATGAACTCGTGGGATGACAACTCGATCAAATTCTACCTCCTCGGAAATCCGGTCATCTGGTGGTCTTCATCCTTCTCCCTCCTCGCGTTTGCGGGTACGTGGTTGTGGTACATGATGAGACGTCAACGACGAATCCAAGACCTCTCTCCCACCGACTGGTCTCACTTCCTCTACGTAGCCAAACTTGCGGGTTTCGGATGGATCCTTCACTACCTACCCTTCCTGATCATGGCGCGCGTGTGTTACCTGCATCACTACCTGCCGATTCTGTACTTTGCAGTGTTGATGTTGGTTCATCTGATGGATCATTTCTTCTGGCGAAGAACCACCGCCGTGTACAGCTTTGGCGGGAAAAAAGGTAGAAGAGAGCCGCTGGGGGAGGGAGTGAAGAATGCAGTGTTCGTGGGGAGTGTCGTGGCGGTAGCGGGTGCGTTTTGGTGGTTCAGGGGAAATTCGTACGGTTTCAAGGGTGATATCAGTGGGTATAAGGGGTTGAAGTGGAGGAAAAGTTGGAATATCTACTAAGCTTTCGATGCCTGGGTCGGATGGATATCGAGGGTCTGGAAGAGATGGACAGTGGGATAAGTAGAGGGAAAAAACAAGCTGAAGAAGGTACGAGCTGAAGGAAACCGCAAATCAAATCAAAGATTCCATCCTCTCCTTTTGAAGTCCTGTGTGTGACCGTCTACGTTCAAGTCAAGATTCGTCAGCTGTGATGGTGAACATCTCGACTCCGAAAAGACTGTGCGAAAGAGTTTTGCTCTCTCCGAGCTTCGTACGTTTCCACTCCCTCACTTTCTTTCCACTCGTCAAAACACAAGCGAAAAAGAAAGAGGTCTTGCTAAACACACGATGCACAGCGACAGCAGCAGACCTCGAATTTCTGTTGTGCAGATGCATTGCAGTGGAGGCGAAAAAGTCTATGGATTCCTAATCCACCGATGAACTTTTGTGTGTGTTCAGTCCGAATCGTGCAAAGAGTCGATAGTGATGGCGGATGAATCTCGGCTCGTACCCTGTATCGAGTTCTTATGAATCCTATCCACCTCCGCTCTCCCCTCCGCTCCACGCAGATCCGAATCGTCATTGGTACACACCTCTTCTGGGCGCCCCACCTGCTGCACCCTCGCTTTCTCCCTCTCCTCCCTGAACAACCTCCTATCATCCCATCCAATAAAGCCAAAGCTACACAACACCGCTCCGCTCCCCATCACACTCACCACCCCACCCGTATGACTCCCCTTCAAGCCGTCGATCACCACCGCCAACGGAATTGTCAGACTCAACCCCAACGTCGTGATCAACGGCGAACTCTTCAACATGGCCAGCAGGTAGATAAAGTCGCTGATGAAGGTGATGCACATGTTGACGACTATGCCGGCCCAGATGGAGGGTGACGGGGGTAAGGAGAAGGGTTCGATGCCGGTGTAGTGGAGGACGGGTAGGATGGGCCAGAGGCAGACGATGTTGATGGTGCCGACGATGCCGAACATGAGAGGCATGGAGATGCGATCTTCCGAGCCGATGCGGGTCTTGAGCAGCATGACGTAGAGCGAATAGAGGAAGGCGGATAGGAGAGCTAGAAGGTCGCCAAGCGGTGCATTTGGTGGTTTGCCGAATACATTGATGCTGGATGTAGAGGGCAAAGAACGTTTCCACAACCCATCGAGGATCGCCTCGGAAGAAGGTACGATGCTGTTGGTGGCTGTATCTCGATCAGCAAAAGTGACCGCGGCAACACCCAATGCGGAGATGCAAACAGCACCCAAGCGAGGTAATGTAAACCTATCAACGCCAACCATAGCACCCAACGCCAGGGTGAAGAATCCACTCGCAGATCCAATTGTCGTCCCGCTCGCAACGCTCGTCAATCCCAACCCTGCGTTGATCGCCCAATTCGCTCCGAACCACACCAGCGTGAACTGGGACGCCAAGATGGCGGTCTCCCTCAATGTCAACGGTGGCAACGTCACAGCTGTTGCCGGCAAGATTGGGGTGGAATCGGTGGGACGGACGATGCTGATCGAAGTTCGCGGTCTTCGTCCGTCGATGGAGGATGGACGTGGGACGGAGGTGGATACGAGGAAAGGACGGACGGGTGAGCTTGGCCGTGAAACGGGTGGTGTGCTTGCGAGGAGAGGTGTTGATGCTGTTGAAGAATCTGACTGGGTAGGCTGTTGGAGGGAGGTGGTGAGTCGGATTGGTTTGTGTTTGACACTGGTCGAAGAAGGTTTATTGCCGACACGACCTCTTTGCTGTTGTTCTTCAGCCAATAAGGCGAAGGGTTTGACGATCTGCGTCGCCTCTGCTGGTGCTGTTACCTGCTCTTCTGCGGTGACAGTAGGCACATCGAATCCCAACGTCTTCAACCACTTCGGGATCTCGTCCTTATCATCTTCCATCATCTCTTCCTCTTGTCCTCTCGTTTCTCCCTCCACATCCTGCGATAGCCTCGTATACCTCTTGGGGTCGGCTGAAGCATTACTCCATCTCTTGCGCAACCTGCTGCTGAGCAGATACGGTACCAGGTAAAGCGCAAACGATGAGGTGTTTGCGTAGGTTACGAAGAAGGGTTTGTCGTATCCACCTGTGGTGAGTAGTGCGTTGGTGAGAAAGTTGGATGCTGTCCAGAGAACGACGACGATGAGGAGGAGCAGCAGGCCTTGGGTGTAGGATTTGCGTCTACGATGGGACTGTGTCTCTTGTGCTGACTGTTCGCCGGCTCCAGCAGGAGAAGGGATGGTGTCGACCATGTCTTTTTCCTGGCGACGAGCACGAAGAGCTGAGTTGCTCAGCGAGAAGCCTCGCGTCGGATGTGGCTCCGTTGAGCTGAATCGAGTCGCAGCTCGTTTCGGAGAAGCCGTTCCGATGATGTGACGGTCGCCAAAGGATGGTGATAAGAAGAAGAAAAGAGCTAGCGAGAGAGTGCCTTGCGGCTATCAATCGGCGGCTTGCATTTTTGGGTACAGTCACGAATTCGCAACATTTTTGATTTAATGCAGCCGAGAAGAGGGTTCTCGGCACATATCGCGTGCTCGTATCGTGGGTTGCGAGCAGAAGAAGCAACTCAGAGTGTGAGAGACAACGTGCAGTCCGCGGATGGTTTTGTTTGTTAGATTAGACCGTAGAGCGGCCTTGACCAATGCCTCAGAATCTCGACTTCACCATCACTGACTGTTGGCTTGTCTGGTTGACATCGCATTCAGCTCAGTGGACCTGTCGCCATGACACGAAACCAGGTAGTGTCGTTGAAAGCATCGCGACACACCTCTCTGCACCGGCAGACTGAGGACTAGCATGAGCAGCGTTTTATTTTTGGGTTGAGGGTGTAAATCAGGACAGGAAAAGTCTTGCGGAGCTGGCGGTTGGTGCGAACGGCGACAAAGTGCAAGCCACAAAGACGCCGACGATGTAGATGCCGGGTGTCCGAATGAGACGATTCAGAACGAGCTGAGACCCACGAAAAGAGCCAGGAGGGATCTGGCAATCATTGCGCTGACGCTTTGAGCATTTAGCTGGCGTTCATGATGGCGTTGATGAGGTCGCCGTTGGACTCCTTGAGCGCCTTGACGGCTTTCCTTCGCGAGCAGCTGACCTGCTGCATGACAAGGTCGATGTCCTTTGCGTCGACACCTTCCTCGTCGATGGGCGAGTCGTCATCCTCCTCCTCTTCCTCGGCCTTCTTGTCAGCAGCACCGGCGCTGGGGTTCTGGAGCGATTCGGCGAGAAGACGCTCCTGAGCCTCGGCCTGAGCCATCTGCTGGGCGGCTTGAGCCTGAGCGAGCTGCGACATGTCCTCGGCCTTGGCCTCGCCAAAGACGATGTAGACGTCCGAGTGGGAAGATTTGTAGACCTCGGGCTGGGCGATCACGTACAGGTGCTGTAGGATTAATTGGACGCAGATGGAAGGGTTAGCATGTAGCAAGGGGGAGAGTGTCGAATGTGGGTGCAGGGGAAAAAACTTACACCACGAGGACGGCGCATGGTGACACGAGTGATACCACCAACCTTCTTGAGACCGAGACCCTGAAGAGCCTTGCGGGACTTGCGCTCAGCACGCGAAGCCACCTTGTCGGAAGCGTGGACGTCGGCACCCGCGTCATCGGAGTCGAAGTCCTGGACGTTAAGCTATCGGGGGTGGTGCAGTCGATGTGTGTACAGCGAAGAGTAGGTCAGTGTCTGTACGTGCAGATATAAATGTTGCTGAGCTGTGCTGGTGATGAGACTTACGTCCTGAACGTCGTCGGCGATCTCTTCAATGGTAGCAGACATTGTGACTGCAGGCGTAGGCAATCGAGAAGAAAATGCAAAAGTGTTTCGAGTTGGGTGAGTGACGGGTGTCGAAGATGCGGCTTGTTTACGGTGAATTGCTTGCACTATAGAAGAAGATGCGTACTGTATGAGGTTGATGGGGAATCAAGTTGCTAGAAGAAAGGAAGAGAAGAAGATATGATGTCGGCGAAATGCCTAACGGCGACGACGACGGCAGCAGCAGCAGCAATGCACTCCCTCTGTGTGTGTGTGTGTGCACTTTGGGTCCAATCAAGTGAAGAAGCGCATTCTTCGCAACACACACAGTGTCTGTGCTTCCTTCTGCTTCTTCCTTTCCAGCGCTCAATTCGCGATTTCAAGGCTTTGTATTTCCACCAATCCGAAATTGTATTCGCATCAAGGCCAACAGCCCAATTCACCGCAGCTCATCCTTTTCCCAAATGTTAGTTTCGGTATTGTATATCGGGTCCATCGGGATGCTGATTTCACCTCCACTTGGCAGATTTGCAGGCCGAAGATGGCTGAGCAGACACACGCCCACTCACTTCAAGACCCTGCAGAAGCGACATTCTTGTTGGATCTCCACCATCTTCTTTCGGCAAACATGATGCGACCTCTATTGCAGTCGGGCTCGGCGAGAGTCGCTCTTCGACGTTCGCAACCCCACGCATCCAGCTCAACGACCACGCTTGCCTCCACACGGCCGGCTGTGACGAGACGAGCACTAGCAAACTTGTCCAGCTCAACTACTCGTTCTTCCTCCGTGGCTTTATCTCCAAGCTTAACTCCTGGGATCTGTTCAAAGCCACGACTGACTCCTGTTCGGATATCACAATCAAGGCTTGCCACGACCTTGATCCGCAAACCAGACGAACCAGAGGAACCAGAAGTGTTTCGTGATGGCGAACCCACCATCATTGCCACCGATCGTGCCATTGCCCAGCTCCAAAAGGTAGCAGAGCGAGAAAAGAATTCTGCATTAGCACTACGAGTCGCCGTCGAACCGGGAGGATGTCACGGATATCAGTACAAGATGGAGATCACCGAAGAGATTGAAGACGACGACTTTCAGTTCGAGGTGCATCCTGGCGTTTCCATCCTAGTCGACAGCATCAGTTTGGCACTGGTACGAGGCAGTACCATCGACTACGTCACCGAGCTCATCGGATCCCAATTCGCCATCAAGAACAATCCGCAGGCAAAAGGCGCAGGATGCGGTTGCGGTGTCAGTTGGGAGCCTGCCATCTGAATCTATACACTCTCGCCTTTTAATCTTGTCGAATTCTTGCATGCTTGTACATTATTCATCGTTCCTTCAAGATGCTCCCATGCTAACATGACCACAGCGGTGACTGTCATGCTATGATGATTGTGATGTTTAAGGCAAGAGACAGCCCGCATGTGTGTCCAACCGGACGAGCCGACAATGGCAGGAAATGTGACGGGCGCACAAATGTGCTCTTCTGCCATCTTCTCGAAACGCGCGCGTTCACGGACCAGGCTTCCCTAAGAAATCACAAAATCAAATTAAGCTCCGTTTCGCAGAGACCAACACTTTTCCTTCTTCCTACCACAACTTGCACCTCACCACGGGCAGCATCCCTTTCTCCGTCGAGATGCCGCTCAACTACTCCAAATGGGACAACCTCGAGCTGTCCGATGACTCTGATATCGAGGTCCACCCCAACATTGACAAGAAATCCTTCATTCGATGGAAGCAACGCGACATTCACGACAAGCGAGATCAACGCAAAGCCGAAAAGGATGCTCTCCGCGCAGAGCTCGATACCAACAACGAACTCGCTCCTCGCCTAGACCAGCTCGTCCAGAACACCGACAAGGAGGGATCAGCCTACTATTCCAGAGAGGTGTCAAAACTCAGTGCAGGGAGAGCCGAGAGAGGCAACAAGGATGGTCCGAATGGTCCCACCACCGACGACATGATCCTCAGCTTGTTGCTTCAGATCCAGCAGCACGACAACATCAAGGGAAAGAGCGGCGACGATCTCGATCGGGCCTTGCTTTCCGAGCTCCAAGGTCACAAGCAGAAGCTAGCTGCGAGGCAGACCCAGATCAACTTCGAGTTGGAGCAGATGGAAAAGGAGGATTCCAAGAAGATCACCAGTGATGGGATCAAGGAAGGTTGGAGCTCCGGATACGTCGCCAAAGCCGAACCTGAGCCCCAGACCAAGCCGACCGCAGAAAAGGGCAAGAAGAAGGCCGTGTCCACCATCGAGACGCTCAATTCACCTTCGACCGCCTCAGCCTCGACGTCCGCCAAGCCAACCACCGCCGATGACGACGACGACGCAGAAGACGACGACCAAGACGAGATCCCTGAAGCAGACGATGTCATGCGTCAATTCGCCGACCTCCCACCTTGCGTTCCCACTTCGATCCCCCTCTCCGCTTCCACCCTCCCCTCCAACTTTGACTCCGCAAAATCCCTCAACATCTCCGCCTTCGAAACAGCGCTTCAATTCCTCTCCAAGCACAAGATCCTGCTCTCCCCGAACAACAACACCACCGACTCGCTGCTTCTCGAAGCTTTCAATGCGCAGATGGCATCCAAAGCGTCCGTCGCACGTCGATGCGTTGAAAAGTCGCTCATGATTCAGTACTGTCAGAAACTGGGTCCGGATGGGGTCAACCTCTTCTTCCGTCGAATGGTCGGGTCGAAGGATGCTCGTGCATCCGTGGTCTACCTCAACGATGTGCTGGCCACCTACACGCGCATTCGGGATCGATCCAAGGCGCTTTCCGAACAATCCTCCGCTGCAGGTGAAGAACAGATTCAACTCGTCGCAGAAGACGAAAACACCGTCATCGGGTTCGAAATCCCCGACGGCCCCCCTCCAGACGTCATCGAGTTGGAAGGTGAGGCAAAGGAAAAGTTGAACCCCGAAGACGTCAAGCTTTGGTTGCAGAAGAGGTGGGATATCTTCCAAGGATTCCCGGAGGAGCTGAGGGAGGCTTTGAAGAGTAAAGAGTTGGGGAAGGTGAATAAAGTGTTGGGTGAGATGAAGGTGGATCAAGCGGAGGAGATCGTAGGGCTGTTGGATCAGGCGGGTATTCTGAACTTCTCCAGCGCCGAGGTGAGGGATGAGACTGGAAGATGAGAGACGAGTTTGACTGGAAGATGCAATCACAAGGTATTCACGACTCAGTGACGAGAGTACGCTCTGTGGAGTGAGAGCTTGAGCGTTTGAGTGGATCGTGCTCTGAGAGACGGTCTTGCGTCAGTCGTGCTTGGGTCTGTGACAGTTCGGACGGCTCCAAATGGTATCGACCTTTCAAAGCGTCGTATCGCACGCACACGCAGCATCCACATCCCTTCGGCCGCGGCTGATTAACATCTCGTGACATTTCATCCTTCAGATCCATCCCCTCAGCCTAGCGACTGTCCTGAAAGCCTCCGATTGAGCCATCGCTTCCACCTGGGAATCACTCCAACCCTCCAAGCCACCTTTCCTATTCCCTAGTCCTCCACCATCCCTTGACCCCACCCCGACGACATATTCTGCAACCACCGCCCTCCCTTCGCCCCCACTCAACTCGGAAGCCTTCTTCCAAAACCTCAACATCGCCTCGCTCTCGGCATAGATCACCGATGAAATGTTTCCCAAGTAATCGAGATCCGCTGCGAGTTGCGCTGCGCCGATCTCGCTCAGTCGTGGGAGGGAGGGGAGGACGGTGGTGAGGAAACGCGTGAGGAAGAGTGTGAGCAGCGAATGGAGGTATTGCGATAACACGCCTGCTTCGCTCTCGTCTCCCTCGGCAGCAGGGGCGGTGTTGGAGGTGGAAGGATCAGAGGGTACGACGGTGGTGGAAAACGCCTGTCGATGCATGGACGATCTTTCCGCGGCACCGGATTCTGATGCTGCACCTCCTACCATGGTCGCGTGTCTTGCATGCGATTTCTCGTCCAACTTCGCAGCTTCTTCCTGAATCCCCTTCTCCTTGATCTTCTCCTTGCCCTCGTTGAGACAGAACAAGAGCACTTCGTCCGCGTACCCTTCGAGCAATCTAGGCAAATTCAACATCGCCTCTCCTATCCTTGCCATGGCCTCGGTCGGACTGAGACTGAATTTCGGCATGGCGAGATCGTACTCGTTGATGATGCTCGGATGCTTGTTCGAGGTCCAAATCGGTAAAGACGGGTAGAGTTCGAGTTCGGGTAGGAACTGAGACAGGACGAGATCATGTTGGAAATTTTGAAGTGTCGTCGCTATCGATAGTACCGATGCACGTGCGAGCGGAAGCAACAATGTATCGACCGCGGAGGATTTCCACAAAGCGGTCGAGAGGAGGATTTTGCATTTGCTAATAAGCTCGTGGAGCGTGGCTGTATTGAGCGAAGAGGTCGCTAGAGCTGTGGTGGCGCTCGTGTAGTCGATTGCTGTTGGGTCTGCTTCCCTCGTGGTGGAGGACGGTGAGTTTGCGACGGCTCCAAGCTCGGAAACCTGATATGCGATCGCTTCCTCGAGGCTTTGTACCGCGGCGAGCGACTCTCTGCAGGTGGACAGCGTCTCTGTGGCTTTCCTGAACTCGTTCCAGTCGTTCGAGGTTAGCACCTCGCCTCTTTCATCGTACGTAAGCGCGGCTTGCCTGGCGGTCTCGGATAAGTGCTGCCGGCGGATCCTAGTCTGCAGATTATCGAGCGCGTGCTGAAGATCTGCACTGAGACCAAGACGCGCTCGATGCATCGAGTTCTGGAGCAAGCTGTCGAGCGAGAGAAGGAGTGACGGTGTCGCAAAGGACTTTGTCAAAGCTGTGGAGCGTCTCAGGGCAGCCCTGGCCACCTGGAGTGACACTGCAGACGCGGTCGAGACCGAGCTAGTTGCAGCCGAATCGGACGACTGGAGAGTCTGCAGACGAGATTGCATAGCTTCGGCTTCGAAGGTAGCGAGGCGCGTCTGGTAAGGGAGGAAAGGCTCGATCAGGAGCTGAAGCCAAGGCTTGTCGGTGGCTTCGAGAGCAAGGAGATGGCTGTCGATGGGCACTCTTATAGCACCGCTCTGATCGTCCTGTTGCGCATCCTGCGGCCTTTTCGCTTCTGGCAACAGTGATTGGATCGCTCTCGCGGCTTCTTCGGTGGCCTTGAATGCTTCGGTCAAAGCAGCCAAGAAGGATTCCAGGTCTGATGCGCGTGTCGCTTGTTGAATGCATGCGTGGATAGGAGGATCTAGCCCGACGATCACGCCAGCGGTGAGGAGCTGCATCGCGCGGTTCGGATCTGTGAACAGGGAGGCTGACGCTACACGCTCTTCGCCAAGCAATGCGAGAAGATCACCAAAAAGCAATGTGACCTGCGCCTGGAGCGGCTTCTGACTCGACTCGGATGCTGTGTGTGCCCATCTCGAGAGCAGGTTCTGCGACCGAGTATCGGTGTAGATGCGGAAGAACGTGCGAGCACCGTCCTGGGTGGAAGCGAACAGCTTTGCCATTCGAGCCACCTCTTCTCCGTTTCGGTCGACGATCGCTTGTCGCAATGTGGGTGAGAGGCGTTCATGGACCTTCTGCGTCAAAACTTGGAGCAATTGGCTCTTTTCCTCGTTCGACTTTGTCGAACCACTGAACAGACGTAGCGAGTCGGTGGCCTTGGCCAGCCTATCGACAGCATCCTGCCATCTCTCTTCGCACAAGAGCATTGTGACTTGACTTTCGAGGGTGGACCACGCTTGCGCCTCTCGAAGCGCGTGACGTGCATCGATGAGACCAGCTTTTGCTTTGGATAGTGCCGCAATCCTTGCCAGCGTGACATCTGTGGATGTATCCTTCGTTGCTGTTTGAGCTTGCAGCGACTGTACATGAGCCTGAAGCGCCGTTGCGGTGTCCGACATGAGTCTGAGCTCGATGCTGATCTTGGGGATGGTAGAAACGAGCGAAGTGATGATCTGATCCAGCTCGGTGCGGGAAGCATCGCGTACCGATGACAACGAGAGGGACAGTTGACGCAATGCAGCAGCAGCTCCGTCCAGCTTGGAAGTGGTGGCTATGGGCGAGTCGTCGTCAGAGGCAATGGCGGCGGCATAGCGATCGAGCCAACTTGCGAGCTGAGTCGGCTGATGAGCGCTACGCAGCGCCTCGATCGCTTCCAGCCGCGCTGTTGCGTTGCCAGCATTATCGGACGATCCGTGCTTCTCAGCAGCAGACTGTGAGAGCGCCATTTCGATGACACGGCAATAGAGCCGTTCAAGCTAGATGTGACGAGAAGATCGAAGGTCACGATCAAGGTGAAAGTAGTCAGGGTCTTGACCTTGGCTCTCGCCCACCGACGGGTCTGTGCTCGGCACGTCCGACTCCACTTTCTTCCTGTTCGGCTTTTCCGCGCCCTCATTTCTGCAACCGTGATTTCTGAGAAGAATTTTTGGACGAGGTTGACGAAAACCTCGGTTTCTTCTTGACTCTCACGCCTCTCACCCTTCGATCGCGAACCATCACCCTTTCGTCTCGTCCAAGCGTCGTCCGCAGCAATGTCCGCAGCATTGGTAGCCGGTCCATCGTCGACACCGTCATCTTCGTCGGAAAACACCGACCTAGTCGCTACCACTTTTAAGCGTCTGCATCCCATCTCGTACCTCTCGCGCTTCCTTGACGCTTCCATTCGTGAAGACGGCCGGTCTCTCGCTGCCTTCCGTGATGCGACGATCACTATTGGGTCCATCTCCACCGCAGATGGGTCGTCGTTCGTCCGCATCGGAAACACTTCGTGCATAGCAGCTATCAAGGCGGAGGTAGCTACGCCGCAGCTTTCCCGTCCAAGCGAAGGCTACCTCATTCCCAACGTCGAGCTACCCGCCGTTTGCTCGTCCAAGTTCAAGGCCGGCGCTCCCGGCCAAGAGGCTCAGGTGTTAACGAGCAGGCTTCTGGCTCTGCTCAACAGCTCCAATGTCTTGGATAGGGAGCAATTGTGTATTCAGGAGGCCACAGCAGTTTGGTGCCTCTACCTCGACATCAGCTTCATTTGTTTTGACGGCAACGCCATGGACGCCGCTGTTCTCGCCGCTGTAGCAGCTCTTTCCAACAGTATGTCCATCTTTCCTTGATCGATCACATGAACCCCCATCGGAAGACCCGGCTTGCTGATACATCTCGTTTGCTTCTCGCCCCAAATGTTCCAACAGCCAAATTGCCCAACGCTACGTACGATCACGACACGGAGCAGGTGCGTTGCTCGTCGACTCGCCAGCCCTTGCATCTTGGAGACTTTCCTTTCGCTTCCTCCTTCTCCATCTTTGAGAATCAGCATCTGCTCAGCGATCCCACCGCGTTCGAATCAGCGCTTTCGTCTTCTCACGTCACTATCGCCGTTTCGCTCGACCCCTCCGCCTCATCCGAAACGACCAAAGCAGACCCTGCCGTCACTTTCCTTCAACAATCAGGCCGTCTGTCGACATCCAGTTCCGACCGCAACCAAAGTGCAACTGACCAACAGAATCTCCAGCTCTGCATCGAACGATCATCCTCGAGAGCGATGCAGCTAGCGCTCTTGTTACGCAACGCTCAAAAGCAAGCTCCATAGCCTCGTCTCCTCCCTCCCTTCGGCATTTTGCATCATTCCTGCTGTATTTGTATCGAGCTCAACACGATAGCATTACGATCATTGCATCGACCTGATTGCCCGAGTGGCACACGTGAAGATCATCTGCTCCACGAGTGTTGTTGATCGCGAAGTCGGACTGGGAAGGGAACAGCAGCGAGGAACAGGGATTTTTTCTTTCGGTAGGCACTATTGCGTATTGCGGTACACACAGCCCCTCCGGTGGTCAGTATCCGGCGAACGCTCGCGCTCGCTCGCATAGCTGATGCACCTTCATACCCGCCTTGCTCCCCTTGAGAAACACCGAGTTGCGCCGCACCGTCGAGATGATGCGATCGCGCGTCTTTTGGTCCACCGTCGTCAGCAGCTGCGTCACAATCTGGATGCCATGCGAGGCAAGGCATACGTCGACCAGGGGCGGTCGACGCGGCTGCGAGCTGTGGCACATGGCCTCGACGTAATCTTGCAGGAATTGTCGATCACCCGTCTTGAGTCCGCTCATCACCGCCTTCTGGCCGTACTGTGACAGGGTCAGTTTGGAAGCCGAACGGACGAGGCCTTGCAGTGCGGCTCTGCGTTCGTCCTCGGATCCATGCTCGATGATGTGCTGCACCACCCAAACGCCCCACTGGTTCATGGCGCACTCGTCGAGCTGCTCGAGCACCTCTTGCATGCACTGCGCCTTTTCGGCGGGCTGGGCCGACTCGAAGATGTTTTGACAGATGATGCTGCCCGTCTCCTGTCGAGCCATCTGTGCCCATTGCCCTTTGAGCTGCCTGTTGATCGCCGCAAAGATCTGCTCCCTGAAAGACGCACGGCTCCATTCGGTCTCGAGGATGCGCTGCCAGACGTGGATCGAGTGGCGAGAGGTGAGCGTCTGATCCAGACGAGAGCCGAGCAGTTCTTTAGTGACAGCTTCGCGGATGTCCTCGCCGCCCTCGAGCGCCTTCTGAACGACATGACACCCGAATTGAGACATGGTGAGCTCCACAAAGGCGCCTTGGACGTGCCGAGCGATGTCAGATTCGGCATCGATCGCGCTTTGAACGAGGAAGTTGCCATGTCGATCGTGGGAGAGAGGCACAATTCTGGCACAGATGGCATCAATGATCTCGGCACGTCGCTCGGCACTTGCAGTCTTGAGCTGCTGCTGGAGCAACACGCTCGCTTCCTGACCACGTCTGTCGAGGATCATGGTGACGAGCGCAGACGCAGGAGCGTTTTCGTGTTTTGATGAGTTCACGAGGTGGGCTGGACCTGGCGAGCTGCCGGTCGAGCTGGCCGTCAAAGCGCTGGAGCCGGCAGCGTTCGGGACACCTACATCCAGTGGACCATCGGTGCGAGTCATGTGTCGATACCCCAAAAACGGGACCGGACTGTTGCTATCCATGGCGACGCGTCTGCACAGCTCTGCAGCCGAATCATCGCTGGCCCTGAATGGCTTTGAACCAGCACAGGGAGGCGTGTTCCCCTTTTCGTGAGCAAGAGGCTCGGAAAGACGTCTCTCTGGTGCCCACATGGATGCGGATGCACCGACTTCGCGCGCCTTCATGACGGGCACTGGTGCCACGTTCGACTGGCGATTGACCTCGGCGTAAGCCGACACCGGATCTGCGCCATTCAGGACGCGCTGCAGTCGAGGCGGTGTCGACGTGGGCGGGTGGTGAATGCATTGTGCCGATGCTTGATCCGGAGCCTGACCGCCGGCAGAGATGCGGCCATTGTTGGACATGACAAGCTCCTGTGCCATGCGCTTGAGCGCCATGTTTTCCAGCTTGAGTTGCTTGAGCTCCTCGACGACAAAACCCGGCAGGGTTATCTGCTGCGGTTCAGGATAGACACCTCCAAGCGCTGTATGCTCCGAGGCATGGTATGGACGGGCGTTCTGAAAGGGAAGCGCCGAGATCTGAAACAGATCGGAGTATTCTGAGCTTAGGTCGGAACCATGATCGGAGAGAGGCACGGTGCGATCCTCGCTGAAGACGCTGGATGACATGGAGGGAAAACGTTGGTGCACGGGTGCTGTTGCGTAGGCATGGTGAGCTGGCATTGAGCTTTGGGTTGCTGGAACGGTTTTGAGATCGTGAAGCCACGAACCTTGCGTATCGCCGCCGATCGTATGACGCAGTGAGTTGAGATCCAAATTTCGTGGATCATGGTAACCAAATCGATACCCAGAGCCGTCCATGCCGCGATCTGAATATCCACCGAGCTGGACATGGTAAGAAGGGTCCATAGCAGGTGTATGCGAAGTCGTGGTCGAAGGGACTGTAGGACGAGGCGGCATGTCGTCGCCCTTCGGCGGGTCTACGTTGAAAGCGGCATGCGATGCTGTCAAGGAAGAAGGTGGCCAGACATCTGAGCATGCCATTTGACCGAAGGTGGCACGACGACCCGATGGACCTTGAGCGAGCCTGGTTCGGGCGAGTTCTTGCGACGTTTCCGGAGTGTACGAAATCTTTGGGGGCGTAACTGAGATTTGATCTCGGGAAAAGAAAGACATTGAGGGAGGTGGTAGAAGGACGATTCGTGGTGATAGTTCTGACAGATCCGAGGTTGGACGATGAAGGAGCCTCGTGGATTTGTGTGAGTCAGCGAGCTGGCGACGGGTTCCCGACAGGTGGGATGGTACAGTGATGTTTAAACGAGAGATTCAGCACTATGCCGAAGCAAGGTCGTGATGGGGATCAGCTGGGACGAGGACAAGAAAGCAAAATGTGCGGATGGAAAGAGACGAGTCGAGATTCCGAGGGATGAGGAACAGACGGTGGGACGATGGTAGAGACGAAGAGCGATCAGAAAGCTAAGGTGACCAGTGAAGGTGGCAGTCAAATTCCGGCCAACAGACTTCATCGGAGCAGCTGAGCGTTGTCTTCCTTTTTACCTGTCTTCTTCGGATCCTGCTGCCGACGAAAGACAGCTCTGGACAGCGACGGCTCAGCCGACACGATGCCAGAGGAGCTTGTCTTGGTCAAGAGCCGACTTTGAACACGGCCCTTTTTCGGAAGCAATGCCGAAGACCAGGCGCAAAAGCTGACAGGCTGGCACCAAAGCAGACTTGCCGCATAGTGATTCACCGACTGAGCGATTGCCCGCTGTTCTCCATCGGAGGAGCACAGAATGGCATCATGTGAGTGACGAAGCCACTCGGCCCCGCAGTCGACTCGTTCGCTGATGGCTTGACAGAGGCTGTGCAGCTCTGGGTTTGTTCCGAAACTTGGATAGTCTCTTGGATGTGTGATTTGCGCTTGGTTGCAGTTTCCTCGGCTTCTACAGTCAGCGGGCGTAAAAGGCTCGACTCTTCTCGGCTGGAAGCTGAGTCAGGTCAGCTTGCACAGCAGACTGTCTCCTGCTCGAGCACGTACTCTATGAGGAAGAGGGTTCGACAAGCCGGCGATGCGGTGCGGCGCGGCTAAACCGAGAGGGTGTGATGCAAGTGCGCGCGATGCGATGCGTTGCGATGCGGGGCCGTGCAGTGCGCTTCGTAACAGTCATCTCTCGCGAATGGGCCACCAGCATATAGCTAGCTGAGGCCGACTCAACTGCGCCTTTTTGATTTCGTTGGCCTCCTTCCTGGCACGATTCAGCCATTTTACAGGAGCTCTTACTCCTCCGGCCTCTGACACACAATGACACGCATGTGCGTCTATAGATGCTCTGCCGTGAGCGGCTTTTGGACGGGAAGGCCATCTTGTTCGCTGTCACTCGACATCTCGATGTGCCTATCTTTACGCGGCAATCACGTTTTACTGACACGCGCAATCATCTTTCCATGTAGAAGAGGTTGACGAATCTGTCAATTCAATGGTCGATTGATGTGAAGAATACTCAAGACGGTCGACGGGAGGAGCCCCGTAGAGACGGAACGGGAGCAGCGGCATCGTCGAAACTCGAAGTTCCAAAGACCATGGCCGAATCGATTGTATCCTGCTCCTCCTCGTTCTCGTCACCTTGTCGTTCCGAGTCGCCCTCGTGATCGTCCGACTGCAGCACCGCATCGGCTTCCCTGAGAATCTCTGAGATGGTTCGTTCGTGTTTTCGTCGTTCTCCCGCTGCCGGCGGCTGCCGCGCGCTTTCAGTCTCCCCGTCCTTGTCCTTGCTCCTGTCCCTGCTCCTGTCCCGCCCGAATCCGAGGATGCCCTTCTTCTTCCTCTTGGCGATCGCGTCTGGCGACGTGGAGAATTCGTACGAAGCGCTCCGTGACGGAGAAGGCTGTGACGATGCGTTGGCCGAATCGATGGGTCTCGAGACGTCGATGGCTTTGCGCGAGGAAGAAGTGGAAGAGGAGGAAGAGGAGTAAGACGCTTGACGAGACGACAGACTCGGCTTCTGCGCCGCTGCCAAACTCGACCGGCTCGGTGCTGTGGCCATCGGACTCGTCGCGCTCGTTGCCTCCAGACCGCTGGGGACGCTGTCCCTGTGCATTTCTGGCTCTTGGATGATCGGAATTGCCGAATGGTGATCCTCGAAGCGTGAGGCGATCAAGGCTGCCTGTGCCATTTCCCGCTCGAATGCAGTGTCCTCATCATCTGCTTCCGCAGCAGCTGGAGCCGGAGGCGGCGAAGGTGCCTCGTGCGCGATCTCTTGAGTGCGGTCTCGACCTTCGTTTGTCTGCTCGGAGCCTGATACAGCCAGGCTCTCATCGTGGGAAGCTTGCTTTGCTTCTTGCACAGCTGTCGATACAATCGATGCCCTGGTATCTGCGGACGGTGTTGACGGTACATCCGTCTTGTCTTCTTCCAGATCGGTCGGCTTGCGTTCGTCGGTTCCATCGACATCGACGGATACCCCATTTTGTTCGTCGGCGGTGCTAGACTGGCTCTTCTCGACAGTCGAAGCAGCCTCGGATCCCTTCTGGTCTGCCGCGATGTCGGTAGCCGCCGCAGACTCGGCGGCAGTCGCCTCCTCCTTCGCGTCGCCACTTGGAAGGTGAACCTCTTCGCGCGAAGCCGACGAGCTCAAGATTTCGGTCGAGATTGACTTCTGCAGAGGTTCTTGCTCCGCTGTTGCTGCTTCCGAAGCTTTGTTCTCTGCGGTCGAATCTTCGTTGTGGGAAGTGTCCGTCTCGAATTGCTCCACAAGCAGTCGACTCGGTGCGGCCTCAGCAGGGCTGTTTTGCGACTTGGTCTCTGCGGCCGATGAAAGGCCTAGAACAGTGGCGGAGCCGCTTTTTGTCGACAGAGCAAGTGCCTCGTCGAGCGAGTCAGACTTGGGTTCCAATGGCTCGTCGGTCAGCCCCGGCGTTGTGACGGCAACTGGGACGGAAGTAGCCTCAGCGTCGACGGGATTTTGCGATGGTGGCGGAAGCGCAGCTTGGCTTGGCCCGGTCGAACGGTCTGCCGAGGTATCGTTGTCGGTCGATGCGATGGTGTTGGCAGGCTGCAATGCTGCCAGCTTCTCGTCAACATTGGTGAGACTGGTGCGAGCAGATCCGTGACCCTTGTCCTTAGCCCTACGCGCCAAGTCACGCGCCACCGTCTGGTCCCTCGCCTTGTCCGCTATTGAGGTGGAGCGATGGACGCGATCGCCACCGAGACGAAGGCCTTGTGGGATTGCGCCCTGTTCGAGGAATTGTTCCACCTCGTCATCTGCAATGTCGACGTTGCTGAGACCGAGGGACGCGAAGAGGTCGTCGATGTTATCGTCGCTCACAATGTGCTTCATGCGGCTCTGCTCCATAGCGTCGTCGAGCGTCTTCCCCTGCGAGACGGCATCACGCAGGAGCGCACCGGACGTCTTGCGATTTGAGGTGAGCGCGGCTGCTTCAGCTGCAAGGGCTCGCGTGGATCTTTGCGTTGCCGAGTACCGAGCGACGGGCGAGGCACGCGTACCTGAGCTGACCGAGGATGAACTCGGAGAGCCGGACGACATCCTCTGGTGCGACGTGGTGGGACCCATCTTGGCGAAGCGTAGAGGCTTGATGGCGGCCTCTTTGGACGGCACGTACTTCTTGTCCGGAGTGGTGGATGTGACAGAAGCCGCTGGCAGTTTGCCGATGTCTGCGAGCATCGCGTCGACGTCGGCATCGGTGAGTTCATCCTCCTTGATGTTGAGCGACGAGATGAACTGGTCGGCGTCGGGCTCCTTCCAGCGACCAGCGCCCTCGGCGGCGTAGGGAAGTGTTGGGTATAAGCTGGGATCTTTCGAGCTCACTGCAGACTGAGCTGGATGCGGCGCTGGTGGTGCAGCTTGCGCAGAGGCGGGAGAGACGCCGAGGAAGAGCTCGAGCTCGCCAAATTCGACGGCCTCCTCAAAGTCGTCAAACGAACCCACCCATTCGTTGTTGACGAGGATGCCGGGAAGTTGGGCATCTTTCGCCTTGCGTCGCCATCTGCTCTTGGCGTCGTCGTCCGAGGCGAGGTCGTGGTAGACGTAGGGGATCTTCTTGATGGCGAGCACCGAGGTGTAGCGCTCGTGACGCGTGCGCACCTTGACGTTGGAGAGGATCGAGGTGCTAAAAAGCTCAACCGTTGAACCTGCCATGATGGCATGCGGTCCGAGAGCGGACGAAGCGGCGCACTGGTCAATGCTGTCGGTGTTCAATTCCGGAGACCAAGTATTGAGCGCTGCTCATAGCGTCCAGCCGAGTCCAACGCTGTGGTCTTGAGTTTAGCTTGACATGTCATCGGGTGTCTATCGTTTCATGTCGTTCCTGTCTCATACTTAACTCGACCGAAGCTTCGGTGTTGGCCAGGCAGGACGGACGGACGGACGTGCGTGCGTGCGCTTCACGCCGCGCGTTTCGCGAATCGTTCTCCACACCAACACCAAACGCTCCAAATCAATCCAAAAGTGTCAGACTGGAAGAAGTGTAACACACGCGGGGAGGACTCGGGCGACAGGGTCAGACGTATCGTTGGCAGCGCGATTCGGTTCCGATTTTGCTCTGCAGGCAGCTCCCGGCTGGAAACGCGAGAGGGCCAAGGAATGAATCGGGAGAAACGCATCGAGTTGCCTCCCCCAGCGGTGTGCCGCATTGCCAATCCGCCTTTGGCTGGAGTAGTGACGAGGCAGCACACCGCGTTCCGATTACCAATCCGCTCGAGAGGATTTCAGCAACGCTGCATCCAGGCGAAAATTTCCTAATGGGCTCATGCACCTTGGAATTTTCAAAATCCATTCGGGATGCTTAGAAATTCAACCGGCTTTTTTTACCCTGTTCGATGTGAAATCGCTGCGACTGGGAGGGACGATCATCATCGATTTGGCAAGCCTGGAGCAAGCAAAGGACCGAAGCACTGACGGACGTGCCAGTGCCTGTGCCTCGACTCTTCTTTAGGCCGTAAGCTCAAGAGTTGGCGACCAATTCCCAATTGGCGATTTTCTTCCAAGTCTCGCATTTCGAGCCTATCTCGGTCTCGTCCATCCTCCACGCTGCTCAACGCCATCACCAATCACCATCACTACCTTGCGTCATCTCGCGCACCTTCATCACCTCCTACCGTCGCCTGTCGTTCATCCGCGTCAGCACTTCACAATGATCGGTCAGAACGTTGCTCGCGCTTCCCGAAGCGGCCTCCGTGCTGCCAACCTCCTTGGCCGTCGAACCATGGTCACCCAGGAGGAGCGATGGACTCTCGAGAACGCACGCAACGCAGGTGCCTTCATCGAGGGCCCCAACAAGGTCCAGCTCAGCCACGTCGTCCCCAACATCGAGGCAAGCTGGAAGGGCCTTTCCAAAGAGGAGCAGTATGGTGTTTTCCGTCAATTGGAGGAGCTCCAGAGGAAAGACTGGAAGGAGCTCAGCGTCGATGAGAAGAAGGCTGGTAAGTAGCGCCATCGCATCCTTCCGACCGACATCATCGCAGTGACGATAGCGTTCGTGCAATCCAGCAGTGTCACGCACGGACATCCGACAGCCACGATGCCAACTGTACGCAGAACGGCTTTCCCGACTTGCTCGTTCCACACGTCTTCGGATGCACCGACTGCGTCATCTACGCCGTCGTCCATCGACGAGAGCCGTCAGGTCGTGTTTCCCTTCTGTCCCTGTCTCACTGCGGTCGATAGGAGCATCGAAGGTACTCTACGTCACAACCTTTGGCTAATCCCATCGTTCTATCTTGTCCGACCTGAATCATCTAAACACACAGCTTACTTCGTCTCGTTCGGTCCTCACGGTCCCCGAAAGCCCATCACTGCCTCCGGTCAGGGTGCCAAGACCTTTGCCGGTGTTGTTGCCGCCCTCGGTGTTACCACGGGTGTCTACTACCTCATGCGCGCAAACGGTGAGTACGACCGCGCTCGCCTCCAAATGCTCGCCCCGCACCTTTCATACTCATCCTTCTCCATCTTCTTTATTTACAGGTGGCGCTCCCGTCAAGACCATGACCAAGGAGTGGCAAGAGGCCTCCAACGAGATCGCCCTCGAACAGAAGCAGAACCCCATCACCGGTATCTCCAGCGACAACTACAAGGGCAAGGGTCACGTTCAGTCCGCATAAGCCTAATGCCTTTCCTCATCGCACCCGCCAAAATATCATTCAACCATCCCATACGCGCACATTCCCGCTGTTCTGTCTCACGTGCGCCGTCTTCGTTGCAGGGAGGAAAGACAATCCTAGATCGATTTTTGCAAACCACATCCAATACAGTCCGAGCTTCTGCGATCCTCTGCATCTCCGACACTGCACATTCGGTCTTCACAACTTTCTCGGTCCGGTCCGAACTTATCAGGCAAACATTTGGCATGGCATCATCACAACTTGGCCGAAGGGTTAGGACCGTCATCCAGCACTTGCACGCCCGTCAGCTTGCTGAGCTCTAAGAGTGCTGGTGTGCAATCGCTCGAGTTGACGCCTGCTGAATTGCAAGGCACAGGACCGAAGAGAGGATTGCAGATCAAGTAGGACTGGTTGGTCAGTGGATGCATCTCGTTGCATTTTACCAGCGAGATGAGACGCTGATATCCACTCTCCGCACTCAGTAGTACGGCGGCAGGTGGACAGTCGATACTCACGGATCGTGGTGATGCCAAGCTTTTGCGCGGCTTTGAGGTTCGGTCCGATGTCGTCCAGGAACACCACCTCCGAAGCTGGCACCTTGAGAAGATCCAGAGCATGCTGATAGAATTCTGGATCCGGTTTCCTATTGAGAGCAAAGCATATCCAAAGTGCGTCAGTGGTCCAGTCGCGGATTCAGCACGCATCTAGATCCGTCTCGGGCACACCTACCTCTTGCCAACGACTGCGCTCTCGATGTAAAAGTCAAACATGCTTCGCAGTTCGTTTTGAGATGCTCCCAGCCCCAAGTGCTGCAACTCTTCGTCCAACGATGGCGCTTTCGTCGTTTCGCCTTGAGCCGAACCCGAAATTTCGGTGGGAGGAGCGAAGTTGTTGGTCAACGCTGCTATCGTGAACTTGCCAGAAGCTGTTGTGGGCAAAATTTGAAAGTTGACTCGGGTCAGTGTTGATGTTGTCGGGGTCAAAGAGGGACACGCTTGGTGGTGGAGACTGACCTTTCAAACGCTGGATGGCTTTGCGCATTCTTGGATCAACCTTTGTCGATTGTCGCATCATCTGTCCAAAGAACTGTCATAGCGAGCGTGGGAGCAAAAGTACTGGTGAGCTATGGTTCAATGCCCTTCATAGATTGCCTGCGCTAGCGACTCACTTCTCGTCCATCGACATGCAGCTTCGTTGGCAGCTTCGGAACCTCTGCATCGTCGCCGTCAATCCCATCAAAGTGTTAACACATCATCGATAGCACCACCTTGTGCGATCAGCAAGCTCACCTTGACCGCGGCTCTTGCAAAACTTGATGTATGCCTCGTTGTTCTTTTCGACGTTGCTCAGCTCGTTTCCGAACCGACGGTAGAAAGTGTACAAATCCAGCTCGCTTCGTTCGAATTTCTGTGTCATGGATGCAGTCGATGAAAGCCGGATAGCATGCCATGAGCCTCTGATTCCTAGTGATGGACCGGCTGAGGCTCACTCACCTGGAAAGCGCCGCCATGACCTTGTGCTGTGATGGCAACATTCAAGTACTGGAACGGCAGTCCGTGCTCCTTCTCATATCTGAACGACGCGATATAAGGAGTATGTGAGCGTCAGCGTATGTCTCCTCGACAGCGAGCAGGCGAGCTTCGCAAGAGTTGGTGCGCTTTCGACTCACTTGTTGATCGCAAACAGCGGGCTTCCGACCACCACACCGCCAATGTCAAAGATGACTGCCTTGAACGTCATTCTGGATACCGAGGGTACCAAAGCCAGGCTTGCTGGTGAGGTCAGGTGGCTGCAAGACGTGCGATGATGGAGGAGGTGGTGGTGATGGTTGGTGGGGATGGTGAGCAGACCCTGTCGGTTGCGATGGTCCTCAGCCGGAAGTCGGGTAGATCAAGACACCGATGCCTGAGCGCAAGTTGATACTCTGTCGTCGCTGCACTGTGTCGTTGTCAGAGTTCCGGCATGTTTTTGCTTTGAAATAAGTGTGTGTCTATGGATAGCTCAATGACCGCTCTCAAAATCGTCCTACACACAAAGGAGAGCTCTGTCAGGGTAACATCCTTTCGACAATTTTGCAGCTAGGTATTTTGTCGCGAAAACGACATTTAGCAATGTATAATAACATGTTTCAATCGCGATTCTAATACCGAGCACAATCTCTTTTGTGACCCATTAGCCATAATCGACAGAGTATTGGCAGCATACGGGGCAGAATAATGGCCAAATGATTGAGGATGCGGTATGTCTTGGATCTTAGGTACCGCAATTGAACAGCTCACTTTGACGTCGCTCGTAACAACAGGAATGTCGGAACACCTGATGAATTTATGGAGCATCCACCTATTGCTCCTCTTCCTTCCGGTGGATCACAACCAGATCACAACCTGGGAAACAGACATGAACGCGATGAGCCAGATAACTTCTTTCATCAGGAGCTTGTTCTTCCACAGAGGAAGTCGTATTGCACTATAATCAGGCAAGAACTGCCCGTTCCATTGCAACTTCGATATTTCCAACATTACGCGATCCCAGAGTCTCTAATATCTTGAGCATGTCAATTTATGTGCATTTCGCGGATTTTTGTCGGGAATTGTCAGATAGTTGCCCTGTTGTTTATGTTTTCATTGACGTCTCTTCTACATAAACAGTCGTCACTTTGTCTCTAATCATTTTATTCCGCGTGTATCTGAGAAAAACTTATTTGCTCGATACTCACTCAGCAATCAATGACCTGGAGGTGTCGTGCCTGCGTCTTTGATACAATTTTCGGTACCGTCTCAAGCTCGAAAATCATCAATCAGAGATTGTATGTTGATTTTGGGAAAAAGTAGCCGAGCTTCGTTTTTTCAAATAAACAGGCAGAAAGAGAATTGCACGACCACCCAGGCAAAGAATATGAGGAATCATATTGGCCTTGTAGGCTAAATATCCGTAGGTTGTCAGGAATTGATTTTGCGACCACAATTTCGTCGTCAAGTACGACTGTCACAAGCAAGATGTTTGTATCATTCTTACTTGCCGGAATATATTGGGAAGAAAAAACAACATTTTCAAGGAAGGGATTTGGCAGAAATGTAGTCTCGTCAGGTTTTTAAGACAGCAGCTTGCTATCATTTGCGACGCTGTTCAGTGCCGACGCTATCTCGCAGTGGGAATGCGTATGCACGATCTCGACCCCCAGATGTGAGGCGGTACTAAAGGTCGGAGCGAAACAGGAATGGGCCTGACGGTTTCGAGCTGCGAGTGCTGCTCACAGGTGATACACGGTCACATCCATGCTCACATTTGCTGAACCACGACGTCTGTCGACGACGACCATACGGCAAGGACTGGTCGACAAGCGGTCTCAACCGGTCCACCAGTGATTACCCCACAACCCAGTGCATCATCACACTTGACGGCCACAACCTACCGCATCACAGATCAGCTCACCAAGAGTGTCATCCAACAAGCTTCTCGCTGGAGGGCAAAGCATCAGTCTTCCATTTCGGGCGCGTGATACACTGAAGAAGAAAGTCCATGTTTATACAATGTGGTTGACCTGTAACAAGATCTATATACGATACATGATAGCGATGCGATGCTGAACGAACCCCCCTCAAAACCATCCATCGTCATTCTCTTTCCCCTTCCCGCCCTCCTCACCATCCCCCCTCGCACCCCTCCCCTTATGACCGCCACTCGACCCTTCGCCATGCCCTTCCTGACTGCCATCCATCCTCTTCATCAGATCGCCCCAAGCAGTCGCCTCGAATGACTCGATCACCGGCGATGCGCGCAATTCCAGATCCTTAAGCGACGGCAGCGCCGGCGTCAGCGTCAAGCTGGGCTTCACCTTGGCATCCTTCGCTGTTGTCGACGCCTCCGTGCCAGGAATCTGCAAACTCGACAGCACAGGTCGGGACGACCCGCTCGGACCCTCCTCTTCATGCACAAGGATCGTCGGCACCGCCTCACTCCTGTGCATCTCGTCCCGAAGAGCCAAGAACCTCCTCCTCCAGTAGCTCATCTGCAACAGCCCGCGCACGCGATCGAGTCGAATGCGGTGCTCGATCTGCTCCGCCAGCTGCTTCCTTTCGATGAGCTCCTCGACGTTGAGCGCCTCGGTCTCGTCGACGAGCTTGGTGCGTGCCAGCAGCAGCAGCATGTCGGTGAACGAGATGCCCTTGCGGGGATGAAGCAGCATCACGGCTTCGTGGTAGAGTCGATTGAAGCGCTGCCTGCGCATGCGCAGATCCTTGGTGTCCACCGCCGACAAGACGCGAGCTAGTTTTTCAGCCTCGGTCGGGGGTGTAGCCGACGACGACGATGGCCATGCGAAGAATCCTTGCCCGTCCTTGTCCTTTTCCTTATTGTCGCGCAGAGGCGAACGCAAAGGAGAAGAAGCATTCCTCAAAAAGTCAAAAGCGCCTTTACCTCTCGCCTCCGACGACGGGCTTGGAGAAGCACGCGGGTCCTGCTCTAGAGCGGCTCTCAGCGTCCGCAAATTGCATTCCGGCGGATACAAGCCCACCTCCAGCGCCCCTTTGACAGAAGACAGGAAGGGCACGATCTGGTCCTTCTGAATGTAGCCCTTCCTCTGACGGTCAAAGTGCGCCCAGCTGCTCTTGAAATGACGAATGTCCGAGGGCGTGAGGATCGCCTTGCTTCCCAGATCGAAGATGTAGGAAAAATTCTCGACGACCGTACCCGTGAACATATTGAGGAAGATGTACATCGAGATGACGTTCCAGCCGATGAAGAGCGCATACGCCCAGGGCTGACTGCCGCAGTCGGTCATGAGGTAGCTTGCGGCCGGCGTGCATTGAGGCGGCGACAGCGTGTAGTCGTGCATGAACGAATTCCATCCCTCGCCCGTCGAGATCATACTGAGGAACACCATCGAACCGATAAAGGTTGAAAAGTTCTTGGAGTAAGTCTCGTTGGCTCCCCACTTCGTCAATCCAAACACCTCGAGCAGCATGATGGCCCACACCAAGAACATGGTAAGCCACAAGAGGAAAAGGCTGAGGATGGCGGGCAAGGATGCAAAAGCCGTCTTGAAGAGCTGATTGAGCGCATGGTTCTTCTGCACCAGCTTGAGCGCAACGCACGTCAGGAACAGTTTCTGGAACTGCACCACGACGCCGGTATCTCCACTGTTGGTCAACAGCGGAAGCGTGGTAGCGAGTGTGCCGGACACGACGAACAGGTCGTACAGATTCCAAGGGTTCTCCCGGTAGCTCCGCCAGCCCAGTCCGAGCAGACGGGCGACAATATCCAGGGCGTAGATGGCCGTGTAGCCGAGGTAGAGCGCATCACGAAGCTGGTTGGCCCAAGTCGGATCAGAGTACTGCTGCGTCATGAGCGTGACAAGGGTGGCCATGTACACCAACGTCATGGTGCGACTCCACCACCCGTTCTTGTTGAGCATACGATCGTAGCACCAAGCTCTCACGGGCTGAGACGGGCGATGCTTGGGCCTCTTGGACGGTCGCTGACGAAGAATCAATCTGCGCAGATCGACCCACTGCCTCTGACCCGCCGTCTGGAAAGCAGCGCCCGAAAAGGTCTGGAAGTTTTCGATGATGACCGACACGAAGAGTGTCAAGACGGTGGTGCTGCCTACCAAGTTATAGATGAGGAAGAAGAGCGCATTGACCTGGCGATTGTCGTTCTGCAACTGCTGATCTTTTCCGGCGACGCTCATGGCAGTCGACATGACGTTGATCCAACCTTCGAGCGAGATAATCTCGAACAGGATCAGCATGGCTCCCTTGAAGTCGTCAAACGAGTAGACGCTGCCTTCCGTCGGGTTCCCCCACACGCGAGGAGCCAGGAAATCAAAGTTGCCCGGCGAGCTGACATACTCTCCGATGCAGTCAAACTTGGTCTGGATGGAGTTGGAGCCATCATTGCACGAGTAGAGCAAGCCTCCAAACAAGTTCTGTCCCCATACAGCATACGGGATGATGTAGAGGATCGACAGGATCGAGGCGTCGAGGATGCGACCGGCGCCTGCAATCATGACGGCGTGAAACGTGTCGCGCATGAGTGAAGACAGATTGATCAGTCTGAGTGCACGGAAGGCTTTCAAGGCACGGGTGAATCTCGAGACACCTCCGATGACGGCGAGTTCGGTGATGACGTTGACGAGCAGCGTGATGAGCACGAAGAGATCGAGCGAGTTCCAGACGCTGAGCACGTACGCGTTTGGCGTAAAAGCGAGTCCGTCGGCGATGGTCTTGACCAGGAATTCGGCAAAGAAGAGCGAAGACAGACTGATCTCGAGGATCGAGAACCACGAGGCTCGGATGAGGCCGTATTTTGCGTAGTATTCGCGTCGGTAGACGGGCGTAGCAATGGCAGCAGAGACGACCGAGCCAACGATGCCGAGGAAGACGGCGACCTGAAAGAGCTTGTGTCGGAAAGGCGAAACCTGCCGTCCGAAAAGGCGCTCGCCATGCGAGGAAGGGACCAGACTCTGGCAGAAGCGACGGAGCCGATTGTGGTTGGAGAAGAGAAAGTACGACTTGTCGTAGGATGGATGGGAAGCGATGAATCGAGCTTGCTGTATGCGCGCGTCGCTGTAAGAGCGTGGTTTGAATCCCTGAGAAGCACCATAGGCGCCGAATTCGGAGGCGAGACCGAGATCGGAGCGCATCCTCTGAAGTCTTCGCTCGCTTGCAAACTGGTGGGCTGCTTGGTCGGACGGGTCGGCATCGTAGGCAGAGCTCGGACCGCCAGGGTGTAGGAGATCGTCTACGTGGATGCTGCTACGCAGTCTGCGGGCCTGCAGATTGTCAAGAGGCACCTCCTCCTCGGGCTGATCTAGGCGGAGCATCTTTCGGACCGTGTTGACCGTGCGATGAGCGGTCGCCGTCGAGGTGTCCATGACGTGATGCATAGACATGGGGCGTTGCTTCTTCACTTGATCTGCACGATCGTCCAGCCTGGAACCTCCAATGATCTTGTTGGTTTGACCACTGCTGCTGCCTCCGTGATCGCTGCGACCATGCTCAGAGCCGGCTGAGCCTGTGTGAGCTGCATTGTGTCGCCTGAGCCATCGGTAGGGGCTAAGTTTGTTGAGAAGACGTGCAGTCAAGGACAAGGAAGGAGGTTCGTTGCGACGCAGATACTGCTCGAGTTGCTGCTGACGCTTTTCGTGCTCTGCGACGCTGAAGTTCTCGTTGATGACGGCAATGAACATCTGTAGCACGATGAAGTTGGCGAAGAGGAACCAGCCCGACAGAAAGATACCGGCGATGACGGCCTGCTTGAATTCGACCTCGTTGGAGGTAGCGCTGAAGAGGACGTCGGTCCAGTTTTCCGAAGTGAAGATCTGATACATGGCGAGGAAGGAGTTGAAGGAGTGCTTGAACGTCATCTCGGTCCACTGACCTTCGCTCTCCTGCGGAATGTCCCCGCGGAAAAGCTGCGTGGAGATCAAGGAAGCGAGACCGACCATGAGCAGCAAGAAAAGCACCATGTTGAGCATCTTGTTGAGCGAGCCAAAGGCGCGGACGAGCAGGACCCGCATACGCGGAATGGCAGCGATGACTCGATAGAAACGGGCGAGCTGGAAGAAGGTAAGCCACGGGTAGACCTGAGAAGACTTGATGACGGGAATCTGAATGAGGCTGGTGACCAAAGCCAAGAAGAAATCGGCACGGTTCTGTTTCGAGGCCAAGAAGCCACGCCAATCGCCATCGAGGACAAAAGCAAGGAAACGCATGGCGATCTCGAAATCGAATGCGAGGGTGAAGTAGAGTTCGATCCTGGATCGCTTCTGGATCTCGGCCGGTCGCAGGTAGGTGGCGCGCGACGCCTGAATGGCGACATCAGCGATGATGGCGAGGATCCAAAGATACTTTGTGTAGCTCCACACCCTTTTGAAGCCTACTGCGATGATCTTGAGTCTTCCTTTCTGAGGCTGCTTCTCGTCGTCCTCGGGCTTGTCTTGGAGCTTCTGATCTGCGAAAGCACTGCGCTGGGTGCGTGCGGTCAAGGTGGCAAAACTGTTTGTGATGACGGCGACGAACAAATTGGCGAGCCAAAAGTTGAGGATGATGATGCCGACGATAAAGTAGATGCAGGAAGCATAGTAGTCGGCGTCGATCATGTCGTACATGGTTTGCGACCAATTGTTGGACGAGATGACGATGACGACTTCGAGGAGCGAAGTGACGATGTTGTCGAACGACTGGGTGTTGGTTTGCGGATTGCTGGATTGCTCCTGACACACTTGACCGCGTGGACAGATGAAGCCCTTGGGGGACGAGCCGGATGGGCTGCCATCGACGAGGACGTGACCGAGCTTCTGACCGGCAGTGGTGAGGTAGCCTCCGCACAGCTGCGAGAGAGTGTTGTTGTTGCCCGGCTGACCATTGAGGTCGCCGACCCAGACACAGTTCCTGCGATAGGAGCCCTCGAAACTCTGGATGCCGATGATGCCGAAGAGAAGCATGGCGAAGCCGGTGAAGAAGGTGACACTGAGCAGGATGAAGGCAGAGGTCTTGAGGGAATGCAGGATGGTAGTAGTTCCGCTGGTCGCAGTGAGCAGACGGGCGCAGCGGAGGACACTGAGTGCACGAAAGATGTAGATGTGGTGATTGTTGGCCGACTCTTGGCCAGCGACGGCGAGAGCGAAAGCGATCCAAAAGGAGACGACGGCGACCAGATCGACACGATTCCATGAATGGCGCAAGTAGGCGTGATGGACCGCCTGTACTCGTTGCTTTTCGAAGGCTTCGGCGAAAGGCGTCCTTGCGTTTTGCCAGAATGAGGGTGCAGAGGATTCTGAAAGGAACATGCTTGTCTCGCTCTGGTTGAGACGTCGGCCGGGATGCCGAGTGTGTTGAGCTGGATGTGCAGGGTCATCGCCATGGTCTTGCGAATAGGCAGCCTTGTGGGAAGTTGCAGCTCTGCGTGATTCCATGTACGTTTCTGTGAAACCCTGATCACCAGCGAGCACCTTGTGAGCTTTGTCTTTGAGACTACCGCCCAAGAGACCGAGTGTGTCGAGCGTGTTGGATCTGGACATTTGACGTCTGTGTTCGGATTGAGCGGGTATCGACTCTTTGGCGTCCGGTGAGTCAGGCTGATCGGGCGAAGCGACCGGGATGGGTGCAGCGATGAGCGGTGGTGGGTTGATGATCAAGCCGGACACGATGATGCGTGCGAGGATCTCTATCGTATAGATAGCAAAGATGGCAAGCAGGATGTAGTCGGTGATACCGCCAAAATAGTTGGCCGGTCTCGGATGTGTGTACACACTTGGAGCAGACTGGACGACCAAGGTGACGGTGTTTGCCAGGATGAGGAGCAGGATGAGTGGTTCGATCCACCATTTTGTGAGGAGAGCGGCAAGAGACTTTCGGACGGAGCTGTCAGGACTGAAAATGCCTAGAGTCTTGCCTCGTAACAGCTGCAGCTGGTGTGTGCGTGGATTGATCTCATCGGATGAAGATGGTTGCTGATCAACACGGGCTGTTGCGGCGGACGAGTCGCTCTCTTCGGCGTCTTGATCTGTGAGTGGGACGTGAGGATGGTTGGGATGATGGTGGACGACGCGACGACTCATCCTGCGTATGGATTTGCTGAGGCGATCGAAGCCGGACTTTGCCCTGTGATAATTTGAGGGAGCGTAAACATCTGCGCTAGACTTGAGTGTTGAGTGGTCCGCCTGTTCCATCGCATCAGGCGAGGCAGTGCGATTGAACTCATGCTGATCTGGCTCATGATATCTGACTGAAGTACGTGCTTTGCCGTCGGGATGCGATGTGAGCCGGGTTCGATCATTGTCGTCGGTGGTGAAAGTAGCGTCAGACTCGCGACTGTAGCCATAGTGCATAGATTGAGCGGCAAGCGGAAGGGACGAGCTGCGTCGTGGGGGTGCGTCGGTGGTAGGCGAAGGGAAGCCATGGGATTGAGGCTGTGGTGAGAGATCGAGTGGACCTCTGAGGATGCCTGCATCAACGGAAGACACGTTGCGGTGGTGGTGAGAGCTGCCGGAAGGGCCAGCTATTGGAGGATGATGTGGGTAAGGAGCGCTTTCATCGGTCCAGCTGAGTCGCCTCATGAGCCTGTCATCGTTGGAGAGGAGGGGAGAATTGAGCGGGCTCTGTGCGAGATTCGAGGTCCATGCTGGTAGTGATGGGTTTGGACTGGCGGACGAGAGCTCTGGCATGTAGGTGTTGCCGTAGTAGTACGAGTTGATGTAGATGTCCGAGTTGTGGTCGGGGATGCTGCTTGCGCCAAAGGAGTCGCGAGGCTGAGGCGAGGTTGCGGCATCTGTGTATGGAGGATGTAGATTGTGGTGCGCCTGAGACTGCGTATCCGAGTCGGGATCGGTGTTAGTCGGTCGACTCATGATTGTGGCGGCGTCGACGTGGATCGCCTCTGCTGAGCCATGATCTTTGGGGAGTTGAGATGATGGCAGTGGTGACGACGGCACTTCCGAATGGTGCTGACTGGTCTCGTCGGAAGTTACGATGCGAAAAGCCACGTCGGTGACATGTCCGACGTCGGATGTCGAACAAAAAGTGTACGGCGTGTGCTGCGTGTTCCTTGCAGAATTCACACATACAGCAAACGAACCCTGAGCTCAAATTTCGCTCGCCTCCTTTTTCCGAAAAATCATCACACGTCGGAGCAGCCAAGACGTTGCCAAAACCTTATCACTGCCAGAGTCACCAACAGAACAGAGCTGCCATCCGGACTGAGCCTTCGTGATCGGCAGCACATCCGTGATCGCTAGCACAGCATCGGATGACCGAACAGTGTCGGCTGTGACACCGAAAGTGTGATGGTTCTCGTTGATTGTAGTGGGTTGGCTTGGTGGGGGGCTGTGCTGCTTGTGTGTCTCAATCACTGCATCGACGTGCATGAAGTGGAGTGCGGCGGGTATGAGCTTAACAGTTTACTGTAGCGATTGCAATTAGGTGGCTCTTAGTAATCTGATCGTTCCGCTGAAACTGACGCGTTCTTCTCTCTCCACTTTTGGCGCAGCCAAGCATGGGCCAACCAAACCAACACTCTCGACACCACCATCATCACCACCACCAGTACGACTGCCCCTACACATCATGTCGTATGATCGAGGTGAGCATCGTCTGCGATACATACATCCCCGAATGCTGTGCTAACTCTGCTTCCCCTCTCCGCTTCCACAGCCCTCACCGTCTTTTCCCCCGACGGGCACCTCTTCCAAGTCGAATACGCCCTCGAAGCGGTGCGCAAAGGAACCTGCGCAGTCGGCGTTCGCGGAAAGGATGTCGTAGTCCTCGGCGTCGAAAAGAAATCTGTCCTCCAACTTCAAGACGCACGAACCATCCGTAAGACAGCCATGCTCGACGACCACATCTGCCTCGCCTTTGCCGGTCTCACCGCCGACGCACGCATCCTCATCGACAAGGCACGAACAGAGTGTCAATCCCATCGTCTCACCGTCGAGGACCCGGTCACCGTAGACTACATCACCCGCCACGTCGCAGGAATCCAGCAAAAGTACACCCAGTCCGGCGGTGTACGTCCCTTTGGCATCTCGACGCTCATCATCGGTTTCGACGCAAACGACGCAAAACCAAAGCTCTACCAGACGGAGCCTAGTGGAATGTACTCGGCCTGGAAGGCGAACGCCATCGGTCGAAGTTCCAAGACTGTACGAGAGTTTTTGGAAAAGAATCACAAGGACGACTTGACCAAAGACGAAACCATCAAGCTCGCCATCAAGAGTTTGCTCGAGGTCGTCCAGACCGGCGCAAAGAACATCGAGATCGCCCTCATGGAAGGTCACGGAAAGGTCAGGAACGTCGAGTTGGCAGAGATCGAGAAGTTTGTGGAGCAGATCAATGCAGAGAAGGAGGTTGAGGCAGAGAGGAGGAGGAACCGTCTAGCTGCTACTGCTGGTGCACAGGCTTCCATGTCGTAGGGCGTACTCGAAAACATTGTCTTGAGAATGCAGGTCCGGATGGGTGTGATGACTGTGAGCCAAGCTGCCAGACAGCATTTGAGCTTTGTCCACGTCGCCGTCCGTGGTGCCCAACCGACTGTTGCACTCGTGTTCATGTCGAGACTTGAACTGCCTGTCGCTTGCTCTCGCAGCCTCTTCTGCCACCCGTGCACAAGCAGTGATGAGATCAGTCTAACTTTTATTCAAAAGGGAGACAACTGACATTGGTGGCAGAAATCATCGCTGGACAGGGGGGGGGG